TCGATAAAAATAAAGCCTCTAAAGAAACATATCGTCATGAAACTTGACCTTTTGGGTCAAAAATTGTGACCTTTGTTTTCAAATTCGGGAACGGCATCCAACCCCAATATTTCTGGGCTACCACCCTGAAAATTTTCAAGCTGTTATCGTGGCCATTGTGTGAGATAGAAAAGTTTATCCATCATGCAATTTAATTTGCCCCCACTATTAACTATTGTCTATTCAATATGTAAGGTGAAATTTAGATAATCTAAATTTCACCTTACAGCAATCAGCAATCTAAATTAGATTGCTGTCGGTTTTTAGTATTAACCATATACTAATAATTAATTATTGAACCTTGTTTATATATATATATAATGCATATTGGTGAGTATCATTATCCTCTCTTGAGTAGGTATACATAATATGTACAGTGTCGGACAGATGTCTACGTCCACATAGTCGCGTCAATTTCATTTTCAAATTGTCACTGAACTACTGAACCAATTTTCATCATTGATATATCAAATTCTCACAAATTTAACGTAATTTCATAAAACATATGAGTTATTTCTGAAAATTCTGGGAAAACTGAGAATCATAGTGCAGAGCGAGAGAGGATGAAATTTGAGCGGACAAAAGTCTACGTCCACTTCACTTTAATTGTCAACAACAAAAATCTCTCCAATTTATAAAATCAGGTAACTTAATAAATCTATCAATAACATATGCCGCATTAATTTTTAAATAATTTTCTTCCAGAAAAATATGATGGCGTCGACACGCAAGGAAATTCCTATCGCTATTCGAGATCTTGTCATTCAGGACTGGAAGGGTGGACAAAAAGGGGGCTGTCGCAGAGACAAATATGGACCAAGTATAAATTAGCAAGGACAACCATCCAGACAATCATTAAGAACTTTAAAGCTAATGGTTCAGTCCAAAACAAGGTCAGAAGTGGTCGAAAACCCATTTTGGCTCACCGAGAAGTACGCCACGTGCTCAACAAAGTCAACGTTACACCCTCACTTAGTGCTCCAAAGCTATCTACCGAGATCAAGGAGATGTTCGGCAAACAGGTTAGTCCTATGACCATCCAAAGAACACTGAATAAGGGAAATTTGAAATCCCACAGAGCAGTCCGGAAGCCTCTTATTGTACCGAGGAATGCAACCAAACGAGTGAAGTTTGCCAGAGACCACATTTCCAAGCCACAAACATTCTGGGACATATTTTATGGACTGACGAGTCAAAGTTCAATGTCTTTGGGTCAGATGGGCGTCGTAGAGTGTGGAGATATCCAAAAGAAGCTTTGAATCCAAAAAATCTCAACCCCACAGTTAAGCACGGCGGCGGGTCGGTAATGGTGTGGGGATGCATGGCTTCAAGTGGGGCAGGAAAAATGGAATTTATTGACGGAATTATGGACCAATACAAGTACCAGGGAATACTTGACCGTAATATCCAGGAATCTGTTCGAAAACTTGGACTTGGACGACGATTTGCCTTCCAACAAGACAACGATCCGAAACACTCTGCCAAGTCCACCATGGAATACTTCAAGAAAAAAAAATTCCGAAGCTAGAATGGCCTCCCCAATCTCCAGACTTGAATCCCATTGAGCATCTGTGCGACCACATTGAAAGAGAAATAAGAAAACAATCTTTTTCAGGAATTCCGGGCCTTAAATCCAGAATTCGTGAAGTTTGGGAAACCATTTCTGAAGATGTGACCAAGAATTTGGTAAACTCAATGACTCGACGCCTTGAAGCCGTCCTTAAAGCGAACGGAGGCCCAACCAAATATTAAAAATTAATTGTTATAACATTCCTTATAAATTACAGTTTTTTTTGTATGTTTTCTCTGACTGGACGTTGACTTTTGTCCATCCAATTGTTTTCATTTTGAATTAAAATACATCTCTGGCCTAAAATAAATTTTTTAGCGGAAAACTAATAATGTGCTATGAAATTACGTTAAATTTGTGAGAATTTGATATATCAATGATGAAAATTGGTTCAGTAGTTCAGTGACAATTTGAAAATGAAATTGACGCGACTATGTGGACGTAGACATCTGTCCGACACTGTATTACATACAGTCAATGGAAAAAGTATTGGCAACCCCACGCCAGCTAAATAAAATTGGCTGTAACGTTGGAATGCATTATACAATTGGCATGAAAATTTGTAGGCCTTTAGCAAATATAATGTAGTTTTCGATTATAGTCAAATTTGCAAAATTTACCCGCAAAAAGTATTGGCAACATGTGGCCAAATTAATTACGCGAAACAATTTTCTTAATCAGCTACCACATTTCATTACGGTAAGTTAACAAGGTGACCAAATATGACGTTAGCGACATTTTAAGTCTACAGTTGTGTTGTCTGGAGCCAAAATGGCGACACCAAACGAGCTGTATTGGCGCCGCGAGAAATAATCATGTCTCTTTCACAAAAAAACTTTCTTATCGCAAATTCAAAGAGAAAACATACTTTTACATATTTACTATTTAAAACGTAGGCAAGAAATATAAAATGACAATCTCAGTTTCTACTTTTCCATGGTGCGGAAGAAAAAAGTCAACTACGCCAACGAGCCACTGATGAATCAAGCAAATTATCACTCGAGATCGGAAGATTTCAACTCCCGAAGCCATGTTGAATTTGAGAACCAACTGTGGCGTCAACATGTCATGCAATATTGTGATCAATCAAAAATCATGCCATGGGGTTTCAGGGTCCAGAAGCCCAACTGACGCGAGGGTCCCCGAAACGAACCAACTCAATAAATTGGAATGGACTAAATACCACCCTGAATAGACTTCCAATGAATGAAAAAGGTTCTGCTGGTCTGACATAAGCATATTTTACTTATTCGGAGCCAATTGAATGGTTCAAGTCTGGCGGATGCCATAATAGGCTCACAAAAACGAATATGTTCCTATGACAGCTAAACACAGAAGACGAGCGATTATGGTTTGGGGTTAAATGACTAGGTTGTGGCGTAGGTAGCTGGTCATCCTCGATGGAATAATGACCAATGAGGTCCAAATAATCATTCTAAACGATAATTTGATATTATTTGATAAAAATCTGACCTATTAAAGAATTTTATATTCCGAAAATTCAGTGACCCCAAACATGTAGCCAATTTAACGATGCAAGGTTTTGGAGATTGAAAAGGTTAGGATTCTTTCGTTGATTGCACAGTCTCCCGATGTGATTCTGATTGTTCGGATTGAGAAAAGAGGGACTGGTGAGAAACCACTCTTCGAAAAACGAGCTTGTCAAAAGTTCGAAGGAAGTGTGCGCAGCCAGATCAAAAAGCGTTATAAAGAAACTTGTTCAATCAATTCCACGACCTATTTTTGCTCGTATTGCGTCGAGGGGAGGTGCTACGTAATACTAGAAGCAGTTTGTCATAACAAAATTGGCGTTTCTTTGATTTATGATTTTTTAAGTTAAGGGTTGCCAATACTTTTTGCGGGTAAATTTTGCAAATTTTCCAGCAAATTATTTAAAAACTGTGTTTATCTAATTTTAATTAATAAATCATGATTATAATCGAAAACTACATTATATTTGCTAAATGGGTACAAATTTTCATGCCAATTGTATGATGCATTCCATGGTTATAGCCAATTTTATTTAGCTGGCGTGGGGGTTGCCAATACTTTTTCCATTGACTGTATGTATGTAATTATTGCAAGTATTGGATTTTATATCGATATAACCGGTTTAGTAATCCGATCCGAAATCCGTCGGATTGATCCGAATCGGATCGGATTGGTCGGTCAATCCGCCTCGGATCAATCCGATACCCGGCATAATCCGAGTCGGATTGATCCGAGGAACCCAAAATCCGACCCGATCCGATCCGAACCCATTCCTAGTAGTAAGTGACATCCTCCTAGGTCGTTCAGACCATTTTTTGTATTTGAAAAAAATTCGGCTGGTCCGTGGCCTTAACGTTTTCCCGCCACGTCATAATTTCTCCGATTTTTCTTATATTTTTAATTGCTGCGAAACTGAAGTTTTTATCGAATCTCTACGATGGTCACCATCGACCTTTAGTATTGGACTACTCATGGTAAAATTTTCAAAAATAAACATTAACAGGTACAGGAATTTAACTGTATTTGTCGTCGACCGTGTAGTAAAAAATGACTGGGGAGAAATTAAATCAACACCCTTTAGCAATAAATGTACCAAAATCCTTCTATTGAACAAAACAGCAAAAACAAGATCAAAAACTGGGTGTCACGTCAAAGAAATGTTCTAAATGAGGTCCACATTTTTCCAATAATTTCAGTAGGGAATAAATATCTTAATACATAAGGACACGCTATATTATCGCCATTTACGTTATTAGGGGTGGGATATTATTTATTTGGTTTGTAAATTAATAAATTGCTCATCATCTTGTCCACGTAATTGTATTTATGTACATGTGTTCGTGTTTATCTAACCATGTCGATTGTCGATCTCTTCATGTCTGCCGGCTGTCGACCTTTATCACGATTGTGTAGTCGCACATATTTTACAACTCCGTCAATCCTATCGTACATAAACCTGCTGAATATCATTTTACCTAAAAGCATGACAAATAAATTTATGCATTTTTTCTAATCATATCGGACCCTATTTTGACAAGTTTGAGACAAACCTAGAAATTAACATAAAATTCGCACATTTTGGCTCAGATCTCGAAAACTGCGGGCGTACCCCCCCCCCAATTTTATTACGGATTTTTGATCTAAATATTACGCAAATTTTAAGCCATCAAACTCGAAAATCGTTGGAGGCCGACAAAAACACTATTTCATTGTATATATCTATCTTAATAACATATTGGAATGGAACGGTGCTTCATACATTTTTGGTATGTAGTTAATCCGCAATTTGTCATTTTTATGTACTTAGCATTAGTCTCAGTTTCTACGGCCAACCACTTAAATCCAATTTCAATTTTATGCATATTTATGACACCAGCGGCTTGCATGTGGGAAATTGAGGTTGGAATATTTGCAGTAATTAACCGCTTCGTTTTATTCGTATTTACATAACATTTTGAAAAACATAATTTCATCCCATCAGACGGTTATTAATTTATAATCAACGTTTGAGGAATATTTGTCGAGTTTTTAAATTTTACTTGAATGCAAAGTAAGCATGTACAAATGGCCGGCCAAATATGTAACAAAATCATACAAGAGCAATAACAAGTTTCCTGGATTATCAATATTCCAGAGTATGGTGGGCCACCAATTCTCAAAAATTCACAAACTGCTTCTGGCAGAAGTAACATTCTCGTCGATTCGCAGGATTGTGACGCCTTTCGTGTTGAGCTAAATTGCCTTTCGAGTGACTCTTGTACTCGCATTTGTTGCAGGAATGAATCTCCGTATTTCCACTATGTCTCGCCTCCACGTGACGTCTCAAATGGGCTGATGTCAAGAATCTGTTGTTACAAAATGTGCACAGATGATTCCTCTGATTTTCATGCACAATTTGGACATGTATTTGCAAGTTCGCTCTACTTAAGGAGATCTGAGGACAAACTTCACACTTGAAAATCCTTCGCGTCAATTTTTCCAAATGTGTTGCCTAAAATAAATAAACATTTCCATATGAATCGGTTTATTGTTTTTTTTAATTTTTTCCACCAAAACATTTACGAAGCACATCGTCGTACTAATTCATAAAAGACCTAAGTGCAGTCGATGCTTAATCCAGAAAAAACCTAAGTGCACAGAACGAAAGCAAAAAAGACCTATGTGGAAGTATGTATTTAAATACTTATGGCTATATCTTGCCAAAACGATTTTTCATATATATCGCGCGATTTAGCCATAAGTAAATTCATACTTGCACATATGTATGTAGGTCTTTTTTTACTTTTTTTCTGTACACTTAGGTCTTTTCTGAATTAAGAATTGACTGCACTTAGGTCTTTTATGAATTAAGCATCGACTGCACTTAGGTCTTTTATGAATTAGTACGACGACATTCATTTATACCTGGTGCCTTTTTAAACTTCTCTCATGTGAGAAGCTCCTTCCACAAGTTGAACAAGTGTACGCTTTCTCCGTCGTGTGGGTGGAAATGTGCGTGCCAAGTCTTTATCTATTCTTGAATTCTTTACCGCAAAGTGTGCACGGAAATCTGGTCGGATTCTCGACATGTTCAGTTTTTACGTGTTGCGATACAGTTTCGCGGTTCAAGTAGGTTTTCTCACATCCAGGAAATTCGCAAGGGTCGTTTCCTCGTATTGTGCATGACTTCAATGTGTTTTAGGAAAGTTTGACGTGTGAAAAATACACGGTGACATATTTCGCAATTGGGTCGGTTCCGGTTGGTGTGAAGCAGTTTTATGTGCTTTGATAGGCCTTCTGGAGTCACTTTCAATGTCATAAATAAGTTTAGTCGATTACCTTACATTTCACCTTCGCATCGGCGTCATGCGTGACCATGTGACGTTTCAAGCATGTTTTCGAGCTGAATATTTTTAGGCAAGTGGAACAAGTTAATCTATTTCCTTCCCGTGGATCCATTTGAAATATTTTGGGGTTACGGGGGAAAAATTTTTACTCCAGAACTACACTTTTGCGTAATGATATGGTTATAAATTTTCCAGTTTTATCCACTGAATCGTAGAATGCACTATTGCATGCATATGACAATTCTCTCCACATTTCAATGAGCTAATATCGTATTATTGACGAAGTTTGCATCCTTTAAAGTCTAAAACGAAGCTTGTTTAACCTTTTTTCGTTTAAATTTCAGACCAAGTGTATTTTTAGACCGTGAAGGGTAAAGAAGGTTGATGGAAGTCCTCAGGCGAGTGAAGATGCTGGTGAAGGTGGAATTTTAGTGGCTTGTTGCACGTAAGGGTACCTTGCGGCAAAATTCTTGCCACCATTTAAGGCTCTACTTCATTTTCATCGAGTGTTTAGTCTCACTCAACCCGTGCTCAATGTATTTAAATGTAATTTCTAAAATGGTATCAACTTCATGAGTATTGAGATAAATGGGACTTTTGATATTTTAATGTAAAGCTAATTTTTGGCACTACAAAACCTTGGTGTTTTGAAAAATTAGAAAATTCATTTTTGAAAAAAATTAGTGTGCAAAAATAGCAAATGAATTTTCTAATTTTTCAAAATACCAAGGTTTTGTAGTGCCAAAAATTAGCTTTACATTAAAATATCAAAAGTTCCATTTATCTCAATACTCATGAAGTTGATGCCATTTTAGAAATTACATTTAAATACATTGAGCACGGGTTGAGTGAGATTGCGCGTGAACGCGTCATCCACAACAGTCTTAAGACATCCACTTCCTTGAGATTAAGAAACATGCTTACATAGGCAATCAAAAATTTCGTTAAAGCCGGGGGGCGAGTGTAGTATGTATGAACTGTGCAGGCGATATTTGTACAAAATTTTAGCCAACTAAACCAACCCTCGTTACAGTAGACGCATTCATTTCCCCAGCCTACCATTCCTCCTCGATGGGAAATAGCAACAAGACCCATCAAGTATTATGAGATAAAGTAATTCAATGTTGTTTCCAAAGATTTTCCTTTTCGTACTGAATTTTCCGCCATAAAAACTATAAACATAGAGAATTTCAATTTTTTAACTGATAAGTTTTCGTAAATTCGAATAGTTTTTGCGGCCTCCGCGGTGATCCACATTTTTGCATGGTAGAAATGATATGGCTAAAAAGGTTCTCAAAAATAATGTTACAGATATGTCATTATGAAAAGTATGTCACAAGTGCAAACAAAATTCTCAATGAAGTATATGTACAATACCCAATCCAGAGTAACTTTATCTTGATAAAGAGTTTGGGTTACTCTGGATTTTGTGTAGTTTACTTAATTTAGAATTTAGAGTCAATTTTCTACTCAAAATGACAACTGACATTCCAATATTTTTGGTTAGGGTAAGCACGTTTTATATACCTATGTAAACGCAAATCTAAGAATACGTACATTTCCAGACAAGTGGGTGCATGTTAAAAATATTAATAGCTATAAAAATTAAACGAACTAATTAACTACCCCGCTTTATTCAAGAAATTCGAGAAAAATTACAGCAATCATCATATGCATGCAAGAATATCATTTTTGGGAAGCTTCTAACAGATTGCAGAGATTATTTGTGAGCAATGTTTTGGAAATATTTGCCAAATCTATAAATTTTAAAGGATATCGCAAGAAAATCATTGCCGACCCAACAATAAAATCATACAAGACCAGCAACAAATTTCCTCATTTATAACAGTTCAAGAGTGTGACGGCGACAGGGTTTCAACAATCCTGAAAAGTAGAAAAACTGCTTCTGTCAAAAATAACATTCTCGTCGATTCACAGGGTTGTGACGCCTCGCGTGTTGGGCTAAATTTAATTTCGAGTGTGTCCTGTACTCACATTCATTGCAGGAATGGATCTTCTCCTTATTCTCGGGATGTCTCGCCTCCACGTGACGCCTCATATTGCCCAATGTCGAGAATCTTTTGTCGCAAAATAAACACGGATGAGTCCTCTGATAAAAAAAATTCCTTAGCAACGTAAAAAAATTTCCTTAGCAACGTAAAGCTAACTCCTTATCAACATAACAAAAGTCCTTAGCAACATAAAAAAAATTCCTTGGCAACATAAAAAAATGCTTAGTAGCGTAAAAAAAATTTCCTTAGCAACGTAAAAAAATACTTAGCAACATAGAAAAATACTTTTTACACGACATGTTCTTGTAAATTTTGAAATATTGCCCGTCTTAAAGACGGGCTTATAGGCTAGTAGACATATAAACACATATTTATGAATTGTAACAATACATAAGTATGAATTAAATATACCCAACCAAATATTTATTATGAATGCATATTTATTTGCACCTCGTGATATTTCATGACCGTGAGTTGGCCGAAACGGAAACCCCGCCCACAAGTGGAGCAAATGTGCGTCTTTTCCGTCGTGTGGGTGGAAATGTGTGCCTCAAGGATTCTTCGGATCTTGAATTCTTTACCGCAAAGAGTGCATGGAAATCGCGTCGGATTCTCGGAATGATCAGCTTTAATGTGGTAAGACACACTATGCCTGTTCAAGTAGGTTTTCCCACATCCCGGAAATCCACATGGCAAACGGGGTCGTTTGGTCGTGCTATGAACGATATTAACGTGTCTCCTTAACTTTGCATCGGTACTAAATAAACGGTGGCAAATGTCACAACTTGGTCGGTCCCGGTCAGTGTGAAGCATTCTTATATGTGCCGATAGGAGTTTTGGATTTTTAGAAATTTTCCCGCAGATCTAGAAAACAAATCAAAAAATGATGTATATATTTGGTTGCATTCTAAAATTAGCTTCAATGTTACGGTCCAAATAGAATGATGTAAAATTTACTCAGGGAAAAGTATAATAGAGGATGGCACAAGAGTTTGGTAAACCCTGTCATTCTCGATTTTACTCAACTTTGAGCAAATTTTACGTATTTTTAGTTCAAGTGCATATATTTAGATTTAGAGATTTTGTGTATAAATTACCTCACATTTGACCTTTGCGTCGGGGTCATGCGTTAGCATATGAAGCTTTAAGTTGCATTTAGTAGTGCAGGTTTTTGAGCACGTGGAACATCCCCACCCATTTTCTTGCCCACCCATAATTTAACAAATTAACCCGAACTTCACTTTGATAATGAGTATGGTTCTTAATGATTTGGTTAAATTCGTCTTCCCCAGAAGAGATGCCTGATTTCCTCCGTTTTTAAACGAATCAATGGCGTAATGGTGACGAGGTTTCCAAACTGTGCAACAACTTGAAAGTCTAAAGCTAAACTTCAGCTTAAGGGTTTTGTCTTACAAGGGAACATACCGAGGTGTCCAGCGACTTAAGGGTCGACACCTATACCAAAATGACCACAGTATATGACTTATTAAACAAACTGAAGGAATTTCCGTGTAAAATTCACTTTTCGTCACGTTGTGACGATATTTCTGACGAGCACATGACCATCAGGTTGCCAGCCAGGGATAGGTCGACCACTCAATGGTCAGGTCGACCAAATGTTGTCTTTAGAGATTTCAAATAACTTACAAACCTCTAATTTTTTCAAAATTTCATAATTGTTTCAAAATTTCAAAACTTTTTCAAAATTTCAAAACTTTTTCAAAATTTCAAAATTTTTTCAAAATTTCAAAACTTTTTCAAAATTTCAAATTGTTTTCGAAATTTCAAAATTTCTTCAAAATTTCTTCAAAATTTCAAAATGGTTTCAAAATTGGAAAGAATTTGAAATCTCTGAAGACGACGTGAAGACGACGACGCTTCTCTGTGGCCGACCTAATCGTTCAGCGGCCGACCTCTCCCTCTCTGGCAACCTGATGGTCATGCGCTCGTCACAAATATCGTCGCAACGTGACGAAAAGTGAATTTTACACGGAAATTCCTTCAGTTTGTTTAATAAGTCATGTATGGTGGGCATTTTGGTATAGGTGTCGACCCTTAACTCGTTGGACACCTCGGTATGTTCCCTTGTTAGAAATCTCAAACAGTGTATTTTCAGGAAGAAAGGGTAGAGAATGTGCCTGAGGTGAGTGGAGGCATATGGTCTTCACGTAGGCCATTGACTCGTAGCTGCCATATGGGAACGTCCGTAAATTACGTCGTAAAAAACCCGCCGCACCCACCTTTCCATTTCCAACGGATGTAAGTTTTTCCTATTTTTTGACAACTTTTCCGCCAAAAATGAAAAGTGTCTCAATGATTCCAATGGATGCCTTACCTTAAGGCGAATGTCACATGTCCACCTCATTGCAGCGACTTAGGAGGGGAGCTTCACCACCTGCCCTTCACAGATCTCGATGCCCTTTGGATATGTGGTAGGGTCCTATGAGTGTACTAAAACCCTGAAGTGGTTTGACTCCATGGCCACATTTACGTCCGCCACACCTGTTTTAAAATTTTCCAAAATTGTGCCAATTTTTAGCACGCCAAAATTGTGCCAAAATTGTGCCAAAGTTGTGCTAATTTTGGCATGCCAATTTTTAGCATGCCAAAGTTGTGCCAAAGTTGTGCTAATTTTGGCATGCCAATTTTTAGCATTCTTCCAATTTTCTATCAAGAGAAAGACTTTCCCGACTAAATTCAACCCCTTGGAGATTCACAAATTCACAAATCTCAATTTTTTCATAATTTGTTTGGACAATTTTTAATCTAATTTTGCACTTTATTATTCCTACCTTCCAAGTCCGGGAGCTGGTCGGGAACGTCGATATCCGGAATGGTCAAGGTTGACGGAGAATAATAAAAATCGTCCAGTTTGCCTTAAATGATGATGCTTATCATTGATTCTACCCGCTTTTCCAGGTAGGCGATAGTGCCGATACGAGTTTTCCGTCGTGTTGAAGAGGAGGAACGAGTCGACATGGCGCAGCGACGAGGGCGCGTGGTCCAACCCGGTTTCCGCCAAGGCCACCCCGAGCGGCGACACGGCGACGTCGCGGACATGAAAACAAGCCAGCAGGTCGTCCGGGTGTTGAATGGGGGCGTCGAACCGGGTCGGAAGGCTGGTCCGGGGGCCAGAAAATGCGGGGGGCGTGGACGATGTGTCACTCCTCGTCGGAATAATCGTCATCGGCTTGAGGTAGGACTTCATGTCGTCGTCTTCCTCGGAGGGAAACTTGGCCGTGGAAATTATCCGGATCGCTTTCGCCGAACCGCGTACCTGGGAAAACAAAATAGAATATTTAATTAATTGATTATTCAAATTAATTGTAAATTAAATCTTGTAATTAAATAATTAGCAGTTTCTCAAATCTTAATGAACTTCAAATTGCTCATATTTAACAACATATAATTAATTATTCAAATTAATTGGAAATTACAATGTGTAACCAAACAAAACTTAATTATTTGAAGTAACTCATGTTTAAATTTCTCAAGCTCCACTCTCTTTAATGTAAATTTATAAAATAGTTGTTAAAATAATTGACACCGTTCCTATGACAACGAGCCATGGAAACGGTCAACTGGAAATTAATCGTGGTCATTGCCGGTGATGACAATCATTCATCACCATCATTATTTTAATCATTATCAATATTTTTTGTAATAATTCATGAAATTATTTAAATCACCATGGCAACGGAACATACTTTTTTCCATCTCTCATCCCTACAAAGTATGAAAATATGTAGATACGTAACCGAACATTCCAATAGCCGCCTTATTAACTAACGTCGCCTAGCAACGAATTTTTTCCGGTCTCCCAACGTTTGCTCACATCACAGATTTTGACCAAACTGGTGTCAATCGATCGCAAATTTGATTAGTGCAAAAGTTTCAAATGGCACGATCTCCCAATGCACAAGTTTGGCAGAGATATTTGCATAAAAAGAGGATTAAATTATGCATGTATGTAGTTAAATACGTTTCTATACATAGCATGCCCAAGGTAACTGGTAGTAGCTCTTTACGCCGAAACTGTTGGAGATAATGAAAATCTGATAAGTGTGTAGGATTCCTCGTGCGATTTTGACTAAATACTGTTAAGCAGTTTTTAACTGCTTGCAAAGCATATCGCCATCGAAAATCTAGAAAGGACGGAGGCAACAATAATTTTTCACCAAAAAAATGGGAAGAGAATTGGCGAGTTTGAAAACTATGAGAGGAATCGAACGTGTACGTGAATTGAGTCCAACGGACTATAAAAACGTTCACGGGGACCGGATTGACTAAAGACGGTCGAGGAAATTTTTTTGAAAACCTCCAAGGACCACACCCATCGTGAAGGCGCTGAAGGATAGAATCCGAAGAAATTCTCGAAATTTCAATGGAAAATATCCTCACAGCTGACATTGTCGATGCACATTATCCAACGAGTGCTCAAACTGAACCTTAGGCTTAGGGCTTTGAAACGTGGTACTTGCTACATCCTGATCAAACCCTTAAATAAAGCCACACTAAATAAATGAAGGGCTCTCTTCAAGCGGTACGCTCCAAAAAACTTAAGAGGATTCTTTTTACAGATGAGGAGATTTTCACATCGGAAAAACCTTTTAACAAACGAGTTTACCTAATCTATGCCAAATCGATCAAAGTCATCCCCCAATATAGACAGAAGGTCAAAAAGTCACATTTTCCAAGTTTTGTCATGGTTTTGGCAGCTTGTAGCTAATTGGGGTAATTCCTCTTATTTTGCTGAAAATGGGGGGAAGGTTGGGGGATCAAATTTCTAGAAATATGTTTTCAAGTTAGTGGTGCATCCCCTAAGCGACACCCAACTCAATGGAATCTATTGGACCTCCCAGCATGACTCAGCACCAGCAAATAGTGCAAAAAATGATCCAAGCGTGGCTAAAAAACTAAATTCCGGACTTCATCTCCACATCGGAATGACAATCCTCCTGGCTGGATTTAGATCTCCGGATTATGAAAAATGGTAAAAGTTAGGGCCAAAGGTGTGTTCTAAGCCTCACAGACGTGTGGAAGCTTTAAAAAAATCTTTGACCACAGAACGATACAATTTGTCCACGGATTTAGTGCGTGCTCCAATCGAGGACTGGAAGCAGCGTCTTCAGCGCTGCATTAATGTTGGGGGAGGAAATTTCGGAAACCAAAAATTGTTTTCTACTTAGAAATTAACTGGCTTTCCATTGAAATTTACTAGAAATTTGTAACAAAAACTGTTGACGCTATGGCGTTTCATTTCACTCCCAGTTAGCCTGGGCATGCTATGTATATAAATTTAGCCCATTTGATGGTAAATTTTTGTGGCCGAGCGCATGGGACGAGTTTGGGATTATTTTTTTTAGGAAAAATTTCGTTGCTAGACGACGTTAATAAGGCCATTTTAAGGTTTGGTTAGGCATCTATTTTCATACTTTGATAGGAATGAGGGATGGAAACAAGTATTGCTATTCGTATTCATGTTCCGTTGCCATGGTGAATTAAATAATTGCATTAATTCTTACAAAATAATTGGTAGTGATTAAAATAATGATGAGAATGATTGTCACCACCGGCAGGGAAGTGACCGTTGCCGTAGAAACGTAAATTCATCCTCTTTTATGCAAATATCTCTGCCAAACCTTCGCATGGGGAGATAGTGTCATTTCCAGATTTCATACTAGTTAAATTTATGATAGATTGAGACTAGTTTGGTCCAAATCTGTGAGCCTGCGTTGGGAGACCTCCATTGTTGGGTTAGGTTTACACCGAATTTTAGTAAGGTCAAGTGTCGAAAAAAGGTCATAACCTTTAAAAAGAAAATTTAGATATGGTTTTATGCTCACAAAACCCGTAAATTTTAAATTTCAAGTCGACAATCGCACAATTTTGCTTTGTTTACAACACAACTTTAGAGAAATAAATGGATCCAGGGTGGATTATGATTCTTCTCCTTGGTTACCGACCGCCGACGAGAATGTAGCAAATTTAATCAAATTTTTTTAAATGAATGGTTAATTTTTAAACTGAATGAATTCCGAAGGAAGAAATAAAGAAGATGTATTCATGAATTTACTACTTGACTTTAATTTATTTGTATTCCAATTTTTATCAAATATTTATTAAAATTGTATAAATAATTATGTATGTAACTTCAGCCTTATTTTCGTACTATGGACTGGTCACTGATTGAAAGTGTCAAGGTTCCCCCTACTTTCTCAAGCACTAAACTGATTTTGGATATGTAAAAAGCATAAAAATTTGCAAATTTGATAAGCTTTCTAAAACTGAAAACAGAATTTGATTATCTCGTTTCGTTAAAAAATGACAGCACAAAATTTAGAGGGAAAGCAAAAATTAGTTCGCCACTCGGTGAAAAAAGTGGTTTTCTGGAATCGGAAAAAGGCTCCTGACAATCCCATTTTTCAAGGGATGCACCGGACAAAATTCATCATACACTATACAGATATAAGGATCGTGACAATGCAAAATATAAAATTTGGCCTTGTCGACCTGTCCGCCAGCAGACCAAAACACTGACGAGAAGCTTGAAAAAACTGTTGCAGAAAACCTCAATAGATCGGTAAGGGTTGCACCCAGACAACTAAAAATTTGAAAAACCTATCTTCGCAAGATGAAAGCCAATAAGTTGGGCTTCAAAACTTGCAGCATTGTAACCGCGTTAAAATACAATGAAGATAACAAATCCGGGGCTAAAACAATTTCTGGAAAACTTGATGAGAAAATGTTAAAATCTACTTCCAGAAGTTTCTCGTCGTGCATCATCAAAACTACTGCCCCGTTGACCTCGTGTAAAGTTCTGCTCATGTGGAAGTAAAAATGACGTTCGTTCGAAATTTAAATTCAAAACCAAGCAAAATTATAGTCCTATCTCGATCTATTTGATGAATTAACTTGCACCATTTGCGTCAACGATTGTTTGATACCACTGGTGCTCCTTAGTCCTTTAATATTGGAGCAGGGACATTTTAATTAGCATCAATTGATGCAAAAAGGCCGTTAACATACAGACGGACGGACGGACGGACAAGAGTAATTCAATAGCTCTCGTGCTACGCAGGGTGAGCTAATAAAGAAGATGTATTCATGAATTTACTACTTGACTTTAATTTGTTTTTATTCAAATTTTTATCAAATATTTATTAAAATTGTATAAATAATTGCACAATTATGTAACTTCAGCCTTATTTTCATACTACTCGACGCACGCACGCATACTTTTTTTCTGTGTGGGGGGAAGAAAGTGGAGAAATTTAGAAGAAAACTAGACCCGAATTGAGACATGTTCACGTAAATACATATGTACAATGCTTGGTTGGCATCATGATTAATTAATTAATTAGCTAATTAAACCTGTAATTAAGTTGGAATTATTATCACTTGGTCCACACACCGGGTTGGTTGGTGGTAATTTTTGGATTTTCTTCACCTGCGGTCGGGGAGGCGGAGGAGGTCTTTGTAGGCGAGGAGGGCGTCGCGGAGGGCGATGGAGATGGACGTGTCGACGCCGGGCAGCCCCACGATGGCCACGAGGTCGGGGTAAATCCCGATTATGTGCTCCCATGTTCCTCCTGTAACTACATAAAGTAGCGTTAGTTAAGAAACCCACAAATTTTGGGGGGAAGAGGTTGGAAAACTGGGTTTCCCAGTTTTTGAAATTTACCAAATGTGATGTGATCCAGTAAAATTTAAAGTATCTTCTAGATTATAAGAACTTTTATATAAAAACAAAAACTGAAACCCGGTTTTACAAGATTGGAAAGACGGAATTTTGATGCGTGAGGGAAAAATCACGCCTCGACCTTTACCTCGACTAGGATCCGCCGTCTTCAAATTCTCAATCAGCGAAGTGATCGCACGAAGGACAAAGTTCATCTCGGCCAGGCGGTGGCTGCACAAAATAATTCCTTAATTAGCATAATAATTAATTAATTAGCGTAAAATGAGAACAAGATCATTGGTCGAAATAAATTTTGAGCCGCAAGGTTTAGATTTCTAAGGGCTGGTTAGGTTACACCCAGAAAAAGAGGAGAATCTGCATATGCACAGTAATTACGGCAATCCTGCGAAAATAGATAGACGTGCTTTGTAAAGAAATTGGGTTTTTATCGCAGTCAAAATACTAAAAACTCGTGAAAATACTGTGTTTTGAGAGGGATACAAGATTACTTTATTCCCAAAACTTGTTGCATCTTCCATGCAGATTCTCCTCTTTTTGTGGGCGTAATATGTAAACCTGGAATACTGAATTCAATGAATGATTTTGACCAACGGAGTGCAAAAACAATAGAGTTTTATATACCGTTGGATTGGAATGTGCGAATTATGATTGACGTATTCTTTGTAGTTTAGCAAAATATTTTGGAATCGTTGGAGGAGCGCGAGGACGGCGATTTTCTTGCCGTCTTCGCCACTCTGCATTTCCACGATGGCCGACACGTTCGTCGGCCCCTTCAGGACGAACTCGAGCAAGGAGGAGAAACAGAAACGGACAAATTCCTCACGCTCGGAAACGTTGATTCCGTCTGCAAAAAAGAAAAGAAGTTAAAAAAAAATGCTTGCACAATGTACGTCACACATTTTCAGAGCAGAGATTCAAGAGCAAATTAGTCTCAGGAAAATTAATTAGGATGAAATTTGCAAAAGACACGCAACAAGGTTGGAAAGTGTACAGTTTTTCGACTTTTTTGGCTCGTTTTCTCCTCTTCGGATGCAAATATCTCGGGTAAAAGTGCGCATTGAAAGATCGTGGCTTTTTCATACTAATCAAATTTGTAATGGATTAAGACAACTTTGCAAAATCTGAGAGCATACATGTTCAAAAATTGAGTTTTCATTCAAAAGTCCGTCATTTCTGATTGATATTTTCAATGATATTCTTTAAAATTCATTTCATTTCACTTCATCTTACTTCATTTATGAATTTGTAGATGAAAAATGAAATGAGTGAGAAACCCACAGTCATTCATCTGAAATGACGGAATCTTTCACTCAAATGACAAGAAATTCATTTTCATTCACTATCATAATGAGTCAAATGAATGAAAGTGAACAGGTATGTCTGAGAGATTATTTTGCACCCACCATACTCGTTGATGCAGGAGCCGCGATGGAAGATTTTGACGACTTGGATGAGGAACTGGGCGGAGAGGACGGGTTCGTTCCGGAAGACGAGGTCCTTGAGGAGGCCGACCATGCGGACGTCCATCTTCTCGTCCTTCCACCCCTTCTTCGTCATCCAGTCCCCTGAGCCGGACGAGAAAAAGAGGAACTCGGACGCGCAGTGGGCCAGCTCCATCCAAAAGGCGGCGCTCGAAGGTCGCTGGTCCACCATGAGCGGGACGGAGAGGAAAAACTGCGCCGCGCACTCTCTCCACGCGCCCTCCGAGTTGAGGAAACGGGAGGCCAGGATGGGACGGAAATTCTGAAAAAGAGATGAATTTTTTAGGAACCAGAGGGTGGATATGTATGAATTTACGAAAAAGTGTCAAAATATTTACGAAATATGTAAGAAAATCAGGAGAAGAATTTGAAATTTTGAAGGGGGATACAAAAAACAAAGGATAAATTTGTTACAATCAATTATCAATTATTACCAGAGGGCGGTTATGTACATAAATAAAATAGATAATGATAATATAAATAAATAATAATATTGAGTAAATTTACTAAAAATGTGGACAAGATTTACGCATTTTTTTTAAATAAGAGAGGAAGAATTTATGTCTGAAAAAATGTGGAAATATGTGAAATAAAAGATTGAAATTTGTGCTAAGGTTAACACACCGACAAAGAAAATGCGTTTTGACATTAAATGAAATAGTTGAAAATAAATAGATAACCGGGCTCTGGTAATTTTGCGGGTTTCTTACGGTCATGGCCTGTTGGAAGAAGTCGTCCTCCACGACGCTCTTCTCGGTGCAGATGTTGGACAAAATGGAGACGGAGAGTTTTAAACATTTGACCCCGAATTCCATACAGTTCGGGATGACGCCTTCCTGTAAATGAAAGAAATCATTTAAATTAGTCGTCTTATCTGGACAGATAAGTGAAGTGAAGTCGTCGCAATCCACTCACGAGTGGGATTCCCTTGGCGCAGGTGGTATTGCGGACAGCATAGGCGCCAAAGTCGATCAGTTGGAGGATCACGCAGGGCAGGAGGACTTTCAGTTTGGGCGTTTGCAGGGACTCCTGAAGGAAAAAAAACAAGATATGAAATCAATTCGCCAAGATTATGGTTTAACTATGGCGCAAGTTTATGCGGACCTTAATGATGATGTCGTAGGCTTGATAGATTTGATCCTGCAGCGGCGTCATGCCACTGTCGGAGGAGGAAAAGAGTATCGTGGACGCACCCTCGGCCGACAAAGGGATGACCAAACTCTTGCCAATTATTGCATTCAGCTTCGTCAAGTCCTTTATCGTCAGTCTGAAAGGAAAATAGAAATTTAGGACGTCACAATTTCCAAAAAAAGATATAAATTGTAATTTTTTTGAGGTGTCCTTTTGACCGACCTGTTTTTGAGGGGAGGGAAGAGATACTGGAAAATGGTGACGTAGGCAGTGAGGAAATGTTGATGGGCGCCCCGCTCGATGACCACTTTCTCCCCAATGTCCAAGTACACGATCCAACTCCGCTTGCTGATCTCCTCCGGCTCTGAAAGGTTACAAACTTTACTAACAATGGAGGCGCAAACCATGTTCAGCCCAGATTATTTTTTGACCATGTTAGGTTGGAAGAGCAAGTCTCTAGAAACAACATTTGGTTCACCACAAAGTCCAGAGCGAGCTCACTCTCGACCACTTTTTGCGAACTTGTGGCGCCCATAACTTGCTGAATTTTGCACATCTGCGCAAGTGCCGAACCAAATGTTGTTTCTAAAGACTTGCTCTTCAAACCTAACATGGTCAAAAAATAATCTGGGCTGAACATGGTTTGCGCCTCCATTGTAAGAACAAGCCCCAAATATAAATAAGTAGTTGCCGTTTTTATTAAAATTTCGCAAAACCAGCAATATTCTGGAAGGAAATATATTAATAAAATCGAGTGTTTTTTTTGTACTGACCGACATAATCTGTGACATCGCAGCCACCGGGAATGTAGAGGGATTCCTGGAGCGACTTGAGCGCGGCGAGGGACACCTCGTCGTTACTGCTCATCGCCCAGTTCTGCATGAATTGGAGGAAGAAGAACCAGGCTTTTTGAAAGTCGGCAATCTCCAAGAGGTTCGACCGCTTCGTGCTGAAGATTTTCGAGATCCCGGACAACACGAGGACCTAAGAAGGAAAAAAGAATTATTTATTCAGCCCCGAATAATCAGGTGGCATTAATTAATTAATTGCATGTTATTCTCACCTGCGTCTCTGACCACTGTTTTTGCTCCGTATTTCTCGAGTGGTGGATGAGAAGGGTGTTCTGCCCGTCGACTTTTTCACTGCTCGCACTCTTGGACGATTTTTCGACCTGCTCCAAAAGTGGAAATAGCACCTGCACCAAAAAAAATGAGAGAGTTTAATTATCAGAGAATATTCATTTGTGGCAAATATTTAGTCCAAATATGGACACATTTTTTGAAATAATTGTGATTATGATAAATACGTAAAAATATTTTGAGGACACTTGGGAATTTTGTCAGAAATTGAGGTAGGAATCTTCAAAAATTGGGAAACCCTCTGACCTGCCACATGACGGAGTCCCATGAATATTTGCTTAAAATGTTGGAGTGCGCCGCAATCGTGGAGAATAGCGTTTGGCCGGACGACTTCCGAACCGCGGGACGCTCATCCACACAAAGCTCGCCTGATTTGAATAATTTAAAGAATAATAATTTGTTACTAAACTTTGTGTGTGAAAAGAGAAATGCAGGAAATTTTATGGCGCACCTAATCGTTGATAAATTCCTAACCAGAGTCGGTCAAACTGGGGGATTTCGGAGACTCCGGGGAAATCGGGGAACACGGCGACCTCGGGGGTTAAATTGTCCAACATTTTGATCCGGTTTTGGTACAGGAAGTCGGCAATGTTCCACTGCAAGAGGATGATTATTTAATTATAGTGAAAAAGAGAGAGCATGAATGAGGATTAAGTTGAGCTGACCATGAGTCCGATGGCGCTGAGGGCGACGTTAAGCTCTTGCTTTTGCCGGGCGAACTTGGCGACGGTGTCGATGGAGGGGGGGATGCAGCCGTACGGCAGCACCGGCAGGTAGTCCGTCACCACGAGTTGCAAACATTGGAAGGCGGACCGGATCAGACCCTCGCTGCAAAAAGAGGACAAAATAAGGACAATTCCATCCCAATCAGCCACTGACGAGTTGCACGGGCTTATTAGGATTTCTAAATATCCGTAAAATGGATGTCTTTAAGACGTGTCCAATTGGACGACGTCTTATGGATCTCAATTTCGCGGACATTTAGACGTACAACAGGCGTCATTACGACGTGTAACTCGTATCTTTCTTTTAATAGACGCCGGGTTTGTGGGGTAAGTTGTGTAAAAAAATCGAGCCAAAAATTAGGACTCACGTGGAACTTATCTTTCCGTTGAGGGGTCCCTTTGCAGAAAAATATTGGGACAAAATTCCATTTTAGAGTAAATTTTCTCTCCCTTTTTCCTCCAAAACGCAGGCCTACGTGGGAACTTTGTCGCCATTATTTTTCTTGAATAAGGGGTCATTCAAGGGAAAGATCAGTGCCATGAGATTTCTAATTTTTGGCTCGATTTTTTGCTATAACTCGTTAAAAGATCCGGAGACGTGGCTTGAAAAAGGTTCCATTTTTACCTGTGATTGTCGTAAATGTCTCCGAGGATGCTGATGGCGAGGGGCCAGCTGCTCCGGAGCTTGTCGCCCTTGCAGTGGAGGATCTGGGAGAGGGCCATGAGCTGCTTGTTGCGAACGTCGTTGTGGGGGACGGAGGAGAGTTCGCAGAGGGGGCTGAGGAGCAGGCCGGCCACTTTGTCCTCCTCGCTCTCCTCGTGCAGCAGGGCGGAGCGGACGAGGAAGGTGATGGCTTCCGAGCCCCACTCCCGCATTCGGATGTGCGGGTGACGACACACTTCCAGGAGGTGGTTCGTCAAAGGCCGCCAGTAGATTTCTACCCGGTCCAGGTTCACAAGACCGATTTCCAACAGTTTCGCCACCGCGAAGAGGGAGGGTTCCTGGAATGAGGGGAGTTAAGTTAGGATTATTGCATGATTTTTTATGGAAATGTTGGGATTTTAAGGAGTGAAATTGGTCCGAAAAACAAATTAAAAAGGTTTTCTAGGATTTTCACTTTACTTTTATTTTATCTTAACTCGGGAAAGTTGAGCTAAATAAAATTATTTAATAAATGATATGTAATTGCTGATTAATTTGAATAAATTCGTACGATTTGTTAAATAAAAGAATGAGTCAAAATAAATTATAAAATGGATAAAATCACAAATAAATAAAATTGAGACTCAAAACCCGCGATTAATGCAACGTTAAAAATCTGAACGATATTTTTCCTCTTAAGAATTTTGATAAATTTCTGACCCGATTAGAATAAGCGATTTCCATGGCTTCCTGGCTCAGATTGGTGAGGGCGTTGATGACGTGGTGGAGGGAGACGTCATCGAGGACGACGGAGGTCTCGATGAGACGCATGACGCCGCCGGAAAGACAGCTGACAAAGTCGACGACGACGCCCATGACGCCGACCCCCCCGGCGGAACCGGACCGAGAGCCGGGTCCTCCCAAGAGGGCTGACGACCCGTTCAATTTCGACGTCTGCGCAGACTTCATGACGCCCTTCGTGGAGGACGCGATGCTGAGCTCGGAAACGCCCGCCGTGATCCCGGACGTCATCTGCGGACCGGTCGAACCCCATCCGGTCGACGAGGAGGTCGAGTAGCTAAATGTATAAAGAAAAAAAAGATTATTAATTCAGATATTGTATTTCATTTATGCACGTGGATTAGATTTCTCAAAATTGAAATGATTTTGTAAAAAAAAGCAGTGAGGAATTTTTGAAGAAGAAAGTTTAATTTGTAGAAAAAATAAAATTATGTGCAATTTTTCGATTTTTTAAGAAATATAAAATAAGAAAGAGGATTCAGTTTTTAGGTATTTTCTTTTAAAAAAGTTCGTCATTTAATAACGAATCTCATTTTAGAATCTCATTTTTAGGAATGAAATTGGGCATTTAAAAAAATCAAAAAATCTGATTTGAAAATCTTCATTTTTTGACACAAAATCCAGATTTGCAATGGAATCCACTCATTTCTCACCCCGATTCTCCCGAGGAGTTTGTAATACTGTTGACACTGCTGGCGAGCGAGCTGGTTTGCTTGGAGTCGATGCCGAGGCGCGCGACCTGGTTGGAGATAAAGTCGGCGGAGGACTTGGCGACGATGCCGCAGACCCAGCAGAGGTGTTGCAGCGTTGTCAACACGGTCAGCCACGAGGTCAGCAGGATGGGGCCAGACTCCAGGCACAACCGCAACACGGAATGCGTCACCAGCAAATTCTTCTTCGTCAGCATGACCGGTGTGGACTGCAGGGCTGGGAAAACACACGTGGATAAGTACATATCAGAGCAATGTTTTCATGGAAATTTATATTTAATATTTATTTACGAAGAATTATTGGAAACTTTTTCTGGGAAATTGTTAGTTAACTCCCTGCTCAAGATTTTTATAGTGGAATTTGTTACGAAAAAATGTTTTCAAAAGAATTGAAAATTTCCAAAAGAAGAAGAAGAGTGACCCAATTTCCATTTTGTGGACTTACTGGGTGGTAAAGCTAGCGAGGGGACGACGCTGGTCCCCACGACGACGACTTGTTGTTTGCCATTATCCATTTCCGAGTAGCTGATGGGATGCGGGGATTCGCCATGACCTGAGATAAATAATCCAACTTGATAAAAGGGTGCATGATTATATATGATAAGCACAAGAAGATAACCACTCACCAATGGTTCCCTTGAGGACGGCGTAACCATAGTGGGGAGGGAGTGTGGCGACGCAGAGGGACAAGACGGTCGACTCGCGACACTGCTGCAGCCCCGCCTTCCCGCTCAACGTCGCCAGGTCCACTAAACGCTCGCAAATCGACTCCGTTATCCCGTCGTCAATGCTGAAAGGGGAGAAATAAAATATGGAAATTGAGGTCACGCAGTCATTGGTAAATTTGTAAAATCCGTAAATTCTGTAAAATAATTTTACGAGATTTTTACAAAATTAAGAGATTTGAATTTACAAGGTGACAAAAAATCTGTAAGCTAATTTTACTTGGATATATTTCTAAAAGTTTAGAGAATTTGGGGATTTTACAAAGTTACCAAGACCTGCGTGAATTTGTTAATTTATTGTTTGCAAACCTAGCTTCCAATAAAAGATTGAGCGCGGCCAGAAGTCCGGGCCAACTTGAGGTGAGCAATTGTTTCAAAACTGCGGCGTCTGTAAAAGAAGAATTATGTAAATTTGTCCTGATTTTTTTTTCGCACGTGTGAAAATGAATGCGTAAAATCTGACTCACTTTCGACCTGTCCTTCTTCCACGTCTCGCTCGATTTGGACCAAACTGAGGACAAAGTCGGAGAGGCAGGCGAAGGAAATTGCAACTCCGTAAGACTCACAGGTGGCAAAAGCGGGGGGTTCTTGTTTATCAGTGAGCTCCATCCTGGGGAAAAATAATTGAGTGATTAAGGAAGTAATTAATTAATTAATTGGAGGTAAAAGTTAACGAAGGATTTGATGACGAGTCACAAAAATGGACAAAATCAACACATTTTTAATCATTTCTCGCCTCTTGGAGTTTATTTTAAAATTATGTACGACCAATTGTAGAACAGAGAGTTGCCAATTTAAAAAAATGTACACTCCAGATTTTGACTGTTTAAGAAGAAATCTTAAGTTTCCCAAGCCTTGAGAAAATTTTGAAAAATTTCAAAAACTCTCACAGCCATTCTATTAATCAACTCACTGAGGACAAATTAGTCGCGTTCAGAATTTTAAAATAAGTTCCCAGAGGCGAGAAATGATTATTAAAAATGTGGTTATTTTGCCGACTCACAGCTGGGGTTTTGGGGTGGAAGGTTGATAAACGTGGATCAAGGGGACCAAACTGCCCCTGAAGTAGAAGCCCATCATGGACCCGTCACTGCCCACTGATCCGCCCCCACTGCCGCCCAAACCCCCGCTCCCCACGCCCCCACCGCCCGGACCCCCGAGATGATGTCCGTTCGTCACACCGCCCAAACTGCTACCCTGCATCCCGCCCCCGTGAAGCTGCTGACCTCCGCCCCCTCCACCACTGCCCCCCGGACCAACGCCACCGCCCCCACCGCCGCCTCCCATCCCCGCCATGATTGGATTCGCAAAGACGGACTGGACATAGGCTCCCAAGGCGTTCACCATGTCCTGCACAGAGGCAATTAAGTAATTAGTTAATTAGCAAACTAAGAATGCAGGTTGGCCAAAAAATGATCAGATTTTGAGGAAATTGGTGTCAATTGAGTACAAATTTAGCTAGTATGAAATTTGGGAAAGCCACGATCTCCCAATTTCGCAAAATTATTTCGCAACTTCCGACTAATCGTAACTAAGTTATAGTAGAAATTTGAAAAAATCCACTTCAAGGAAACCAAACAAAAACACATTTTTATACCGGTATTTTTATACCTTTGCGAATTTTTAGAGCTCCACAAATTTGCAAAATAATTAGCATAATATTAATTACTTAATTAAGTCCTCTCTCTCTCTCTCTCTCTCTCTCTTTCTCTCTCACCTTACAAATATTCGTAGCGTGTGGTTTAAGATCGTATGACTTGCAAAATTTGGACAAATGTTGGGGGGACGTGATGAGCTTGTGGAGGACTTCGAGGGCCAGGCACCGCTGCCACGTGGGTTTGTCCGGGTCCAGAAATCGGACGAGGAGGGAGAGGAATATTTCGCATTCGGTGACGAGAAGCGTGTAATATTTGGAAATCAGGATGTCGACGATTCTCAAGAGTCGAACGGACGTGGGGTAGAACGGTTTGTCGAGGAGGAGGTCACTTCCCCCGCCGCCCCCACCACCGCCGCCGCCGCCGCCTTGATGGTAATGATGGGATTGGTGGTTCGCCTTGAATTTGGCGTTCGGCGAAAATAACTTGATAACCATGGCGCAAACGCGTTCCTTTAGGAGGAGGCTGAATTGGTCGTACTAAATGAGGGGGGAATTAATTAGTTAGTTAATTAATTAATGTAGTTAATGTGACTCATCACCAAAATTAGCACATTTTTAATCATTTCTTCTCCGCTCTGGGAACTTATTTTAAAATTCTGGACGACAAATTTGCTCTCAGGGTGAGTTGATTGATTAAATGGGGGTGAGTTTTCAGTAGGGGATTCAACACCGGTTTTTCAAAACCTGAAAAACCGGAGAAAAACCGGTTTTCGGTTTCACCGAAAACCGGTTTTGCCAATTCTAAAAACCGGTTTTTCGTCAAAATTTTAAATTTTTAAACGGTATTATTTTTCGAATTTTGACGCTATTTAAACAAAATCGATAACATTCATGCTTAAAATTAAGGCCTGCAATTATTTTAAAAAACTATTTGATAATTTTTAAGACTTTTGCTAGTTGTTTGGAATAACACAATTTAAAAAGTTGCAAAAACAGTCAACAAAATTAATAGCAGTGATTTTGAAAAACTGCATAAATTATTAGCAAGTAGTCTAGGTTTCGTATCCAACTGCGATAACGGCTTTTTAACCCCTTTATACTTTAAAGCGATTCCGTATTTCATTCATAAATTAATACTCGGAACTTCAAATTTCTAAGTAAGTATTTGCACAAATTATATTTTCGAATAAACTGCGAAGGTGGTTCTAACATAGAAACATGTGCAAAAACCTGAAGTTATAGCATTTTAACAGCTTTAAGTTTTGCTTGAAAATTGTATGTATGTGCGGTCCGACTTGTGCATTAAATGCACTGCATTTAAGAAAATGCTTATCTTGTCCATGAATAGAAACAAATTTCTCCGGTCAAAACCCAGTGCAAATGTTAGCCAAAAATGGGCAACCTTACAAATGGGTAAAATCTTAACGATGACACACTGGTCTCTTTTTTATCTACTTTCCTACGAATGTAGTATTTTCTTCTGGATTAGATATTGAAGTAGATAGTGCTTTCCTGTAATTTTTAGAATAAAACTAGGCTTCGGTTATATATTTACAATTAATTGGCATCTTAATATTACCACCTTAACAGATAATCTATTAAGTTAGCATATTTATTTCCTCAAAGAATTAGAGAAGATATATTTTGTAATTAGTTTGACGTTTTTCGTAAATCTTTCCGCCAGGCCGTTGTTCTCAAGGTTAGGGCTTTTAAACCTACGATACCCACCTACTTAATTTGCCTAACAATCTAGTGCACAAAATATTACTTTCAAAAAACGGTGAAAAACCGGTTTTTCACCGGTTTTGGTGGGTTGAAAACCGGAAAACCCGAAAACCGGTTTTCAGAAAAGGGTCCGGTTTTGAATTCCCTAGTTTTCAGCGAGTTTCTAATTTTTTTGAATGCTTCTTAAACTTGAGATTTCCTCCATAAAAAGTAGTGTTAAAATCTGGAGTTTTAAACATTTTAAACAATTTGGCAACGACGTGCTTTACAAATTTGTCGGGCCAGAATTTTAAAATAAATTTCCAGAGGGCGAGAAATGATTAAAAATTGGGGACGAGTCGTAAATTAATTATGAGTCATATTTGTATCTACTACCTTTTCAAATACGAATGGAAATCTGGCCAAGACCGTTTCGAGCAATTCTAGTCCAAAAGTTCGGAACATTTCTGAAATGCCGACCAACCATGTCGGCTGTTCCCCGTTGACGAGGAGGATAAGGTCTTGAAACAGTAAGTAGGCGTCACTCCCTTCCGGTGATAATTCTATTAATTAATTAATTGATTAATTAATTACTTTAATCACTCCCAATTAAAATTAATTACCTTCCGTGACGACTTCGTCCTTGTCGATCCTTTCGAAGACGAGGGAGACGAGTTGTCGGACCGTGGCGCCGGCGGCGTGGGACGTGGTGACGTCTTTGGAGCAGTGGAGTCTGAAGCAGAGGACGAGGTTTTTTGCGAGGAGGTCGCCCTTCACCGTGTCGTTCGTGGTGAGGAGGAGGGTCACGGTTTGGAGCACTTTGATCTCCTCCATCCCCACTTCCAGGAGGGACACGGCCGTCTCGTACACACTCCGCGCCCCCTTCGCGTCCACGTGACCGCCCGTGATCAGCTTTTGGATGGAGTGCAGGCAGAGCTGGATAAGAAAAAATTGGTTAATATGAGGGAAAAATATAGTATTTTGAGCTGTGAAAGCCATAAAAAGACGAAAATTTACGTGGAGAAGGGAGTCACACGAAAATAGGGGGGTTTTGTGAAGAAATTAACTTTTTATGGCTGGAAAAATACTTTGTTTTAACGATTTTTTAAAAAAACTAGAGTATTTTGACACTGATAAAAAGTTCGGTTTGTCATAAAACATTGTATTTTCGAATGACTGTGACCTGCTCGGTGCAGATTAGCATCTTTTTGTGGGTGTAAAATCCCCGGGAATGTGAAGAACGGTGCTCAAAAATACTGTACATTTTAACACACTATTTTTGCACAATAATGAATCCTGAATTATTAATTATGAGGAACGAACCTTGACGATTTTGGGGTCCTTGGTGTCACACCCTTGAATGACGGGGTAGAGGGCCTGGTTGGTAATGTAGGCCATGGAATTGGGGGAATTTTGTGCCGCACGAATCTTGGCGATGGCCTCTTCGCAGGCATCCTTGACGAATCCGTGCTTCTTCTTCGTCTCCAAACTCAACGTTTTCAAGTCATTTTGCAACGCGAAGATTAACTTTTCCGTCGCCGCGTCGCCCATCTTTTCGACGGGCGGATTTATAACAATTTTTTCGTGGTGTCACTTAGTTCAAATCACTGTTTTCTGGCATGTTAACCACGATAAGGTCAATACTTACTTATCGCTTCAGGGGACGAGGCGAACAATCGGGACAATGATTACCAATTTTTTTTGTACTGGTTTGAATTACTTATAAAGCTAAGTTAATTAATTCGAGTTCACAACCAATTTTTCCTGTCAAGTGGAAAAAATAGAAATTATTAGTTAATTTCTCAACAAAATTGTTGTTATTAATTGTTATAGAACTTTCGAATATGTTGTAATCACAATTAAATATTAAGTATTAATTACTTACAATTGAATTGTTTTGTTTTGATTTTCACTTTTTCTCCTGGCCGACCTAGGAGGAGGAGGACTTTGGAGCTGGAAATGATACCATTTTGTGTGGGGGGGGGGAATTTAGTGTGAAATGTGGAAACTTAATTGGAACCGGACGGGTTAGGAAATTAAATGACAGATGATCAATATTCAAATGAGTGATGTGTCAGTTTCACTCGTATTCGCTAGAAAATCCGACTTTTTGTAGGCTGGCAGGCAGAAGAAGTTGGATGGAAAATCGGCTGGTGCATTGTGTCACCCGATCAACCGAATTCCGTCGTTCGGGTTTCTTAACTTCCCGGCCAGCCAAAGTTAAAGTTGGCTGGGCAGTTTAAATTAAAATTAATTAATCCATCGTTAAATTAAATTAAAGTATCTGCCCTCCTAGACTGGTAAGAGATTGAGAGAAATTGAGAGAAATTAATTTTTTAAGAAATTGATAGAAATTGAGTGTCTCACCTAAGAAAAATTGGCACGAATTGGCATGCCTAAATTTGGTGTGCTAAAAAATTGGCATAGATTGGCAGAGATTGGCACAAATTTTGGCCCAAATTGTCACAAATTTTGGCATGCTAAAAATTGGCATAAATTGGCGTACTGCCCATCCGACTGTTTCTTACTGCGTTAATTTCTGTAAATTTTTTAGACCGTGAATTTCTGTCATTTACTTACAAATGTAAATTTGTTAGAACGTAAATTTCTGAAACTTTATTTACATGGCAATTTTGGTCAATTTTTAGCTTTTCTTAAATGAGGCAATATTTACCAAGTATGCAAATTTCTCCAAGTTTTTAGCAAGCTAAATTCTAAGAAATTATGATGCACTAAAAAACTGAAAAAAAACCTGACATGCTATTAAGAAAAAGAGATTAAAAAATTACATTGTTAAAAATTTTGAAAAAACTGATGTGCTAAAAAATTAGGAGAAATTGGCGTATTAAGATGAGTCATCTTATCGTGTAGATAATCAATTATAGTCAATTAATTTCACTCCATTTTTGTACAACTTTACAGTTCTTTTATCGTCCTCATTTAATTGTCCAAGCGGTCCACTACTGCTCAAGATAAGTGAACTTATCAAGAAAATGTTGGTGGACACACCGATCTCTCACGGCAAGGCGACGATCCGGCTTATCAACCCGAACCAGTCGAGGGAGGAGACGTTGTTGGACATGATCACGGCGATCGACACGTTGGCGACGATTTCGGCGGACATCTTCTCCTCCATCAAGGGCCGGCTGGACGAGCAGCGCAATCATCTCGCCGCGCTCGATGGCAGGGTCAACGTCGCCGCGGAGAGGGTCGAACAGGTAAAAGTAAAAGAAGAAATTATGCTTATCGAAGATAAGAGCAGTTCATTTGAATCTGAGAAATTTGGAGTAAATACAATTAAGTTTGACGATTTCATTTGTTTATACACAGTTTTGTTTTATTTATTTAATTACAAAGTATAATTTATTATTGATTAGCTAAGTGAATAAGTAATAAGGTATCTTATCTAAAATATGATCGATTTTAGAAATTTGAAGGTCCTAAAATTCACTAATGATGGAGGTCTCCCAACGTATGCTCACAGATTTTGACGAAATTAGTGTCAATCGATCACAAATTTGGTTAGTGTGAAATTTGCAAATGGCACGATCTCCCAATGCGCAAGTTTGGCAGAGATATTTGCATAAAAACTTTTTATTAAAAAGAGGAGAAATTTATGCAAATATCTCTGCCAAACTTGCGCATTGGGAGATCGTGCCATTTGCAAATTTTACACTAACCAAATTTGTGCTCGATTGACACTAATTTCGTCAAAATCTGTGATGTGAGTGAACGTTGGGAGACCGGAAAAAATTCGTTGCTAGGCGACGTTAAAAAAAGTATGTTCCGTTGCCATTGTGAATTAAATAATTTCATGAATTATTACAAAATATATTGACAGTGATTAATAAAATAATGATGATAATGAATGATTGTCATCACCGGCAATGGCCAGGATTAAGTTACGTTGACCGTTTCCATGGCGCGTTGCCATAGAAACGGTGTCAATTATTTAAATAAATATTTTATAAATTTACATTAAAGAGAATGGAGCTTGAGAAATTTAAACATGGGTTACTTCAACTAATTAAGTTTTGTTTGATCATATTAATTTGGAATTAATTTGATTAATTAATTAAAAATTTTATGCATTTTGTTTTCCCAGGTTCGAGGTTCGGCGAAAGCGATCCGGATAATTTCCACGGCCAAGTTTCCCTCCGAGGAAGACGACGACATGAAATCGCACCTCAAGCCGATGACGATTATTCCGACGAGGAGTGACACGTGGTCCCCCACAATTTCTGGCCCCCGGACCAGCCTGCCTACCCGCTTCGACGCCCCGATTCAACACCCGGACGACCTGCTGGCCTGTTTTCATGTCCGTGACGTCGCCGTGTCGCCGCTCGGGGTGGCCTTGGCGGAAACCGGGTTGGATCACGCGCCCCCGTCGCTGCGCCATGTCGACTCGTTCCTCCTCTTCAACACGACGGAGAACCCGTATCGGCACTATCGCCTACCCGGAAAAGCGGGTAGAATCAGCAATAAGCATCAGCATTTAAGGAGAGACGACAATTTTCTGGAGACGACGACGACGCCGTCGCCGCGACCACCGGAGACCTCGTCGCCACCAAAGGCGAGCAAACTGGACGATTTTTACTACTCCCCGTCAACCCTGAGCATTCCGGATATCGACGTTCCCGACCAGCTGCCAGACTTGGAAGGTAGGAATAATAAAGTGCAAAATTCGATAAAAAATTGTTCAAAAAAATTATGAAAAAATTGACATTTGTGAATTTGTGAATCTTTAAGGGGTTGAATTTAATCGGGAAAGTCTCTTTCTCTTGACAGAAAATTGGAAGAGTGCTAAAAGTTGGCACAAAATCAGCACAATTTTGGCGTGCTAAAAAATTGGCATGCCAAAATCAGCACAATTTTGGCGTGCTAAAAAATTGGCATGCCAAAATTAGCACAATTTTGGCGTGCTAAAAAATTGGCATTCTTAAATTAGCACAACTTTTGGCGTGCTAAAAAAACTACGTTAAAATTAAAAATCTTTTTTCAGTGAGGCGAGGGTGTGAGTACAAAACTTTGAAACGAGAGCATTGAACAAACTTCAAAATTTAACGTTTCCCAACTTTTGGGTCGCCGCGGCCCGAAATGAGTGTAGATTTTACAGCTGGAGTTGATTCATATATGCTCGATATGGAAATTTTATTCTTGGTTACCAATGGCAACCAGTCATGAAAAGTTTCTCATTTGTCCACCCATTTTTCTCGGATTTTTTTAAAAATTAACATAACGCACGAATTTATTCCAAATATTCAAATTAAATCACCAATTACATATCATTTATTATAAAAATATTGAGGCGACGTCTTCTCGACAAGACTTTGCAAATTTTGGCCGTCATGGATTAAGCCACCTGTATCTTCTAGGCTCTTAAATTGTTACAATTTTCGGTTATTTTAGGACAGTTTCATAATTCATAAAATATCATTAATCAATATATTACAAGGTTTTTTATCAAACGGCGTATCAAAAATATGGGAAAAGCTATACGTAAAATTCCGTATTATCACAATTTATCACATCATAAAAACTAATTGGATTTATCTTACAGACTTACAGGATTTAGTTAAACATGTAGAAAGGGAAAGATAATTGGGTTAAAAATTTAAATTAATATTTATTTTATTTTTCAAAATTTTATAAATACCAAATTTGTCCCAATTGGTTACCAATGGCAACCAGCTAGCTCCATGAAAAGTTTCTCACTTGTCCACCGATTTTTCTCTGATTTGTCTCAAATACTAAAATCACCTGTTTGCATCAATTTATGATTGTCTGGTGAAACTGAATTTCCGGTTTATTTTAGTAAGTTTCAAAGACCATAAAATCCTTGTAATACCGAGAAAGATGAAGAAAGAGAAAGTAGATTTCGTAATTGTCTGATTTTTGTTTTTCAAGAATTTTTCACTAAATCTAACCCTTCCTATTTTCAGAGACTGGTCAATCCCGGATTAAGGATTGGGGATTGAGATTGGGATTGGGGATTAATTAATCCTTAATCTCAATCCTTAATCCCGAGTTTTTGAATTTTAATCCTCAATCCCTAATCCCCAATCCAACTGTCAACTTTAATCCAAAAGTGGGATTGAAATGGGATTAAATTTGAATTGACTAAAAACTCGAAAAGCAAACTTCTCTTGAGATCGCTCCCCTTTCGAAAATTGATTGCATTTCGTTCATTTTTATCAAACATATAAAAATACTTTACAATATTTTGCAAAACTACTGGTATCGCGGTATCCTCAATGCACAATGTTCAAATTTTGTGTGAGCTTATAACGAGATGTGAGTACTCTGACCAAACTATGATCAAAACTCTTCGTTAAAATAGTACCAAGAAAAAAATTAGAATTCTTCCCCTATGTAATTTTTAGCACAAAAAATATTTAATTGCGACTTAGAAATTGTATTCACAAGCGATCTAATTTTGCATGCAAAATGTTCAAAACATTTCAATTTCAGAAGTTCAGAGATTTATTTAATTAATTTTATAAGTCTGGCATGCACTTTAATGCAAACAATTAATCCACGACTATGTAAATTAATTTCCATACCAGGTAAACCCTAAATTTAGTCTCGTGTTAATCCGAAAACCAGATTAAATTTAATCCCGTGTCAATCCTAATCTCAGATTAAATTCAATCCCTAATCCCAATCCTTAATCCCAAAATTTGAAAAATTAATCCTTAATCCCTAATCTCAATCCCAAGATTTTAAATTTAATCCTCAGTCTCAATCCTTAATCCCAATATCTTTAATCCGCCAGTCTCTGCCTATTTTACTATTCATTCAAAATTAATAAGTAGACAGTAAAACATCTTTCATTAATTTTTAAGATCACATTATTTTCCAACTGATTTTGATTTAAAAACAGTAGAATAAATATGGATAATTACATCGTTGTCAATGGCAACTAGCAACTTGGGTCATTTTCGACTTTTAACAAATTTTGAGAACTTTTCATCGCATTGATTTTGAACGAGCAGTCGGCTTATTGGCCTTCTTTTTCGTCGTGAGGAGGGTTGCCCTTGGTTACGATTCCTCACCTCGGGAAAAAAAACTTATTTTACAAACTCGTACCCCTCCGAAAAACTAACTTTTTTCTGTTTATTTTGCTTATTTTGAAAACTAGGCATCGTGGATCACCTGGATTACTTCCCTTCTCTGAATGAAAATGAGGCTGGCTTGGGATTTTTCTCCTTCAGTCCGACCCCCACGACCGTAGAACCACCACCCGCTCCACCCACCGCGCCCGCGCCCACCGCGACCACTTCTTCACCAAGTAAGACCATCGCTCCCACCAGCATTCCGCCACCCTCTGCCGCCGCACCGCCACCACCCCCGCCCCCACCGACGCAAGCTCCCCCTCCCCCAAAGTCCGTGGGTGGAGGAGGAGGCGGCGGAGATGACGGACGTTCCTCGCTGATGGCGGCGATCCGTGCGGCTGGCGGGGCGGAGAAGGCCACCCTTCGTTCCGCGCAGGAGAGGAAGTACGACGCCAAGAAGAAGAAGAAGGAAGACGCCGCGGCAGCAGCGGCCGCCGCAGCAGAAGCAGCCGGCGACGCGACCGGAGGAACGGGTGGTGGAGGGAAACCACAGGGGCTCGATCTTATGGCGGATCTTAAGAACTCGTTGGCCATGAGGAGAAAGGTGGGTGAAATGGGGAACAGATTTTTAGCACGCCAAAGTTGTGCTAATTATGGCATGCCATTTTTAGCATGCCAAAAAGTTGTGCTAATTTTGGCATGCCAATTTTTGAGCATGCCAAAAAGTTGTGCTAATTTTGGCATGCCAATTTTTGAGCACGCCAAAAAGTTGTGCTAATTTTGGCATGCCAATTTTTTAGCACAATGCGTACGTAGCAACCCTTTTTCTGTATTTTGACAAGTATTTTGGTAATGTCTACGTAGTAAATAATTGATTTTTGTTTGTTTCCCAAAAACCAGGGTATTTCCGGAATTCGTGTGGAACCTCGTGGTGGAGGCGGAGGAGGTGGGAAGTCAGTCGGCGGGGGCGTGGGGGACATCATGACCCGACTCTCGAGCATCATCCCGTCCAAGGAGGACGACGACGACGACGAGGGTGGCGACGAATCCGAAGATGAGGTCGAGAACGACGACTGGGACTAAAGAGCAGCAGTATCGTTAGCTTATCTACACCGCTTATCAGAAAAGGTTCCGTGCCCAAAAATATTCTTGTCATCATTTAAATAAAAATAAATTTAAATTTAATAAATTATGTACACCTTTCTTCTATGAAAAACCACCAAAACGCATTTCCAACTTGTCATCATCACTTTTTTTACTACTTATCTAACAATGGAGCGCATACTTTTCCTCAAAATCTATAAATCTTTTTCATAGCTTTTGAGCACATTAGTCTCAACCGATGACAAATTTAATTAGTATGAAAAGGTGCAAATATCATCTCGGCCAAACGTGGGAGGTCGTGTCTTTCGCAAATTTCACGCTAATTAAACTTGTCATCGAAATTTGCTAAAAAATCGGAGACCTCTCCATTAGAATTGTATAAATATTTACTTGTTCCCATGACGACGCCTGCTCGTCTCGAATTTAAATTTGTGCCTGCCTACAAGTAAAGGTTAGATTTGCACTTTATTTTCACCCACGGGTATCGATCGTGGTACAAGGCTGGTATTTATTTGTACAAGCAATAAAATAATGATCGCTAATTGATAGGATGGAAACTAGATCAGCAAATCGTGCCGAGAATTTATTGTCGTGGGTGAGAATCCATCCTCCGTCCGTCCGTCGTAATCATCATGATTGCTCTACATACTCGACTTTTTTGTACAATTTGTTGCACAACAAACAAAGCATAACCCGTTTCTGAGAGAAGCGTCGTCATTTTCATAAGCTATGCATACGTACGTACACTAGTTGACTTGTCATTTTTTCATTGTTAAATACCCATTGTTACACTTATTAGGAGGAGGACTGGGAGCCCGTGGTGGTGGTGGAGATTGTTGTAGCTCGTGTCTCGCCAATAAAGATGGGACGACATTGCTAATAAATAAGTGCAAAGAACAGTTAGAAGGTCATCTCTCTTCTTTTTCCTCTCCGCTTTTACGGCAGAAAACCGGTTTTGCTCTTCCTCTACGGTTTGATGAACCGGGAATTGGCTCTCTCTTTCTCCTGCCTCGTATCTCCTGACATGTCGAGGATAAACTACCCCAAGAAGCAGGAGGACGTAACATGCAGAAAAATGGCAAAATCTGCACCTCTCTATGTATCTCGACTACCTGTCGTCTCCCGATTTATGGATGCCGCATAATTTGCATAGCGTCGGATTATCTTAGTGGATTATTTCAGCGGAGGGGACGATATTGCCACCACCCGTCCCCGCCCGACGCATTCCTCCCTTCAGTCGAAAGGTTGTCTCCGCCACGGCCGCACTCGTATTTCCGCAGCAATCTCCGCCGTCGCCATGCAGAAGATGAACTTGTGTCACGTCCTCCTTCTCCTCGGGGCAGTCGTGGGTGTGGCCCGGGCACAGTTCGGATCACGTAAGTCCTAGCGTCATCTCCTTCGTCTGCACGCTGTCCTGCTCCAAATCCGATTTTTTGATTGGTTTTGCTACTCAAAAGTATCACAAGGAGGGTTAAAAAATTCGAAAAACCGGATTCGGGGCCAGCTTTATCCCCAGTGCTCGCGGAAGCTGTGGGGACATGTGGGGACATTAACATTGAGAGATAGGGGAGGGAGGGGTTTGCATAAGATGATGGGGAAATCGATCAACCGCGGGGACATGTCCTTACCCTTCCGCGGCCACTGTTTATCTCCACGCCAGACTTATCTTTTGTGTACTTTTACTTGCAGTGAACTGGGGCGCCACATCGAACATAGGCCCCCCCTCTCGCCCCCACCATCAAAACGCTCCTCCCCCCGGAGGTGGGGGTGGTGGGCCTCCTCCGCCCTATGGGAAACCTCCACCACGTCCGTTCGCCCGTCCCCCGCCGGGAGGTCCGCCCGGTGGTGGTGGTCCCCCGGGGGGCGAACCCTCCCGCGGTGACCCGTACTCGGACCATGTGGACCCCATTCCCCCCATGGCGGATGGCGACGGGTCCTACGACACGCAGCAACTACCCGCCAAACTCCCCATCCTGGCGCCCAACGGCGTCGTGGAGATCTACAACCGCGTGGTGGACGACCTCATTCGCAAATTGGAGGGGGACCTCGTCCGCAAAGAGTTGGACCCCATGTATGTCGTTATTCGGCCCACGCCTCCCGGACCAGTCAGGGTACCCGGGTATTTGCAGAAGAGACCGTTCCGAAGACCGGGAGCGGCGTTGTACAGGTGCGGAATTTGATTAATTTATTTCACCATGTGTAAATATCGTTCGTGTCGTGTTGCGATTGGCAGGTTCGATTCGCAACTTAATTTTTAAAAAAAAGTTGTGAACTAAATATTATCTGGGCAAGTTCGCAAATTAATTTCCAAGCTAATTTTTTGCAAAGTTGCAAAATTTGCTCCGTTGCGAATTGAGAACTATGCAAACTCGTAGTGAATACCCGTCCTCGTAATGATCACTCCTCACCAAAATTGTCAAAATTAACACACTTTCAATACTTTCTCGGTTCTGGGAACTTATTCTAAAATTCTGGACGACAAATTTGTAGAGCAGGAAGTTGTCAAATTAAAAAAATATAAGCTCCATATTTTGACACTTTTGATGAGGGAGATCTCAAGCTTGCGCAGCCTTGAGAAAAATTAAAACTAGTCGAAAGTATTTTAAGATTTTTTTGCGAGGCGAGAAATGATTAAAAGTTTGCGGATTTCACAATTTTTGTGATTCGTCATCATTAAGGAGTTGTATAAGGTTTTCTCTTCTTTGTTTAGATCGACGTCTCCTGTGGGTCAGGGTCCGACCACTTTGAAGAAGAGGAAAACCGCTCGTGCCGGCGTCCTCCCACCGGAAACCCGATTCGGCGACACGGCCCGACCCGACGCTTCGGGCGATGCGGGATTTCGCGGTGCCGGGAAAATCAGTAAAGGTCCCATCGTCGTGGACTCGTCGGGGGATGATGATGAAAAAGAGCTGCTCGGTGAGACACACTCGAAAATAAAAATGAGTAAAATTTGCCAAATTTTGAGTAAAATGACACCAGAAATTTGATGACAAAAATTTATACAAAATTGTAGAACATTTTTCCAGAATTATGTAAATTATGCTCTATTTTGCTAAAAAATTTGGCAAATTTTATTAACTTTTATTTGAAGTGCGGAAAATATGTTAATTTTTTTCTATGTAGAAACGACTTCTGCGGCGACGACGACGACGACGGCGGCAGTCTCTTCCACGGCGTCGTCCGCGGCGTCGGAAGGCAGCGACGCGGGGACGGACGCACTTCCGTCCATCTCGATCTCGTCGGAGGAGCGGGGATCATCGGAGGAGGACACCTTCATGAAGCCACGCAGCGACGAGTTCTTCCCAGAACCCGAGGAGGAAGAGGAGGACGACACGGCCCCCAAGAAAAAGGAGGTCAGTGTGCAGACAATTAAGAAATACTCCCAGATTTTGAGAGAAAATCGGTCACAGATTTAATTACAGTTTGGTCATTTGAATTAGAGACTTTTTTGCATTTTGCAATTTTTCCCAGGATAGCAAAACTAATTAAAATTAAAAATCGCGAAGAGTCGTTCGTAGACTTATGCAATGAATTTTTGATAACAATTTGTATTTTTTAATTGGCATACAATTTGTGAACAGCTCTTTTTAGATTTTTTAAATATTTTTCTTAGTTACCAGAAAATTTGAAAATTTACCAAAACAGTCTCTAATTCAAATGACCAAACTATAGTATGAAATTTGCAAAGGACGGATCTCCCAATGCGCAAATTTTACATTTTTTAAGCGACAAATTTTACACTTTGGAAATTTACTGAGCGTTTTTTCCTCTTCGGATGCAAATATGTCGGGAAAAATTGGGAGATCGTACCTCTTGCAAATTTCATCATAATAAATTAAATTTAAATCTGTGATCGATTGAGACAAGTTTCGCAATCAAAATCGGAGGCCACGTGGTCAGAGAGTTCCATTGTAATTAATTTATCTGAGATTTTGTATGTTTTTGTGGGGGGCAGAAGAAGGAGAGTCCGTCGGAGGAGGTGGAGGAGGAGCAGGTGTCGGAGGACAAGGGGAACCCCGACGTGGACTCGCTCATCCAGCACTACCAGTCCAAAAACTCTAAGACCAAGGACAAGTACGCCGGAAAGAAGAAGGGCGCCGCCAAACCCGTCGTCATCGACCCGGCCTCCGACGATGAGCCCACTTCCGCCGAAAAGGGGGACGATAAGGTGAGAGGATTACTGTAATTATGGAGAAACTGGGGGGTAAAATGTGGCGCTGGTTTAATTATTATGCTAATTAGACATGTGCGAAATATGGATAAAGCTGTACGGAATTTTTGCAGGGCAGAAATACTCGGTGAAAATAGGGGTGTTTTTTTAGTATGCAAAATTAAAATTTGCCCAGAACGATTCTGTGTTAAGGCTGTTTTGCGAATTATCTATATGCAAATTTTATTGCGTCCGTATTTCATATGTAGAATTGAATTTGCTGAAAACAGCGCTGTTTTGTGGTAACAAATTAAAATGTGCGTAGTTTTGCGAATTGTACATGTGCGAATTATATTGCTGGTAGAAATTTAAATTGCTGAAAATAGTGCTATTTTATTATGATCGTTTAATGAAATTGAGCACTGATTTAATACTTATTGCGAATTATATGCGAATTTTATCATGATCGTTTAGTGAGCACTGATTTAATAGTGTTTGATTACTTATTGCGAATTATATGCAAATTAAATTTTGCAGAAATCTGCCAAAGAACGTAAGGGGACGAAGAGCAGTGGGAACAAGAAGAAGACGAAGAAGCCGCCCACGGACAAGGACTCGGAGGAGGACGACGACGACGAGGATGACGAGCCCGAGCTGAGGGACGACTCGCACCACGACGACGAGGAGTTTGACGGCCCCCCGGAAGCGGGGACGGGGGGAGGGAAACGCCCGAACGGGGGTTTCTACCCGCCCGGTGGACCACCCGCCATTCCAGCCAAGCCCAACGCGGAACTCTCCGGTTTGGGCAGGATCCGCAGAGCCAGCGATGTTTCCGTCTCTGTCGATGCGAGAAGTGCCGTCATCACGGCCAGGTAAATTTCGGATTTATGCTAATTAAGGGGCGTATTTTTAATATAAATATGTTATTTCGCAAATTTGCGAAATATTTATGAAAAAACGTGACAGAATTAAGTTAGGTTAGGAATTTTTTTGCCAATTTAATATCCGCATTTTTTTGTTTTTATTCATATAAAATAGTCGAAATGTCGACCAAAATTGCATACATTTCTACAAAAAATTGTCAGAATATGTTAGAAATTTTTGTGAAAAATGTGCAAAAAGTCCGTTGTTGTTGGTTAATTCAATATTAGTGGTTCATAAAAAAAAGTTTGTAAATAAGTCGAGTATTTGAGAGTTGAAATCAGGGTTGCTATGGGTTACGCTTTATGAGACTTTTTTTTACTAAAAAATGTCAACTCACCACAGTTACGTAGGTTACAAACTTAAGGATTCCCTCATAATTTTTGAAAATATAAAATTTTAGTGCTCTATGCAAATTAGGGACGTTAAAAAATTAGTCTTATCACATTTTAAAAAAATGGGGAATAACTCGTTCCAATAATTTCCAGACTGCTGGTGGGTCCAATCCACGTGGTGATAAATGACTCGATCGAGCCCATGGAGAAGAACGTGAAGGCCACGATTCCCGAGCTGGAGGCGGAGCTTCTGTTGATGGAGCGCCACGGCGTCGTTTTCCTGCAGCGCTTCACCCTCGACCGCGCCTACGGACAGGACGTCGAAATCTCCATCCCCAAAAGCAAGGACAGCAAGAACAAGAAGAACAAGAACCAACAGCAATCCGGCGCCAACAATGACCCCAATCACCCCATGAACGTGGAGGCGCGGCGACAAACCAAGATGGCCGCGCACATCTCCATGGAAGTCGTGAAGCTGCTGCGGTCCGGGAATCTGCGCGTGAACTTGATGCGCACCGCGCAGGGGGCCATGTCCAAATTGAAGTTGCCGATTAAGAAGGCGAAAGGGGGGAATAAAAGTGGGGGTGGGGGGAAGAAGGCGAATAAGGGGAGTAAGAAAGATAAGGTCAAGAAGTCGAGTTCTAATACGAGCCAGGAGTGATAAGTAGTTAATTAAATATTTAATTAGATAAGCATTTAAGGAAGTGATGGGAGAAATGATCGCAGTTAAAAGTTTCTGAAGAAATTGTTAATTATTTATTTATTTATGAAATTCGGAACGTTGGAGTGCATGGTCGGGAATAAATTATTTCGGGTTTTGTATGAAAAAGTGAATGTTTTGAGGAGAGTTATTTGGCATGGAAATTTTTTCATATATGTTTGCAAATTTTCATGGGCATTTCACCTAATAAAAAGTCTTTTTTCGTGTCATAATTTTATTATTTGGGGTTTTGTATGAAAAAATGTGAAATTTTGAGGATTATTATTTTTTTTATGGACATTTTTCATTCAAATTTTTCATGGAAATGTACTATCCCCGTACTTCGGCTTTGCACCTCATTTGCATAAATCTGCTCGCACAAGTTCTTGTAGCCGTCGCCCGAGATGGGGACAAGTGAGACTCTATGACTTCCACGAATGTGTACATGAAATGTAAGATTTTTAACTACGGAATGCACGTATCAAATATGGTAAGCTATTTAGTAAAACGATGACGGATATATGGATATGTATCATATTAAATGCAGATAATTTACAAGAGAAGAGATAAACACATTCGTATTATAATTTAAAGAGAAGATGACATGATTGAAGGAAGAAATTGAATTTATTTCCCAAGTTTTCGATACTGCACTCGTGTCATCATCAGGGATTAAATATTTAGAAATCAAAACACGATATGTTCATATTATACTTTAATTAGTTACCTAAGACTTTTTCAGATCATGAGCACCACCATGGAAGCAAATTGCACGTGTCCAGCAAAATTTAATCATTAAACTTATTTAACTAAATGACATTACTGTCAACTATAATTGACCACCATCGCCTTCCCAGAGAGTGATGCGAAAGGAAGTAGCACTGTAAGAATGATAATTGGCCACGATTTGCAACTGTTTCGTATCTTCCTTCACCTACATATGTACATCATCAATTAATATTGGGTAATAGATTATTACTAATATTTTTGTAGTGAATAATGTTGGTGGTGAGCTAGTGACTTACATATTGAAATTAGCTATCGAAAAATTCTAAGTCCCCGTCCTCGCTTTCCAAATCATCAGATTCAGTATGATATTCTGAGTCTGATGAGTCATCTTCACGAATAGGAATAATTATGGGCGTCATCAAGTTCGTTGCAGGTGAATCTAAGAAATTGTCCATCAATCTATCCCTTTCCCACATTTTGTCTTCATATTTTATAGAATGATGGACGCAATTCCTCCACATTTCAGGTGTTATATTTGATACCGCTTTCTTCGACAATTCATATATTCCGTTCAAATTATTGCCTGGATTATGTTTAGCGATATAGCCCTTGACAATTGCCCAGATTAATTCAATCGGGTTAAACTCGCAGTGAGCAGGTGGAAGCCAGAGTATTTTTATATCCTTGTTGCTTTCTTCTGCAAGTTTCTCCACGATAAATTTGGGTTTCACGGGTTTTGATTTTGCCAGTTCGATTAGTGATGATTTGGTAAGTTTATGGAAACTTTCAACTCCTTCGGGCAGACGAATGTCATGTTGAACAACCCAATCAACAATTTTCTGCTTCAGCCAGGCCATGTTCGGCATTAGCGTTCCTTCAACCTATAGTAAAACAATCTTACTACGATTTTGAAATTACAACATTGAATTCAAAATGTACCCTTTTGCGGTGGTAGGGAGCCTGATCTAGAACTAAGACGGATTTTGGTGGCACGAGACTCAGGATCTTTTCAAACCACGTCAAATATCTGACATGGTCCATATTACCGTGATAATCTTTAACGTCCTTTTTTGAAATAAAAATATCGTCCCCATCCGTCAGAAACCCATCCTCGGATCCTATGTGGTTAATGATGACTCTGCCGTTTCCAGATTTTACCAGAAATCCTCCTGAATAAAAACGTTTAAATATGTTATAGTTAGATTCTGCTAACACGAGGTTTTCTTTAGTACAATGAAATAAAGATCAGACCTGTCCAGTTATTCATGTCCTGCAAAATCATGCCACTCCAAAACTGGTCCATTTCTTGCCGTTCACGGTTTGTTAGCAGCATTTCCCAGCAATATTTTCTCGTATTATCGGGAGAAGCCCACGTCTCGTCGGAGAAATAAATTTTTCTATTTTCTGCTCTATATTGCCGAATTTTCCTAAGGTAGTTTTCTCTTTGGGCAACTATGTCCGTACGTTCAAGATAAACAGGTTTTTTATTTATTAGTCGATATTTGAAGCTACATTTTGTCACCAGCCACTTTCGAAACAATGATTCGCTAATTTTAGGAAAATATTCATTATTGCGACATGTTTGCCAGAGGGAGTTCGCACTTGGATATTCTTTACGTGAATAGAAGTCTTGAGTAACACGACGAATCATTGAGGTCGAAAACTCATCACATTGATAAAGTGGTTTCCTTGGTGTATTATCAGTTTGAATTTCTTTGTTATTCTCTTTATTACTCGCGTTCTTCATAATTGTGTGCACTGTTCGTTTTGAAACGTTACACAACCCTGCCACTTTTTTTGCTACATTTTCTAGCTTGAACTGGTTTAACACTTTCACATTGTATTTAAAGTAATTTTGTAAAGTTTGCACAAACTCGTGCACGTTTTTTACTACTCCAGATATATTTTTTGACGGTTTATTAACTCTTGTTACTCTCCTAATGCTCATGGTGACAGTATTACTATTTGCAATTACGTATTTAAATTTTTACAATTTTATAATGTACAAATTATTTCGTTGTGCATGTTTACTAAAAACCACATGTTTACACCAGTTCCCGCACGCGTCATTCAAAATAGTGTGGGCGACGGCTACAAGAACTTGTGCGAGCAGATTTATGCAAATGAGGTGCAAAGCCGAAGTACGGGGATAGAATGTCACCTAATAAGATGTGATTTTTGGGATAGAAATTTTTGACGAGGCACAGTGGGCCAGGAATTTAAAAAAGTGGCCGTTAAGGCAGTGCTGCGATTTGGCTTAACTAGTATGTCATCTTACCCTTTATAACCAACTTGACCTTGGTGTGAAATATTAAGGCACAAGTTCAAGCCAATCGGATAAACGAAGGGGTTAAAATATGCCTAATACATTACGGAGATAGGGATTTTACATCTTCTTACATTCCCGCCTATTCCCGTGCATCTATGACTAACTACTGGCGTCATTAATTAGGTAATAGTGTTGGGATGATACACTGCTGCGACCAGCTGCGACCATCAAGCCTTATTCCAACCACACCCACTTTTATTCATTAAAGTTAAAAAAGTCAAATTTAAGTTTACTTATTTTTACTCAAGTAAACATTAAGTATACTCAGTTATTTGACTTTCTCAGCAAACTCAGGTGGTACCAGGAAAGTATTTTGGCTGTAAAAACCACACCCACTATTGTAGAGGCATATAAATTAAAGACATTCCTTGCTGAAAGGCTTAACGGCCGATCGTGTCATGCTTAACAACATTGACAGTTGAAATTCGGGTTACTTTCCAAATTGTTCACCGATTTTCAAATTTGTGACTGTTTTGGAAACCTAAGGTCAATGGGCGAAATATATATTTCCAGATTTTTTGAATTCGACCACGCCCCCTCGAAATTAAGGTCACAAGGTGAAAGAAATTATAAAATATAATTAATGCATATCGCTAAATTTCAAACACTACAAATTGAACTTCATGTCGAAAAATCACCTCGACACCGTGGGCACTACCAGCAATGTTCAGATGGTCACATGCCACACCCCCAGTGGGTGTGGCCATCGGCGACGTTTAGATTTTACCCTAACCATGTCATGTGATGTATCATTTTTGTCAGCTCGATGAGGTGGTTTCGACGGAATTCTTAAACTTTGGAAACCGCACCCCCCAATGGGTGTGGTTCTGAGCCAATTGTCGATCTTAACGAAACGATATCATGTGATATATCATTTTTCTCAGCTCGGCGAAGGCATCCTGAGACAATATTTAAAATTTATAAACCACGCCCCCTGTGGGTGTGGCCCTCGGCGACTTTTCAATTTTACTTCATGTGTTATATAATTTTTCTCAACTAGACGAGGGGATTTCGACAGAATTATTAGATTTTGAAACCACGCCCCCAGTTGGTGTGGTGTTCAGCGACCTAAAGTTGTATTTTTCGAATTTTATATTTCCCCCACACCGAAATAGCACCACTAGTATTTTTTGTTTCAATGAATGCTCATGGTTGTGGCGGTTTTGAGTGCATTGTCAGGTTTATCCAATTTAGATTTGTCAAAAAATTCTGTTTTATAATTGTAACGCTAGATCAGAAACGAAAGAACAAAAACATTTTTTCTCAAAAATTACTTAAAATAAAATTATAAAAATTCGTTTCTAAAAATTAAAAACTTTGTATGCTATTTCGTAATTTTGAAACATGCAGCAAAAAATTGTGAAAAAGGGGTTTTCATAGCTTACGTAATGCAATTCAAATTATTTTGTCCAAATCCCCTTAGTTAAGAGAAATGATGTAGTACATGACATGACATGGTTTAATTATAATCGAAAAGTAGCTGAACGTTGATTTTAGGTATTCAGTCGAAACCCCTTTGTCGAGCTGAGAAAAATGATATATCACATTATATAATTTCGTTAAGATCGACAACGTGATTAGAACCACGCCCACTGGGGGTGAGGTTTCCCAATTTTAGGTATTTCGCCGATACCCCCTTGTCGAGCTGAGAAAAATTATGTGTCACATGACATGTTTTCGTTAAAATCGACAATTTGCTTAGAGCCACACCCACTGGGGGTGTGGTGTCAAAATTGTATTGCTTCTGTCGAGGTCCCCTCGTCGAGCTGAAAAAAATGATATATCACATGACATGGTATCGTTGAAACCGAAAAGTCGCCGAGAGCCACACCCACTGGGGGTGTGTCATGTGACTATTAAAAACTTCCACATATAATATATGCCTTAGATTATTGTTGCCCACCAAAATCTAATTCTTTTTTCTCCAAATTCGGCTCCTATGTATTTTTGGCCAAAATTTATTAAATCTGGCCCACTGTGCGAGGGTCAGAATTAATATTTCATTTTTTTGTATGAAACCGTTTCCATGGTTACTTTTTCATGGAAATAAAATGTCACCTAATAAAATATGATTTGTTGTAGAGTTATAAATTTTGTCGGAATCGTGATCGACGTCAGACAGAATTAATATTTCAGTGTTTGTACATGAAAACTCTTACCGTTGTCATGGAGATTTTTTCATGGAAATGTCGTCTAATAAAATTTCAATTTTCGTTTCACAATTTTTGGCGACCGTCAGAATTATATTTCCGTAAAGTTTTCCACACGGATGAAATCCATTCTTTTCTCGGGTAAACTTCGTAAAATTGCGTTGCTATGAGACGACTGAGGTTGGAAACAGGGTTCGCTACCCCGGGTTTTTGTGGGTTTTTGGGGTATCAAATCTCCGGAAAAACCCTAATGCTTAATGGGGTTTTTGCGGGTTTTTGTGGGTTTTTGTGGGTTTTTCCGGGGTTTTTGTAGGATTTTGAGGCAGATTGAAATAAAATCCCTTAAACTACAACGTAGATCAATGCTAATTAACTTTTCTGCTTCATCTTGAAATTTTGAGAATTTTCAATTGCGACTTAAATTTCCAAATATCATTGCATATTGTCAGGTTTACATGTCAAACATGAATTTTCGATGTAAAAGCCCAAATCAATGATAACGGTTAAAATTGCATGTTAAAATTGTATACTAAATTAGTTTATCTCTAATATATAATTTTAGGAATTCTGGTTCAACCTGCCCCAAAATCTACAAAAACCCACAAAAACCCACAAAAACCCAAAAACCCACAAAAACCCCAAAAACCCCGGAAAAACCCCCGGGGTTGGGTTTTTCTACAAAAACCCCGGGGTTTTCCGAACCCTGGTTGGAAATGTATGTGTACAAAACTGAAAATATATTCATTCGAATCATCAATTTTTCCAGTTTTCCCGTTCTGCTTGCCTGGAATTTATAGAAATTATTTTAGTTGCCATGGAGATTGAGGATTTATAATTATTTCACCGTTGTCATGGAGATTTTTTCATGGAAATGTCACCTAACAAATCGTATCATACTTTTTGACGACCGTCAGAATCGATATTCGGTTTTTTTGTCCATGAAAACTTTCACCGTTGTCATGGAAACTTTTTCATGGAAATAAAATGTCCATCATCTCATCGTCATGATCACGTGTCCCTTCCTCCGATGATGAGGCCATGCAATCCGACAAGGCCTCACCATTGGCTGAAAAACCCGCCAGTCGCGAAGGGCCATCCACCCTCCATGAGGTCAAGCGTACCCTGACCTGTCCCTCCTTCCGAGTGACCTTTGACCCTTAAAAGGGGTGACCTCGACCTCCACCCAGTCCGTGGATGACCCTTCCCTGCACAAACATTGAACCATCATCTCAGCTCCTCCAACACGAAACCTTCCTCACTTTTTCACTCTTCTTCTCTTCCTGCTGTCAACAATTCTGCACATTTTGATAATCAATCAGTAATTAAAATTAACTAACTAGCCCCCCCCCACATTCCAATTAGGTGATTAATTAAGTAGTTAACTAAATATTTATTCGTGGAAGTTTTTAAATTAATTGTGATAAGAAAATTAGATAGAACCGGCTCAAAAAAGGTAATGAATCAGCAACATTTTGATATTCAGTAATTAAAATGAACTAACCCCCACCCCCCACATTCCAATTAGGTGATTAATTAATTAGTTAACTAAATATTTATTCGTGGAAGTTTTTAAATTAATTGTGAAAACAAGTTAGAACCAGCTCAAAAAAGGTATATAATGATTAATAATGAATCAGTAGGCAGATATTTAATTAATTTGGGAAAAGATTTGGCATAATTAGTTGGTAATTTTTGTTGAGTAGGGTTTTTGAAATTTAATTGTTTAATTGTAGTAGTTTGATTTTTAGGTAAGATTTTAATTGTGTAAATTAAGTTTGATATGGTATTTAATTGGTAGTGAGGTTTTCAAATTGGAAAAAGTTTATCATAATTAGTTGGCAATTTTTATAGAGTAGTTTTTAATTTGAGAGTAAGTTAGGTAGTTTAATTGTAGTTTGATTTATAATTGAGGTTTTAAATTAATTATCATAATCCGTAACGATGGCAACGGACGGAATGAGTATTTTCTGGTGGAGCAGCTGATTTGAGATTAGTTTTCATTTCATTCTTTCAGACACGTCGTCAAGTTTGTGATGCCTTGAAAATTTGGACAAATTTCCAGTGTTGCTTTCTAGTCCCCTTGTGAAGGAAAAGTTATTAAGGGCCGAAGGGTCCTCGACGTCGTCACGATGTTCAAGCTGGAGTCGTACGTAACTCCCTATATTCTCGCGTATTTGGGAAAATACTTCAAAAATTTCGATCCGGCCGATTTCCAGGCGAGTTTTAATTTCATTCATTATTAAAAATTAATGAGTCTATTAATTAATTAATACTTGAATATTTCGAATCGGAACTGGTTTAGCAAATAGTTTGCAAAAGAATAATCTTGAGAAATAGAAATTTTGGGAATATGAATCTGTCAGTTGTTTTACAAATTTCGGAAACAAAACTTGGCAAGATTTTTGCAAACTTTTTGGAAAGTTGTCGTTGTTCGTGAGGAGGCAAATTGATGAAAAATTGTGATTTTTATGGAGCTATTTTCCAATTTAGATGTCCTTATGGGGCGGAGGAGCGCTGTTTCAAAATCTGAATTTGGACCTGCAGGTGCTAGACGAGGAGCTGAATCTGCCCGTGTCCTTCATTTCCGGTCACATCCACGGCCTCAAAATCACCGTCCCCTGGACCAAGGTCACCTCAGAACCTATCCAAGTCCATGTCAACACCATCGGTTCGTTCAAAAAAGCCGTGAAAAAAAGATAATTTGCTAAACATTTGCTATTTTCAGTCAAAATACTCTTTTAAAATGTATAAGAAAAGCTTAAAATATTGGAAATAATACGTGAAAAAATGATAATTATTGTAGGACTCGATTTCTCATGGTCAACCTCAGCACATTTTTAATCGTTTCTCTCCTCTGGGAATTTATTTTAAAATTCTGACCGACAAACTTGCAGAGTAGGGAGGTGCCAATCAATTTTGAAAAATGAGATTTAGGTTTAGATAGATTTGAAACTTTCTGAAGGAGGAGATCTGAAGTTCAACAAGTTTTCAGAAACATTGGAATTCATCGAAAATGCTGAAAACCTCTCACCGCCATTCCATTAATCAACTCATTGTCGTCCAGAATTTAAAAATAAGTTCCCAGAGGCGAGAAATGATTAAAAATGTGACGATTTTGACGATGAGTTATTGAGTCGTGAAGGGAAATATTTACCAAAAAGTTGATTTTTCGTCAATCTATTCCTTAAAATTTGAAAAAATTCATAAAAAAATGAACATTTTGTACCCAATTTGACTAAAATATCGTATTTTTTTGCCCTTATTTTAGAAGTGACCCTGCGCCTGAAGCGCCTCGACGGGGTGGCGATGCCCACATCGGGTGAGGATACGACGACCCCCGCGACCGTGGTGTCGCCCGGACTGACGCCGCAAGAGCAGCCGCCCCCACCAACACCGTCCGCCCCTCCGTCCGGCTACATGCAGGGCTTGATCGCCAAAATCCTGAACAATGTGCACGTGACGTTCGAAAACGTGATCGTGAAATACATCGAGGAGGACATCGTGCTCAGTTTAAACATTAAAAAAGCCACCTACGCCACGGTGGATGACAATTGGGAGGGTGCTTTCGTAGGTAAGGAGATAACTTGCGCCATAGTTAAAGTATGGTTAACATGGGCGCAAGTTGGTGATAAGGAAGAAGTTAAACTTTGACGAAATTTGAATCTAATTTAAATTTATCAGAAATCTGATTTTCATGAGATGTATATTTATATAAGTACTTGATAACTTGCGCCATAGTTAAGCTAATGGTTAACATTGGCGCAAGTTGGTGATAAGGAAGACGAGTGGAGGAAGCTAATAAAACATTGGGTGGAAATGGAAGTTGAAGTTTTTGATTTTGTTATAGATTTGACAGCGCCGGATTTTATCCTTCGGAAGAAATTTCAATTTCAAGACTTGACCATTTGTCTGGACCAGGCAAACACGACCGGAGAGATTGAGACTTATCAGGTCGGCAAGGAAATTTATTCTTCTAATTTATCTAATTTGCATGCTTACTGCTTTGTTTAATTTGATTACACCGAATCAAAACTTACAGCTATTTGTTAAATATTTTAATGTATTGGGAGTAAACATTGTAGAAATATTTGAACATTAGATATTCGCCATATTTAAATTAACCATTGTTTAACTAACTGCGGGTGCTTATTTTCAGGAGCCGTTCCTGTACCGCTGTGCCTTTGAGATCCGGATATTTCAAATGTTCAAGAGTGCCTTCTCCAAAACGGCCGCCTTCACCCGCATGGACTTCCACTTTGACCACATGCTCTTCTCCATCACCGACGAACAGGTGTGAAGTCACTTCCTCCACAATAAGTATTTAATTGTAATTATAATTAATTGTGATTAATTAATTGAATTGCAGGTGCCGATGTTGATCCGATTGTACATTCTGCTCCAGTCGCTGCTTCAAGTTCCGCTGACTTCCGTCCCTCTCGAAGTGACGGGGTCGTCCTCGCGGCGGCGGAGGCGGTCACATGGAGCGAAAAAACCTCGCCAACAGCAAAACATGTTCCCATTCCGACCACAAAACTATGCAAATCAGCGCCGTACGTGGGAAATTTGATTTTTTAGCAATTTTTGTGTAAAAATTGGTTACAAAAGATTATGGAAATTTGGAAATGAAGGAGCGTTTCTAGGGATGAATTCCGTTATTCAAGCTAAAAATTGCCAGGATTTTACACAAAAAATCGTTTTTGTTGCATATTTTATGAATTTGTTATCACTTCTTTAATAACTTTGACCTTTTTTATGATTTGCATACGTTTTAACATTTAGCATTAGCCAAAAATTCCCAGAATTTGACAAATTTTTATAAACAAATCATGTCTTTAGAACAAATTTTGTTAAGTTTGTGTCACTTTTAAGTATTAAAATGCAACCAAATCCGTACAAATGTTGACCTTTGACCTGTTTTTTTTCCAGAATCAGAAGATGAAGAAGTAGACTCTAGTTCCTCGTCTTCTGCGCCAGGCTGGACGGCATGGGCGATGTCGTGGCTGCCGCCAATTTCCACCTTTTTGGGCGACGAGTACGAAGACGGCGACGTTTCGGAGGAGTCCTCGTCCACCTCCCTGACCCCCCACCAGTCGTCCTCTTCCCTCCTCCTGTCCCCACAAAATGGGGGGAGCAACGATGGGGGCGCCGAGGATGACGACGACTACTACGACGAGGAGGACGAAGACCACCCCTCCCGCCGCGTGCACCACTACGGCTTCTTCGTCAACGAGATCAACGTCAAGTTCAAGGCGTTGGAGCGCCCGACGCGACCGCAGCACACGGGGCGACCTGGGCGCGTGAAATTCATTCCGTTTATGAAGCTGCACTTTCAGGGGGTCATTGTCGACATGGTTTTCCGCGGGGAGGAGGCCAACCATCAAATGGGGGCGGCTTATGTGAGATTTAGTTTTATCCACGTGGTGATGGCAGACTTTCTCACAAGTTTGGGCTTATTTTTACGACGTTGTCCTTCAAAATGTTAATTGTTATCGAGTTTTGTCCTCAAAAATGCTAATTATTATCAAAGTGTGTCCCCCAAATTGCTAATTATTATCAAATTTTGCCGAATTTTTTTATCTCGAATTGTTAATTGTTATCGAGTTTTTGATGTATTTTGTCCCCAAATGGCATTTTGTGAGTGTTTTTTTTGGTGAAAATGTTCCACTTAAGGTAACCACGTGGGAAAGTCTGCATAGTTAAAAAAGTATAATAACCTTGGCGCATTATATATGTAAATATTGTCGCTAATTTGCATATGTACGTAGTGCTGCCTAATTCCGCTGGGTTTCTGTCCGTGCGGGATCGTGGACGGGGACGCGAGTCCTAAAGAGTCTTCGGAAGCGAGCAGTGTGGACGGCGATTCCGCGGCGGCTGCTGTTCCTCCTCCTCCGCCTCCGCCCATCGCGACGCCGGACGACGCCGAGCCGCCACCACCACCACCGCCAATCAATCAGTACCTCACCGTCGGGCAGAGAAACCCCGACTACGCCAAAGACTCCATGTTCCTAGTCACCGACGGATTCGGCTCCAACTTCAACTACAATTTTAAACTGGATAAGCATGTCGAAAATTATGACAGTGAGTGCAAAAATTTTGCGAAATTTGAGCGAATTTTGTAGAACAGAATGGAAAATGGGAAAGGGTGGAATTTTTAGGCAAAAAATATTTTATTTGGAGGGATTATTTCGCAAATGAGTACACAAATTAAGTTAACTCTTGACAAATCATATGTATAACTTGCCAAATGTTGCGAAATTTGATTAGGTATTTATTTCGTAAACGTATTTCTGGGAAATGATTAAGTTTTTGTTCCCAAATTGCATGATTTTATTTCGCAAATATGACTTGCAAAATAAGACATTAATAATGTTTTAATTATGCAAATTTGTGTGTTTTGATGTTTTAATTATGCAAATTTGTGTTCTTGTAGCTGACGCCATGCTGGAGCGCACTCCCGCGATCGCGATCGATTATCTGTACGCTCGTCGTCCCAGTGAACCCGGGGACGCAGCCGCGGATTACGTTGATTTGGCGTAAGGGATGATAAAACTTTGCATAAATTAGATTATGTTAATTTTTGACGCTATGTTAAATTTTGCAGTCGGACGAAGCTGCTGGTTCGGCTGGTGCTGGGGGAGTCGACGTTGTCCGTGTCGTCGGGGCTGCTGCACCGCCTCAAACTCATCTCCTACGCCATCGACAATTACTCGTACGAACCCTACGGCGAGATCCATCGACTCAGTGAGTCACCACTTATTCGTAAAATGAACTAATATTTAGTGAATATTTCCAAATTTTTTAGAAACAACGCACGAATTAATTCCAATTAAAACACCAATTACATATCATTCTTATAAAAATATTGAGGCGACGTCTTCTCAACATCTCCGTTCATCTTCTTGTCTCTTAAAATGTTACAATTTTGATTACTTTTAACTCATAAAGTTAATTTTAATTACTTTAGGACAGTTTCCTAATTTATAAAATATCGTTAATCTGTATAAGGGTTTCTTATCAAAAGGTGTAGCAAAAATATAGCAAAATCTATACGTTAGGTTAATATTATCAGATATTATCATAATTTCTAAAACTTTGAATTTTTCATTTTCTGTTTTTTTCGCAATAAGTTTCCTCAAAAATGTTGAATTGGGATTGAAAAAAGTTATTCACCCCGTTAATAGAACTAAATTTGTGCTTTGTTCTCCTGCAGTGACTTCATCTCCGACTGGTGGCGCCGCGTCGCCGCAGCCTGTCGACTACAGCAGTCCTCGTCTCGCGACGACTGCCCCGCTGGATTACGCGCTATATCGCCACGCCCCCATCGCGACGGACTCGTATGAAGTGACGATCCTCTCACCCTCCGTCCAACTTTGGGCCGCGGACCATCCCGAGTACGACTTTGAGTCGCGAGAAGCGCACCTCCGTCAGCGGCGACGGATCCGCACGACGACGCCCTTCTCACAAGTGATGCCCAACTGGCCGAAACTGACCATTTCCGCGGAACAGGTGACCATGTCCAGGACCGAACCGAATACCCGGGTTCGAGCCCTGGTCGCCAGAGCGATTGAGGGTTCCATCTCCACGCCGAGGTTACTGCGGGATGTGCTCCTAGTCTTAAAGAGGGCGAGAACCATGCAGGTAGTTAATTTGAATAAAGCGTATTCACGTCAATTTTCGCAAATTGAGTATAGTAACTTGCGAAATTTGCAAGATTTCGGGTAACTTTTGTTGGAAAAGGGTGGAGTTTTTGATTGCCAATTTAGGTAACCTACCCTAGTCACGTCAACATTTGCATACCTCGCATTGCTTAATTAATTAGAATATTTACTTAATTGAGTTGTTATTTATGTAAGGTTGACAAGGTGCGCCTGGACGTGACGATCGGGGCGGAGGAGGTGACGGAAATCGTGTCCCCGTCGAATTTCTCCATCTCGCAGAAGACCCTGGACAGAAGGGACGTTTACGCGGAGGACGACGTCACCCTCAGTGAAGAAGCCTTCTCTTGTGGTACTACTTAATTAGTCATTAATTAATTTGCATACCACGTGACTTGATCCTCGTGGATATTTTTGGGCTGCGTTTTACAGGAAATTTTGAATTGAAACAGGATTATAAAGGTTAAAATTGTGAAAATTGTGTTTTTTTAAATTACAGATTCGTTCCACATGTCCACCTCGTTTATTGAGTTGACCCTGTGTCACGTGATAGTGACGTCCACCCTACAAAACGTGGAACGCTACTCGGAACACTTGACGACGTCGACGCTGCTCTCGGACCTCGTCGCGGAAGAGCACCGTTCTTCCCGCCTCTCCGTAACGATGCGCGGCCTGGCCTGCAGCCACGCGGTGACAAAATCCTACGCCTCGCAGCGCGCCGTCGTCACCAGTGTCGAAATCTTGCTGGACGACGAGATGCCCATTTTCGTGGCGCCGATCAACAAGGAGGACAGTTTTCTGCTCGCGGTGGCGCAATATCCGAGGATGAAGAAGCACGTGGCGCACGGAGATGAGCACGACCACGTGGCGGTGCGACCCCACTTGGGCATCGTGCACCGAATTCGACCATCCTCCCCGTTGCCGCCGGTCCTTTGCCCGGTTCTTGTGGTGCACGTGGCGCCCTGGAAGGCCACCTTGGACAACAGAATCTTCACGTGGTTGCAGTACTCGCCACGAATCGTACCCTCCATGATTACTCAAGAGGTCAGGATGGCGAGAGAGATCAAGGTAGTTGGAGTTAATTAATTAATTGATTAGAATGATTAAAGACTTTATAATTCATGGTCAAAATCGGCACATTGTTAAGCATTTTTTCGCTGTGGGAACTTATTTTAAAATTCTGGACGACCGTTAGTGAATTGATTGATGGAAAGGTGTTGAGTTTTTTGAGCCAGTTTCGGTGAGTTTCAATTTTTCTGAAGGCTTCTTAAACTTGAAGTTTTCTCCGCCAAAAACTGCCAAAATCGTTAATTTTCAAAAAATTGGCAACTCCCTGCTCCACAAATTTGTCGTTCCGAATTTTAAAATAGATTCCCAGAGGGGAGAAATAATTAAAAAGGTGCTGTTTTTCACGAATGGTAAGTAACGAATCACGTTACTTACCATGTTTCCACGTGTTTCCAGGTGCCACTTCGTCCGAACTCGTGCAATTCTTCGTCTCGTGGAGGAGACACGTCATCCCGGAAATCGTTCAGTCGTCAATCCGACATCGCGGAGGAGTTGCGCGGAGCAGCATCGTCACGACCTTCGGGTGGTTCGACGACGTCCTCTTCGCTACCCGGGTATCAGCTGACGACAAGACAGCCACTCCTCCTCAACCAGGCAACAGCAACAACAGAGGAGGATGCGGCGGTGGAATGGATGGAGGCCTACGTCACGACGTTCCTGACGCATTTGAAGAACGCCACGATTTCGATATCCGTGGCCGTGGGGGAAGTCTGGTTTCCGGTGGGGGGTGAAAAATGGGTGGTGCTCGGGACGCCCAGAATTATCCGGGGGAAACGTGGCGGAAAGAAGAGTGAGAGTGGGGTGGAGACGGTGGATTGGGGAAGTGTTGAGTTGCCGGTGAAGGTGACGAGTGGAGGTGGGTATGAATAATATTTTGAGGTTTGGTGTGACAAAGGGGGTAGGTTTTTGGGGGGTATTGTAGCCATGAAAAGACGAGGATTTAGGTGGAGAAGGTAGCAGTCGTATGAAAATGCGTGTTTTTGAAGAAGTTAACTTCTTATTGTTGGAAAATGCATTGTTTTCATGATTTTAAAAAATACAGTATTTTAACAACGATAAAAAATTATCTTCTTCTTCACAAAACATGTATTTTCGCATGATTTTATGTAGATTTTCGTCTTTTTGTGAGTGTAATACCCCCGGAAATTCACCCTCTGGGAAGAACAGAGCCCTAAATAACGTGAGGCAATTCACGTAGGCCTTGGTAATGTTGTAAAATCCGCAAAGTTTTATAAACTTTTACAAAACTTTACTCATATTTCGAAGGAAAATTAGGGTACAAATTTTTGTAAACTAATTCTGATAACGGGCGCCTTTTTACTTTGTAAAAGTTTGTAAAGTTACCAATGACTGCGTGAACTTATAGATTGTGTATTTAACAAATCGTCCAATTAAAAATAAAGTAATTGATTTTCTCTCTCATTTCCCAGTCCAAGCGACCATCTTGCCGATCCACTTGTCGCTGGATGACATGTATTTCGCGACGACGACGTCCCCCTCCGCCATTTCGGGTGAGAGCGACCTCTGCTGCGCCAAGTTTTCCGCCTCCGTCGGCCTCACCCTGTCCAAACGGAGGGAAGACAATGAGGCCACCGTCACCACGGTCCACGTGACCTGCGACGTCGACAACGTCACCGTTTCTCTCTCGGAAGAACACGTGCGTCCATAATTAATTAATATCGTTTACATATAATTAAAATACACGAGTGTATGCAAATTAGTGTGAATCGATGACAAATCTAAGGAGTATGCAATTTGTGAAGGGCACGACCTCCGAATGGGCACGTTTTGCAGGGATATTTGCATCCCAAGAGGAGAAAAGCAGCTTAAAATTGATAAATTGTACACTTTCCAAATTTACTGCCCATTTTCTCCTCTTCGGATGCAAATTTCTCGGTCGAACGTGCCCATTTGGAGTATTTCGGAGATCCCGTCTTTTGCAAATTTCATGCTAATTAAATTTGTCACCGATTCACGCTAATTTGGCCACAATCTTAAAGCATACGCTAATAAGAGAGCTCCATTGTGAGTTGCACTTCCTCTAATTAATTTGCATTTCACGTAGGTCGCCACATTAACCAAATTAGTGGACCAAGCCCTCCTCTCTACAACCTTGTACCCCTCCGTCTTCCCCATCTTTCCTCGCATCCCGCCCGACGATTACTATTCCACCGCCGCCGGCGCCGCCACCACCACCGGCAGCGAACATCTCGGCGACGAAGCGAAATCTGAACGGAGCACTCATTCAACCGCGCCACACGCGCCACCGCGACACACCGGCCGCCCCCACAGTTCCTCCGATCTCGACAACTTTTCCATCTCGTCCGAACCTCCCCCACCACCACCACTACCACCACCATTACCACGTGCCCACCACGTGCTTCCAATGACCACGTGCTTCTCTCTACAAACTAACATCTCCTCGATCTCAACCTCCATCACGTGCTCGTCCTCCTCCTCTCCCACGAAACTGACCCTTGAACTGAGTGACCTTTCGACCTCGGTCACCGTGCGGGACGTGTACTTAAAACTGAGCCATAAAACGGGTCATTTCCGCATCCTGAACCACGTGCCAGACGTGACCACGGCCGGCGGCTGGAAAGCGGGTCCCTGTCAGGGAATCATTCTCACTTCGGCCGACGACGACCTGACCCGGGACATTTCCCCGATGGAAGACTCCTTCAATAAGAGAAAAGAGGGGGAAATGTTCACAGCGCGCATTTCCAATCCGAGCGTGACCCCGCCCCCGCAAAAGAAGACGATGGCGGAACCGGGAACGGGACAGGCCGCATTTTCTGTGAATTATACCCGCGTTTTGGCGTCCAATTGTCACGCGAAGGCGGGCCTGACAACGTCGCCGTATGCGAAATGGATCGCGACGCTGGATAAGTTTGCGGCGACGGGGGCGACGGGACTTTCGAGTCAAGATTTGGCCCCAGTGGACGGAGAAGATGCCCGGTTTCTGGCGGAGATTGATGTTTCGGTGAGGACGGTGGATGTGGTGTTTAACCCGGGTGTTTTTGCGGGGTTTACGGACATGGTGGATGATTTCGTGGGGGTGGTGACGAAGACGGAAGAGGGGGATGAAGAGGGGGATAAGAAGAAGGATGTGATTCCCGGGCTGAATAATAACACGGTCCCGCTCTTCTACCTGGTCACGGAGAATATCCGGGTTTTTGTGCAGGGCGCGACGAAGAATAATCGAGACCGGTACAAGTCTCATTTGCCGGACTTCTTTCTACTCGAGTGTGCCGGGATAAGGGTGGATTCGCATGTAAGGTTTTTTGCACGTGTTTTATTTTTTTAAAACGGTGTTTTGTTTGACGTTATCTCACTTGTATATTTCTAAAATGTTGCGAAATTATAGAATTTGCAAAATACAGATATGACAGTGCAAAGGTGGGATATTCGCATATGTATCTCGCAAATTGGGCATAGAAACATAATTTGGGAGATTTCTCAAAAGAAAGGTTTAGCGAAATGTGTTGGAAGTTTGTGAAATTATTTTTCATGACTAATTTTTTATGAGTAATCTCATTATCTTATTTCGTATCGCAACTCTTTTAGCAAATAGTTTGCGAAATAATCTCGCCAAATAAAAGTACGTTCATAATTTCCTGAGTAAATTTAGGAACAACAATTGCGCACATAAATCTAAAAAAGTTTTTAAATTTACAAGTAAAATTTGCATTTTTTCTCTAGAACGACTACCCCCTGAACCGCACCCTCATTTCGCCACTACTCTTCCACCTCGGACAGAAAGCCCGGATCCTGGAAATCCCGGGCTCCCCCGTGGAAGACCGGCAGTACCAAGTCCTCCTTTCGGGGGTCACGGCGTCCACCGGGTTTTGGGCGGAGGTTGCCGCCAAGTCGACCAAACACGTGGTCCGGTCCTCCCTGCAGCTCAAGACGCAAGGCGAAAATCCCGCCCTGGAGTGGAACATTCGCACGATGGACACGACGGGACCGGACGTGTCGACCTGCCCGCTCCTCGCGCCTCTCGACGTCACCCTCGCGCTCGCGCCGGCCATGGTGTACGCGAGGGATGTCGCGTCAACGAAGTCGTCGCACCTGATCGCGGGCCACGCGGCGCAGCTGAACCTCCTCTCCGACGTCGTTGTGACGCTGAACGTGGACCAGATCGAGTCCTGGAAGCAGATTGGGGAACAAATTGGAAATCTTCAAGTGGGGGGTAAAAAGGGGACGAGTTATGTGACGAAGAGGGATGAGGAAAGGGATGATGATGGGATTAGTTCGGCGTCTGTGATGGGGTTGAGTAGGTCGATGGATGTCGTCTTTATAGAGTCGAGTCAGGAAGGGAGTCTGGATTCCGGATTGGTTAGTAGGATTAGTTAATTGTTTAGGGATTAAGTAATTTTGAGGGAGTTGATTTCCCCACGGTTATAAATTAAATGAGAAGAAGGCAACTTGGGAATGAAAGCACGTGTTTTGTGGAGAAAATAAATTTTTATCGCTGCCAAGACAGTGTTCTCACAATTTTTTTTAAATTATGGAATTTTGACAGCGATGAAAGCTAAATTTTCACAAGAGTCGAAATAAAATCTTCGCATTGTGAAGAAATTAACTTTCAAAATGCTGCGTCTTTTTTTAAGAAATCGTGAAAACAAGTGTTTTGACAGCGATAAAAAGTTAGTTTCTTTCTACACAAAACACGTGTTCTCGTACGACTGTTGCAGATTCTCGTTTTTTTTTGTGGGTGTAATAACCCCTAGAAATCCACCCCCTTGAAAAAAAACGGAGCTTAAAATGCCCTACTTTTTGTCGTCACCTCGGGTAAATAATTACCTATTGCTAATTTACATAATTGCAGAGCCACACGGTGAAGCTGATCCCCTCTGTGGAAACCTTGTTCAAAAAGCAGTCCACGTGCTCGCCGCGCACCACGAGGTCGAAGGAATCAATATCGACGAGCAAGTCGAGTAACAATAAGTCAGCCACGATAACGCCGTTCGACTTCCTCCTGTCGTCGGGGGTCATCCACGTGACGATGTACGACTTGCAGTACAACGTGGTCAACGCGGTGGAGAAGGTGTTGCCGCTCGTGTCGATGGTCGCCATGCAGCCGCACGTCGTCCTCTCCGTCTCCCAACACTGCCAAAAGTTTGAGGTCTCCTTGTTCGAGTTGAGCGTGAAGCTGGGAGCGGAGGAGATTGGTAAGCAGTTAATTAGTAAATTAATTAATTGCAGTGTTTTGAGGTCAATTGTTGTCAAGGGGTGAATTTTGGGGGGTTTTATAGTGAAAAAAAGACGAAAATGCACATTTTGTTTAGAAATCCATTATCAAAATACATTTTTTTATACAAATTTTTAAGAAATGCAATAGTTTTACAGCGAAAAAAGTTAATTTCTTGACAAAATGCGTATTTTGGTATGATTGTTGCAAATTCTCTTCTTTTTATAGCTGTAATTATCCGCCCAATTAATTAATTAATTAATTAAATGTTAAAATGCCTGTATGATTTTGTAGATTCGACCTGGATCCCGAGCCGGTCACATTTTCCGCACCGTCTTTTTGAATCGATCCGTGGCGTGCGGGATCCGAAGACGGGCATCGTTCCGCCACTCCTCAACTTTAAAATATCCGACTTTTTATCGCACCCTTGTAAGTGCAACGTTATGTATCTTAATTAAATAATCCCCCCTCTTCCCCCCCAAAAAATAGACTTATAACCCTCTGTTTCTCTTGCAGGCACCATTTTATGCGACATCCGGCGCCCGATCCGTGTCGAAATGGGGCACGCGAAACTGACCAACTTGCTGCGAATTTTGCCCTACCTGCTGGACAGCGGGGCGCCACTGCACCGCACGGACGCGCAGGTGAAGCTGATCCACCCGTCCGAACTGGTCGAGCAGAACCGTCGCTACCAGACGGAGCTGAGACAACTCCTGGGCCACGTGGGAACCGCCACCTTCACGGCGTCACAACTCGTTCTTGTCTTGGTTGAAGAACCTGCCGCCCTCACTTTCTCCATCGGATCGGCTCGTGTCAATGCGAGCGTGCAGCGCAAACCAGCGGCCACGACGAGTACGACGGCGACGGCGCCAATAGCAGCGACGACAACCACCATTGAAGCTGAGAACGTGGCAGCCATAATTGTCGTGGAGTCGGTGACTGTGAGCAGTAGATTGAGCGAAAGGTGGGTGAATGAAGGAGGAGGGTGCAAAAATGTGCAAAAAATTGGAGGTCTTTTTTTACGGGAAATTGTGCAACGAACGCGCAAAAAATTCCGTTTGCAATGAAAAATTGCATCCACATGGGTGAAAAGTCTCCACGTGGTCATGCACACGTGTGAAAAAGGTGGTGGTGATAATAAATATGTGTGTTTATGACCGTTTGCAGAACGTCTCCCGTGGTGACAGCGTTTAGCACGACTTTGGACGTAAAATTAGGCTGGACTTCGGGTCTGGATTACCCGATCACGACGATGAACGTGCAGCTGGACCCCATCTCCATCTTCGTCGGACCACAAAACATCCTCTGCGTCCAACAAGTCCACGCCGTCTTTCAAGAATATTTCGACGTGAGTGGTCCTCCTTTTACTATTCGATTAGCGACATGTTAATTAATTAAGATTATAAAATACTGATCAAAATATGTATTTTGTGCCGAGTGTTTGAATTTATGGGGGGTGTTAGAGCTACAAAAAGCCTAAAATCTGCCAAACTATACCTTTTTTTAAGAAATTAACTTTTTATCGTTGTAAAAATACTACATTTTTATCAAGAATTTGTGAAAAAATGAACTTTGCCAAGTTTATTTCTTCTGAAAATGTGTATTTTCTTACGACTGTTGCCGTCTAGATGGCGATTTTTGTCTTTTTGTGGGTCTAACACCCCCCGAAATTAACCCCCTGGAAAGAACGGACCTCAAAATAGTATACAATCTGACCTCTGACCTTATCTTCTTGTAGGAAATAACGCTCGTGGAAGAGGAGATAATCGACATAATGGAGCACTACGAGCCGACTGGATGCAAAATGATATGCGACTCGTACGAAGACGACCTGCGCGCGGGTTCCTTCCACCTCGTCCGCCATCCCGTCTCCTACGCGCTTCCGCGCCCTTATGAGATCCTTTGCTGCCAAAAAGCGCGCACGTTGACGTGGCGCTACCCACAACATCGCGTGCTCACGTGTGTACAAGCCTCCCCCGTTCCACTGCCGGATCATAGTTCGGTCCCCGCTGAGACGACGACCGCGACGACGCCAACCACGCCACCCGAGGTCGTCGAATTGGACTGCATCGTCGAATATTGGGACGAAGCGATGTGCGACTATCGTTATTTTGGAGCGCTCACGCTGTCAGAAGTGGCCGGAGCGCGGTGCACAATTCCGGCGCGGGAGAAACTACACATTTATAGCGCGGCGGTTTGGAGGATTAAAATATTGACGGCGGTTCGAGAGTGAGTAATTTGCGCCATAGTTAAAGTTGTGAGAGTGGGCGCAAGTTGATAATGAGGGATTTATAATTGATGATAAGTACTAAAGGGAGGGCAGCCTGGTGGATACGAATTTGGCCTTGAATAACCCCGGAACGGTTTGTCGTAGCGGGTCAAAATTTTGAACAGAAGAGCATGTTATCCTCAGATAGTTGTGTGCAAAAATTCAACTCTCTACTTTCAAAAATGCCTCCCCCACAGCCCCCAGAAGTTGAGACACTCGTTTCAACTTTTTCCAAACTCCGTCTAAAAAATTCGGTCCCCACAGAAAGATTTTCTTTTCATCTATCCGAACTCAAACAAGTCGATTTGACTTATATCAGGGGATTGTATAGGTATTTCACTATTCCAAATGATTTTTATCCCCAATCTAGGTTCAAGGTCATTTGCATAATCTTGGGTCAACTTTGCCGTCTGGAAGGACGCTCCGTCATGATGAAAAATCACCTTAATTATTATTTTACCGTGCAAATTAGGAAAATTGTATTCTAAAAGTGGTTTCAGTACAAGGTCCACATAATACTTCGAAGATTCCTTCACTTTTTGGGGGACTTTGATAAGTGGGAGGACACCACGACAGGACATTGCACCCACGACCATCAACTGTTTAAAAAAGTTCTCCTCACTGAAAAGCACCAAATTTCTTGAATTTTTTTTCGGCATTTGTCGTGTAGTAAGCTCTTCGAACCCAATTAGTAACTTGTAGGGAAAATAGTTCTTCGTCAATTGTCACCAATAGCTCACTTCTATTCCTCAACAGAATATTCAAATAAAATTTTTTGCAAACACGGGCGAGATTTTTTCTGGAACTATTTGAAATGACTGTCTCAGCTTCTGGGGGCTGTGGGGCAGGCATTTTTCAAAGTAGAAGGCTGAAATTTTGCACACAACTATCTGAGGATAACATGCTCGTCTGTTCAAAATTTTGACCCGCTACGACAAACCGTTCCGGGGTTATTCAAGGTCAAATTCGTATCCACCAGGCCGCCCTCCCTTTGGTAATGTGTAAATGAGCGTGAATATTTTTAGAGAAGTTTTTATTCGTGGGGAGGTAACTTGCGCCATAGTTAAAGTTATAACTGTGGCGCAAGTTGATTATAAGTGATGTAATTTTGTCGTGATTGATAATTAATAATGTGTAAATTCGATACGAGAGGGAATATTTTTAGACAAGTTTTGTTATTTTTTGGGAGGTAACTTGCGCCCTAGTTAAATTTATAAGATTGGCGCAAGTTGGTGATAATTTGTGGTGTTTGTTTTATGTTTGTTCTAGTTCTGACTGTTCGGAACCCGTTCGTCCGGAAATGTTGGCGGCGTGCGTGAAGGTGGACTCGATCCACGACTCGAGCTTGACGTCGAGGTTGAAGGTCTTCCTCGAAGTGCCAAGAATCAATCTCCACTTTGTCAACAATTTCTACTTCTCGGGACAAGGTGAACATGCATATCTTGCGTATTTTACATATTTTCCTGCTTATTTTTAAGGTTTTCGTGTTAAAATTCTATTAATGGGAACATATTTTACAATTTGTGCCCCTATTTTTACATATTTCGGAATTTTATAGATACTTCACTGACAATGGAGGCGCAAACCATGTTCAGCCCAGATAATTTTTTGACCATGTTAGTTTGAAAGAGCAAGTCCTTACAAACAATATTTGGTTCGGCACTTGGGTAGATGCGCAAATTTCAGCACGTTATGGGCGCCGCAAGTTCGGAAAAACGCACGAAGTTGAGCTCGCGCTGGGCATTGCCCGAAAAATCGTGCGTTTTTGCGAACTTGTGGCGCCCATAACGTGCTGAAATTTGCGCATCTACCCAAGTGCCGAACCAAATATTGTTTGTAAGGACTTGCTCTTTCAAACTAACATGGTCAAAAAATTATCTGGGCTGAACATGGTTTGCGCCTCCATTGTGAGACTGGGAACGTATTTTAACAATTTTTTCTCCCTTTTTTAAGGTGCCTCGTCCCTCCTTCCGGCATACAGTCGCGCCTCGATTGGCTTATCTTCCTCCCAGTGCGACCAGACTTTCGCCACGCTGTGCCTCGAATCCAACTCGATGTTGCTCTCCATCTGGGCGAAACATGCGACCGTGGACGTGACGGCGTTCGTGGATTTGCACGTCCTCGACACCGAATTCCTGACGATGGCGCGCGTCCTGTCGCCCGCCCTGCTGCACACGAGCCTCTCCCTCTTCGAGGCGCCCCACTCGACCAAAGTCCACTCAGAGGTGGAGCTCTTCTGGCGCGAGGTCGAAATCCGCGTCGGCGCCTCCGCACTCCACACAATCTCGACAGCGGGAACGGTCTGGACACAACTCTTGGCCGCCTGGGATGGACGACGCATCCAGCTCAGAGATACGAAAATGATGTGAGCAGTTAGTTAGTTAACTGATTGACGTCGACGATGGATTGTTTCCCACAATTTAAACAATAATCCACGCTAAAAAATGTTATCCACGTGGTCAACAAAAATTTTATCCACGTGGTCAACATAATTTTATCGTGGTCAACAATTTCTTCCTCACACAATCCCCAACTTACTAATTTCCTCTTTTATCCTGTCAGGGAATCGGTCAACGTGTCGCCCGTCTTGGTCTTGAACACTCTGCCGACGGAGCTGCGTTTCCACCAGTGTGCAACAGACAGCTCGCTCTACATCGCGCCCGGCTCCGTGGCGCCCTTCCACTGGGCAACCACCAGATCAAAACCAGTCTGCAAGCTGGCCGTCAAGTTAGTAACGGACGCGAAGAACTGGACGTTTTCCGCGCCCTTCGACCTGAAGCGGGATGGAGCGCTGGTGCGGCGCGTGGGGTCCTCGCAACACAACTTATTCCTCCAGATCCGCCCCTTTTCCGGGATGCAGCGCGTGGTGACCGTGTCCGGCGCGCTGCTGACGGCGAACGCGCTGTCGAAGCGGATCCAAGTCGCGGTACTGCCGACCAACAAGAGTGTCGAGACGGGGTGGACGCTCCCCCCGAATGGCGGATATGGATCGACGCAGCTCTTCAATTTGGGGGAAATCGACCACTTCCGGTTTAGAATTGTGCGGGAGGAGGACGGACAACAGCCGTGGAGCGGGATTGTGACGCCGGAACAGCTCAGGGCGAAGACCAGGGTGCCCTTGGCATGTGAGTGGGGAACTTTTTTTCAACATAATTTGCAAAATTTGCAAAAATTCGTTAAGTTTTGAAATGTTCAGGGGAAAATTGTTTGGAATTTAGCGATATTTTTATTTAAATTTTTTACTTCAAAATTCAGCAGTTTGAATGAAATGAAATGAATGAAATTAGTTTTTGTTGCGGAATAATTTGAAATATTTGTAAATGCTCTTATAAAAATTTGTAAACTTTGCTGTGAAAAGAGGAAAATTATCCAAAAGAAACTTTCAGTTTTGCACATTTTTTCGCAATGCAAAATAACATGCGAAATTTTGTTGTCTTGTTTTTTACAGTATTTGAAGAAATTGACGGCGCTCTGGTAACATTTTGCGTGTGGGTTTCCCTCATCACGGAAATGTTGGAGGAGGCGGAACGATCTTTGGTACAGAAGAAATAAAATTATCAAAATTTTGAACCACATTTTTTTGTGGACATAAAAATTATGGAAATTTTGCCACATTTTTATTTGACCAAAATAAATTTCCCTTGTTTCTTTGTTGTAGATGGTGCTGTGTCCGTACTTCCGCGTGCAGTCCTTCCTGCCCACGTCGACGTGGGTGAACGTGTCGCCGAAGCAGGTGGGCGGGCCGCGCTCCGTCATCGGCGACTGCCTCCTCCCCGGAATGGGACAGGAGCTCGAGATCCCCTTCACCCAGGGACACGACGTCGCACACCATCTCACTCTACAAACTAGGTGAAAACCCAATTAATTTAATTACTCTAATTAATTTAATTTGATCTATTTTCGGTATAATTTACACATCCAAATTTGTAAACACGTGCCAAAATTGGGGGAATTGTTCCAGCAAAAGGAGGGAAATTTGGGACAAAATTAGGGAAATTTGGAGGTAAAATTAGGCAGATTTTTAGGGAGCGATAGGAGGAAAATTTGGAATAAAAGTAGGGCAATTTTAAATAAATTGAGACAAACTTTAATAAATTTGTGTGAAAATTGGGAGAATTAGAGATCAATTTGTAAAAAAGTATGAAACAAAAGTAGGGATATTTTGGGGCAAAACTTGAAATTTTGTTTAGGTAAAATCAGAGAAGGGCAAAATTATGGAAATAAAGGAGAAAATCAGGTCACAAGGGGCTCTGAGACCACGTGGCATTTATAAATTTCTTACTTATTGTGAAATATTTGTAGCCGGACGAGTACCGCTTCGACGCCGTCGATCCCGCTGCTTCCGGAAGGTCCAATCCTGACCATGACGCCGAACAACCCGCCGCCGCCTTCCATCGACCAAATCATCTCCACCATCTCTGCCACCAACTTCGGCTCCTGCGTCAAACCACGTGACGAGGCGGATGTCCCCTTACGCTGGCCCTTCGTCAAAGAAAACCTCCCCCTCGACGAGTGGAATGTGGGCGATCAGCCTAAAACAGAGTTAGAGGTGGGTCCACTACTTTCTTCAGAATTTGAGAAATTAGTCAAAACTTGGGCCTGTTAAGAGTCAAAAAATTAGTTAAATTTGTAAATTTTTTTTTAAATGATCGTTTTAGAGGTCATAATTCGTCAAAGTCAATCAAAAATCATCTTTTTAAAATCAAATCTGGAAAAATGTTCGTTTTTAAGTTTAAACTGGTCGAAATCAATCAAAATTGTAGAAAAATGATTGTTTTAAAAGTCAAAACTCGTCCAAAATTAATGAAAAATTATTAATTTAGGGGTCTAAAGTTGACACAAATTGTTGAAATTCCTCAGAAATTTACTACCTCGAATTTTTCATGAAATTTTGTCTCAATAAATTACAGGTTGAGTTCACCCCCTGGATTCCGGGCCTGCCCACGGTGCGTCTGCAGTTCAAGCCGTGGGCGCTGATCGTGAACTTGACGTCGGAGGAGGTGTACTTTGGTCAGTGGTTGTCCCCCGCGGTTGAGGGGACCGAGGCGTCCTTCACCATCCCGCCCAAGACGGTCTTCTCCCCCACAAAGATGTCCTTTTCCGAGGGCAGATTCCGCCTCGGGGTCGAATTAGGCGGGGAGCTCCTGCTTTCGGAGAAATTGCGCTTATCTGAGGAGCAGAGACGGACGGATATCCACCACGTCAACTTGGATAACGTCCTCCCTCTCAATAGCTTCAGTAGATTGGACCTCGTCTCGCAAACGGGGCAGCACCAGGTAAAAATTGCAACATTTCGGGGTGAATATTTGCCAAAAGAAGGTTGGATTTGGGGGGTTTTTCAGGTCAAAATAATTTTTTTAATGGGGAATTTTAAAGAATTTTTTGCAGAATAACACGTTATTTAAGGAATTTTACGATAAAATATGGATTTTGAGGTGGTTTTTGGTCAAAATGTGTTGTTTTTTATATATTTTTTTTTTAAATTAACCTATTTTTGATAAAATAGCTGAAATATTTATAAATATGTGCAAAAATCTGGAAATATAGAAAAATTATTTTTGTACAAATTAACAATAACGGCTAAAATAATTTCCCAATTTTTGTCCTCAGATTGGTTACATCACGATCGAGACATGTTGCACGGAGAAGATGCTGCTCCTCGTCCTGCGCCCCACCTTTTCCGTCATCAACAACTCTGGCGTCGCTCTGTTCGCGCAGAGCATCGCGATTTCCTCCCCGTCGCAGCAGGCGCGCGGCGCGTGGGGTGAAGAGAAGCTGTCCTCCTACGCGTACTCCCTCCTCCAAAAGAATGACGACACAATGGCGACGACGACGACGCCCACGCCGATCGCGGTGCCGCTGCTGCGCTTCATCACGGACTCGTCGCCCACGGACTACGCGCCGCACGACCGGAGTGTGAAGTACTTGGCGCTCGCGTGTCCCGGCGGCCCCTGGTGGTTCGTCCAGCTCATGGACTTCAGACTCATTTTTGACAACATGGACTCCAACCAGGGCCTCCTCGCGGCTTCCGTCGCGGTCAATCTGCCAAAGAAGGGCGCTGCTTATACGAAATCCAACACGTGAGTGAAATTATTTATGGACAAAAATTCAGTTAAAGCTTGTCAAAATTTTTCAAATTTTGTAAAATTTGGCTAGTTGTGTTCAGGAAATTGAGTGAAAAGAGAAAATCAAAAGGGGATTTTAGAAAATAGTTTGGAAAATAGTGTAGCGAAATTGGTTAAGAATTATTTCGTGGGTAAATTTGCGACTAAAAATGGGATCATTTTGTAGCAAAAGTTTTTCGAAATTTGACTAAATTAACATTTTCTAGTACTATTTTCTACCTGTTTTGCATTATGTGTGAACACAAATTGAGTTAAAATTTGTCAAAATGTTTCTTAAATTTTGCAAAATTTGGCTAATTGTATTAATCTCTTTTCTAAAATTATTAATCACTTTTGTTAAATAACAAAGTTCCAATTTATTCAAAATTTCCTTAAACATAAAAAATACTGAACCAGATTTCCCTTCAAATTTTCAGACGAATGTTGGAAGAAGCCGAATTCGAATCGGTGACCTTGCCCCTGGTGATCGCGTGGACCTCGAAGGACGGCCAGGTCTGGATTTCCCTGAACCTCGACCCCTGCCCCCAACTCGTCCTCCACAACTCGACCCAGTTCCCCCTCCTCTACGTCCAAGCAACTTCCGGCGCCATGGCGTCGTCGTCGACCTCGTCGCCACCGACACCACTCCAGCAGACGGACCACTTCCAACAGTACCTCGTCCTGCCGCCCAACTGCAAAGGCTTCTACACCCTCCTCCCCCCCAAAAATGGGGGGAATTCCTTACTCGCGGGATGCTCAACCCCGCCCCCACTCGCGCCCCTCCTTCTCACCAAGTTGCCGCAAGACATTCGCGACTTCATGGCCGCGTTTCCCTTGTCGCCCGACTCGTCGACGGAATCGATTCAAGAGCAGCACGACTTCCGCGACCAGTTGCGCTCCCATCTGCGCAAGTATCGCGCAAGGAAGAAAGCGCGGGCGAGTTTGGGGAGTCAAGAGGGGGATGAAGAGAGGCTAAATTCTGGGGAGGAAGAAGCGCACCCGTGCGGAACCATGTTGCTGCCCGGGTCGGGGATTTCGTGGAGCAAAGTGCTTCACGTGGATGGCGAGGTGTCCCAGTATTTCTGTCTCGGGGAATATGTCGATGCGAAGATTTCCATTGAAAGGATCGGCTTTTGTTACTATGTTTTCATTGGTAATTAATTAGTAATTAATTGATTGATTGAGTAATTGATTTTCGTTGGTAATTGGTAATTAGTTCGTTAATTAATTGGAGAAATATTTCTTTAATAAGGTTTATGAAATTGGTACAAGTTTTGAGAAACTTTTAAGAATCTAGAATTTTTTAGGAAAGTTTTTGGATACAAACTTATGAAATTATTTGCAAAATTAAGAATGAGGGGAATATTTGCAATTTTTTTTAAACAATGGGTGAATTAATTACGGGAAATTTTGTAGAAAAGTATTTTGAAATTTTACTGATTTACCAAAGTTTTGGAACATTTGGGAAGTCAAAAATAGTTCGCCGTATAATTAGTAATTAGTTAAATGGTTTATTAATTGTGGAAAATATGTTACTAACTAATTGCCAAAGTAATTGATTAATTAGTTAATTAGTGAGAAAAGTTAATCACTAAATTAATAATTAATTGTATTTAATTACAGAAAACATGTCCGGGATTGAAGTTGCGGCGAAAGACGTGCGTCGTCGGATCGGTACGAATTCGCCATCGTGTCCCGCGCCGCCCGCAGACTCGTCTCCCGCACACCACCTCGCGCTTGTGGACTCGACCCTCGTCGCGCTCTCCTCTCCGCTGAGAGACACTTTGCGCGACGCGATTTCGACGACGACATTTCCGCCCCCACCCTTCCGCCTGCACTGCTACTTCCCCAAGATGGTCGTCATCGTGACGGAGGACGGGACCGCGGCGACGCAGCGACGCCAACTCGTCTGCCTCACCATGGAGGACGTCCTCCTCGAACAGATTCCCGTACAGGATGAAAAACGATACCGCGCCCTGTTCGACCGCGGCACGGGAAAATTCGCGTAAGTGGAAGATGTCGATTTGCGCCATAAGATTGGCGCAAGTTAGTAAAATAAGAGGAAAAAATGGTTTATTTACATATTTTAATTTTGCGTATCATAATTTTAATTAACTTGCGCCATTATTTATAAGATTGGCGCATTATGGTAAATTTGAAGACGATAATGAACAAAATATGTCTTTCATTTGCGCGAGAATTATATTTTTATTTAACTTTTTAATTATTATTTAATTATAGTTTAATTATTTAAAAGATTGGCGCAAATTGAATTTGATAATTATGATAATTTTTTTATAACATTGGCGCAAATTGGTAAAATTGATGGTAAAAAACAGATTCTTCTTCTAATGTTCTTTCATTTGCGACGAATTATATTTTTACTTGATTATATTGCGCTAACTTGCGCCATAGTTAAATGATTATTAACACTGGCGCAAATTGATAAAAACATCGTATTTTGTTTTGCAGACGGCGAGAATCGTACACTCTGTCGCTGCAGGTTTCGAACATTCAGTTGGACAGCCCGTCCTGCCCGACGGAGCACGCCTGCGACTTCCCCGTCATCCTCACACAGCGCGACGACTACGAACCCTGCGGACCACAAGTCGCGAGCTGGAGGCAGTACAAACTCTTTCGCGAACTCCATTGTCCAGGTGAGACGAAAATGACAAATTTATGGTCTTAAAAAAATGTTCATTATTTTTAAAATCCGGAAATAATATCTTCTAGTTCTCTACTTTTTTCTGCAACATTTTTTGCTTTTAAGATATTGAGGCAATTCACGCGTAACATTATAAACTCCGTAAATTTCGAAACTTCCAAAATTTTACTCGTATTTAGAAGGAATTTTTGTAAACTTGCTCAGATGACGAACGTCGTCTCTTTATTTTATGAAATTATGATACAAAGTGCACGGATTTAAGACTGCGTGAATCGCCTCGAAAATGTCGCGTTGCTAAATATTTGCAAAATATTCGCAATTTATTAAAAAAATGGGCATCTCCCTCTTTTTTCAGACTTTGCCCCCATGTTTTCTCTGACGCTGACGTATTCGCAATCGTCGCTGACGTACTCGTCCATCTCGTCCGTCTCCATGACGACGAAGCCCTTCTACCTCAACGTCGAAGACCGCCTGCTGGACGTCGTGTATCCCGCCATCCTGCGCATCGCCACCCTCGCGCGGGAAGAATTCGCCCTCGCGACCAATTTGTCCTCGCGCCCCGCATCCGCGGCCCTCGATCCGCTCGACCTGGACGCCCTCCACGTGGCTAACATGACCCCCACGCCGGCCGCGATCTGGTCGCTGCTCACGTCCTTCGCGCCACCCCTGCTGTTCTCGACCATCTCAATTTCCCCGCTCTCCTTCTGGGTCACGTTGCGGATCGCGAAGCCCTTCTATCTCGCGGTGGACCAGTCGCACGTGAATGTGCCAAACTTCACGGCCTGCTCCGTGACGACGACGAGTTACCATTTGGGCGCCGCCTTGTCGACCCATTACACGTCCGGGGCGCTGTTCCAGGTCGGAAATCCGGTCAGGTAGGCAGGAAAGTCTGGCAAAAATTGACTTTTTTTTTCAAGCTACATCGGGATTTACTGGCGATTTATATCACAAAAACTCGAGCCAAAAATTAGGAATCACGTGGCGCTTATCGTTCTGTTGAAGGGCCCCTTTTTGAAGAACGATATTGGCGGCAAAGTTCAATTTTTTAGTAAATTTTCTCTCCCTTTCCCTCCACGTGGCGAAAACCAAGGCGCTCTCGTGGGTACTTTGCCCCCCAATATTTTTCTTCAAAGGGGCCATTCAACGGAAGTAGAAGTGTCATATGTGATTCCTAATTTTTGGCTTGATTTTTTGATATAACTCGTTACACGATCGTGGTCTAGCTTGAAAAAAGGGGCCATTGTGAGTATGAAATTTGTGCAAATTTTTATTGAAACTGATGAGGTTATCGTTTTTCATAGGTTGATCGGTTCGTTGGAGTTGCTAGGGTCGCCGGGGAGTCTTGTGGAGCGTGTGGGAAGTGGTCTGAAGGACTTTGTGGTCTACCCGTATCAGGGCATCTTCCAAGGGCCGACCGGGTTCTTGACGGGGTTGGGACATGGAGTCGGGTCTCTGGCGCAGAGTATCACGTCAGGTGAGAGGAATTTACATATTTTTATGTATAAAATGCAGAAAAATTCATGAAATGCAATTCATGTAGGGGATTTCATATTTTAAAGAAATTTATACTTTCCTATGTTCTCAATCAAATCGGGGCAAGATTTCTTATCTTATAATTTCGAGTTATAATTCCACCCGGGTTTAAAAACTTTAGTTCATTTTGTCATATTAAAAACTGAAATGATGTGTAAAATAGCACACTTTTTTAAATTAATTTCTTCAACTAGTTTCTTAATTATTCAAATATTTGGCAAAATTGCAATGCTTATTTGCTTATAAATGGTTTGTATGCATTTTCATGCACTTTTCCGAATTTTTGCTGGGTATTGGAAACGTTTAAAACCATTTTTGTGCACTCATTTTGCGCAGGTATTTTATAACAGGAGAAAAACTTTCGTAGCATTTTTTAAAAATTATTTGTGCATACGACTTGTTTGTGGATCCAAATTTTGTCCACGTGTCGAAAGTGAGGATGGAAAAAGGAGTGATTTGATTGTGCTTCTGGCTTTCTTGTTTGTCTGTTGGCCTCGTGTGTCCTGTGGCCTTTCTAATTAACTGGGTGGAGCAGGACCCTTTTGTCTTGAGGAGAAGAAGTCGACGACTAATAAAAGTGGAAAACTTTCACGATTTGAACGGAAAGAGAGAGAAAAAAACTTTTCATTTTTAAATGAGGAGATTAAGAAAGAAGAAAACTCGTGAAATTTGGGAGCATTAATTTCCTCGTAAAAAAAGAAAAGTCGGGCAAGCGAGAAAACAAACTTTTGAAGTGAGGTGATCATCACAGGGCGGATAGGTATTTAGAAAAAAAAACGACTGGAATTTGTATTTAGGGGTTGGGGATTAGTATTTAGGGGAAAAAATATTTGCGAAATAGGTACAAAAAAATAAGTATTTTGGTAAAATTTGAATTTTTGAATACAATTTTCTAAATTTATTTTAGTTGAATTTCTTTGAGCATAAAAAAATTCGTCTCTCATATCGTTAAAAGACTTACAAAATACATACGTAATTTTGAAAAAGTATCCAAAAGACTGCGTATTTCGGGCGGATATGTATTTACAAAAAATGGATGAAATTTCTATTTAAAGTCAAGGAAAAAATCGCACAAATATTTGCGAAGTATGTACGAAAAATTAGTATTTTGGGAAAATTTGTATGTTTGAACATGTAGATTTTTTGTGGTCGAATTTCTCTGAGCAAAAAAATTTGGGCTCCAAATTATCGAAATATTTACAAAATATATCCGTACTTTTGGAAAAAAATATAAAAGATTTCCGTATTTTTTAAATAATAGGGGAAATATTTATATTTTTGAAAGCGTAGAAATGTGTAAAAAAAGATTATAAAATTTTTGTGATTTATAAAAGTTAAGGACAAATTTTGACAAAGTTTTACTGTCGGTCGTCATTAAATGAAAAAGTTGAAGGCAAATACATATCCGCGCTTTGGAGAAGATGATGAAAATCACAATAGCGTCGTCGACGATGACGACGCCTCCTTTGTTTTCTTGGGAGAAGTTTGAGTTTTCATTAAATTTTGATTATCCAACTTTTCCGCGTTGTTGTCTCTTGAAAAATTCCGAGAAGATGGGAATTCCATTAATTAAGCCGTTTAATTTGCCAGAGTAGGTTTGGCACACATTTTCTGGAATATTTGTTTAAAAATATGGTGTGTGATAGGTGTAAAAGTTGGTTTATACTGGGGAACTTGCGCCATTGTTGTAACTTAATTATCTATGGCGCAAGTTAATGAGGAGAGTTTTGTTTCTGAATAGTACACAATATAAAGTCATGATCTGTCAAATTGTGGGGAATCAGGGGTCAAAAATTTTGCTGGGTTTTAGGAAATTCGCAGTGTAACCCATTCTAATTTTCGACTTTTTCTGGATATCACGCCATGTAAAGTTGTAATCTGTTGGTGTATTAAATTGTGATGAATTCATCAGGAATAGAAATTTTGTTACAAATTTTGAAATTTTTTCAGAAACCCATTTCACGTAGATTTCTAGTTTTTTCTGAATACCATACAATATAAAGTCGTAATCTGTTGGTGTGTTAAATTGTGGGGAATCAGGGGTCAGAATTTTGTTCGGTTTTTAGGAAATTATCAATGTAACCCACTCTAATTTTTGACTTTTTCTGGATATCACGCCATGTAAAGTCGTAATCTGTTGGTGTGTTAAATTGTGGAGAATCCGGGGTCAAAATTTTGTTTCATTTTTCTTGAATCCGAGGGGGTTTAAGTTTTTGAAATTTTTTGAAACTTTGACAACTCGATTTTGTAAGCATTGTGCATTAAAGGGTAGTAAAATGGGGTAAACACTTAATTCGAGTGGTGCAGGGACGAAATGAGTTTTTGTTGGTGGAGTGCATAATTTTTTTAAATTTTCAAGTGCACTTACTTACTTCCCTTTTTGTCAGTACTCCTGTTAAGACGGAGTTGGCATCCTTGACCCAATTTGAGCCATTTGAGGCACCTAAATGCCACATATTTACTCGTTCGTCTGGCCAGAAATAAATATAAGTATGTTCCCCCAGATGAAGAGAGAAAGTCCTTTCTGGTGGAGGAAAACTTGTCACTGACGGAGTTACAGATTTTGATTAATTTATAAAGATTTGTAGTAGTAAAAGTGGAGGACGGTTTCATTTCATGGTTTGAAATTCCTACCCATCTTGTTTTTCCGCATTCAGAGCTTTTTTCGAGTATTTTGGGAAATTTGTTGCGTATATTTTGGAGAATTTTTGAAAAAGGGGAGGGAAATGTGTGATTCTGTGTGTGACAAGGTCTCCTCCTTTTAGTTGAGGGTCCTTGTTTGGATCACTTTCTCCATTTCACATTAGTAACGAGTAGAGAACTAAGAGAAGCCTACTTATTGCGAGCCATTCGTCCGTCCGTCCGTCCGTCCTCAACATGAGAACTTTCGAAAGAATACAATTTTTTTTAGCTCTGTTTTCGAATATAGACGTAGTTTTTGGCAGGTATTTCAGAAATCGCCATTCGTATCTGAGGTCGAAATTCGTAAAACGTCAAAATTTTAACTATTTTAGGAGGGATTTAAAAAATCGCCATTATCTCGAAATGAATCAACTTTAGTGAGGTTGAAATTTCTAAAATGTTAAAGTTTTAACCATTTTAGATGCAGTTTTAGGGCAGGGATTTCAAAAAGCAACATCATTTCGACCTTGTAAACGATGTCAAAGGTCATATGTAAAATGTCTAAACTTGTTAAATGTCAAATTTTCCTGGAAAATGCATCCGCTACTTTGTTACATGTGTTTTAGTAGTTTATTGGGGAGGTTTTGGAGGAGACGCTTTGATCTCGGTGAGCCACTGAAGCGAGGGAAATTACATATTACCGTTTTATTCCTGTCCTCGCTCGCTTTGTTCTCCTCAAAATCCATCCCGTCCACTTGACTGTGTCCCTTCCTTCTTAATGTTCCCTGTACATACACCACTCTCCTCAGAAATTGGATTCCCCACTTTTTTCTGTTCAAAAAATAATAGCAACTCTCGAGGAGAACTTGTTTTATTAAATCTGGACGAATTCCGGGCTCCCAGAGTTGTGCGGGACGGACATGTCGAGGAGAGAGGGTATTTTTTTGCGAATGGTTTGGTTCGAATTTGAATTTTGTGCGAATTTCGGAGGATAATTTGGAAATAGGTTGCGAAATAAAAACATGGCAATGATATGGTGGGTAGATTTAGGGGATTCACGTCAATTTCGGATGCGATTTGGAAATAGTTTGTGAAATGGAATTAGTTATTGGGGACAAAGTCTGCACTTTTTTTGCAAGGAAAAGATTTAAAAAAATGTGGAACATTTCGGTTATGTGAAATTTTTACGGAATAATTTTCCCGAATTTAAAACATCAATTACTTATTTACGGGGTAAATTTGCAGAGGAAAGTATCGAGTTTCAATGTATGCGTGATTTTTATAAAATTTGAGAAATTATGTTACTCTACGTAAATAATTTTCAGAAATTGCGAAATTTTTTGTGAGTATATCCAATTTTTCATGTTTTGATGGCAATTGTAAAAAATCCCTCCTTTTCAAGCAAGAATGTTAGCAGAATTATCGCAAAAGTTTATGCAAAAACTGTGTCGCATTTCATTCCCGTTGACCAATTTTGGCAAAACGTTGTGCAAAAATTTGTCCCTGTGCAAAAAAAGAATGTATCTCATTTTATTGCCCATTGCACAACTCTTTTTCGTACGTATTTTGGACTCCATTAAAATAATTTGATTTGAGAGAGGAGAATAAACAGTGGATTTGTGTTTAATATTTACTCTCCATTTTTCTGTTTGCATTGATAATTCCCGTTTTTTGCAGGCACGTTAACCTCCATCACGAACTTTGCGTGGAGCGTGTCGCGGAACATTGACCGCTTGACGTTGGACGAGGAGGAGCAGTTCTTGTCGGAAACGAACCGTCGCGTGGCGCTCGCCGGATGGGCGGACGGACTCATCCAAGGCCTCACCGGATTCGGGATTAGACTCTTAGGTGAGAAAATTCATGAAAATTCATGAAAATTTGAATGGTTGGAGACTTGTTGCACGTGAGATGGTAAAAATCATGAAAAATCTTGGGGGAAAAATCATGAAAAATCATTACAAGCGTCATGAAAATCATGAAAGTTGTCGTGGGGAAAAAATCATGAAGAGAATCATGAAAAACTATGGAAAAAAATCATGCAACATCATGAAAAGCGTCATGAAAACTAATTAGGAAAAATATCATAAGAAATCATGAAATAAGCGTCATGAAAAATCCTGAGAAAAATATCCTGAGAAATCATACAAGAGAATCATGAAAACTCTTGAAAAATGTGATAAATTCGAGTGAGTGGAGATTTGTTGCACGTGAGACGATAACAATGGGCATACTCACGACAACACCTTACTCAACATGCAGATTTGCAACTCATTTTGCCAATAGTTGGTTGCAAAAAATTTGAGGGGATTGGCAAAGTATGATTTCGCAAAGGTGTAGAAATAAGCTTGTTATGTATTTAGAAATGGTTTTCATGAATTATCTCTAATTTTTATTGGAAGTTTGCGAAATATGTAAAAACATGGAGAGTAGTAATTCGTGGATAAATTTTCCAACAAAAATATCAGTAAAGGTTTTTAGAAATGAGGGAAATTTCGCAAATTACGCTGTTACGTAAAAGTTGTGGTGAGTAGGCCCATTATTGCGAGATGAGGAAGACGGTGGGTTGAGAGAGTGAAGGATTTTTTGTGTGAGAGGAATGAATTCGGGTGAGCAGACTTGTTGCACAGGGTGGGGAAAGTAGACGACTCTTTTTTTGTCTAGCAGAGGTTGTGAAAGACGTGATGGGGACAATACGATTTGAGACGATTAATGGGAAAATGCTCTATTTTTCGGGGGAAATGTTCAGAACTGGGTAAAATACTAGGTCATTCTTCCCAGGGTTTGCATTTCTAGGGGTGTGACACCCACAAAAAGACGAAAATCTACGTGGAAAATACAACGAAGTTGCAGGTTTTCCGAAGAATTTTACTTTTTATTAATGGAAAAATTAATTGTTTTCACGATTTTTGAAGAAATGAAGTATTTTTGCAGGGATAAAAAGTAAATTTCTTCGGAATTTTCTTGTGACTGTTGCATTCTGTGGGATTTTTGGTAGTTGTAATACGCGAAAGAGAGCAAAAATATGTTTTGAAGAGTGGTGCTAGGAATCGAACCCCGCGTCTCCCGTTTCCCGGACGGACACCTTTACCACTAGGCTAACCGCCCTTCTTCACATCTATCACTCTCTTTTACAACTACCAAATTCCACGTATTCTCTCCTACAGTTGCCTGGAAATAGTTTAGAGTGGTCCCCACTCTATAAGGGGATATATGGGAGAGAATATACTTGCACCACCGACTGCTCAGCTGAGGCAACGCATGCTGATCTAGCGGTGGTGGACAGAAAGGGGATGGCGTCTCATGCCCTGCGCGAGGAGCTCACTGCATGGACGGAAATTGGGGTTTGGGGATTTTTGGGGGTTGGGCTTCCGTTTAACTTTGAGAGGGATCGAGATCGAACAGCTGTTCCACCACATGTGGGATTTTTGGTAGTTGTAATACGCGAAAGAGAGCAAAAATATGTTTTGAAGAGTGGTGCGAGGAATCGAACCCCGCGTCTCCCGTTTCCCGGACGGACACCTTTACCACTAGGCTAACCGCCCTTCTTCACATCTATCACTCTCTTTTACAACTACCAAATTCCACGTATTCTCTCCTACAATTCTTAACGTAGATTTGTGACTTTCTGTGGGGGGTGTAACAGCCTCGGAAATGGAAACCCTGGGAAGGTTAACGGGACACAAAGTAGTGTAGTTATTTAGACCCCGGATTTTTCCCAGCTCTGGAAATTGTCCCACATGAACTCGGCGCGTTGGTTGAGTAGGTGGTTTGTGTCTCGGAAAGAATAATATTGTTGGAGGGATTTTTTTTGTGGGTAAAAATAGCTCTGGCTGTATTTACATAGACGAAGAGAGACACCCACCACTCCAGGAAAGTGTTCCACCTTCAAATGTACGTATGTGTAAAGGAACGTGGTGGTGGAGAAAGAAAGAAAGCGGTGAAAGTGACGGAGATTTCTGCGTCGTAGTACATAGGTGACAAACTGGGCGATTCCACTTTTTGGCTAATTTTCGTTCCACATTTTCACCAAGATTAAAAGGCTTTGAAACTCACTTTTTTAAACGGGATTAGGCCAAACTTGAGGAAGATTTAGGCATAAATTTGTAAAAAAAGATGTTGGAGTGTTTAGGTATCCTGCGGAAAAATAGTGAGCATAGTCAGGAGGAGAATGTCTTATTTCGCATTTAGCAAGCTTGTCAAGCTCGAAAAATGTAGGGATTTGTAAAATATGACTTTAGAAATCTACTAAAAATACCTATTTTGACGTGGTTTTCATGGATTTCTGTAATTTCTCTCGGTGGTGATGGTGAGGATGAATTGGCGAAATAATTTGCCCATTTGCTGGGTAAATTTGCGAAAAAAATGATAGTTTTCCAGCCAAAATTTCGTAAAACTTGGCAAGTTATGTTTCTCAATTTGCGAGATATGAACAATTTTCAAAACGGATTTTCAGCTGGGATAAAAAAAATTACGAGAAATTAAAAATAGGGAAACCCGAATTCGCAGATTCACATTGAAAGTGTGACGTTTTTTTCCAGAGAAAAACCCTGGGAGAGATTGCAATTACGAAAATAACCCCAGAATAATTGTGCTCTTTTAAATTTAGTCCAAGGTCACCTTAAGGGACGTTGGATGGAAGGTCGCGTGTCGAATCCACTCTCACCTTATTGCACTCGAGGACATGAGCGAATAAATTAAGCATTTTCTTTGCATACTTAATTCCACTTTACACCATCCACTTCAAAGAGAGGAAGAAAAAAACGTCCCGATAAGCACATGGCGCAAATATAAAACGTCCCGATAAGCACACGTGGCGAAAATGTGTCGGACGTCCTGCAAAAGACGAGCTTGCTTCACAAAAAATCAATCAGGATGATTTGATAAAAATTTCTAATTCATTTGCCATTTTTCATAATAGATTTCTTCAAAAATGAATTTGCTATTTTTTTAATTGATGGTTTTGCAGTACCAATACCTAATTTTTTTCATTACCAAATGAAAAGTTGTATTTCTCTGAAAACTCGTGAAATTTGTGGCATTTTTGGAATTTGCATTTAAAGCGATTGAATTGTGGATGGGTGGAAAGTGAGGTTTAAAATGTATGACGGTGTTATATTCGACCTTAAACTTGTGCCGGCTTAAAAAAATTGAAAAATCCGTAATCCGGCCAAGGTTACTGTTTATCGGGTGAAACTCAATCTGTCGGATTAATCACGTTATATTTACCTCCATTTTTGCAAATGCGTGCAAGCAAATCTCTCTCCGTCGCATTTTCCACTCAGAAAAAAACTTTCTCTGTTGGCGACACCCATAATAAAACGATGGCGTGACATTTATAATACGATTTTGTTCTTCTTTTTCTGACAAGTTTCCCAATTTGAATTTTCCGTAATCTGCATATTTATTTACAAGGTTTTTAAAAGTTGAAATTGGATTTAAAATTGTGTTCCTATTTGTTCTTGTTTTGCAGGCGCGGTCGGTGGGTTAGCGCATCATCCGATACAGAACGTGATTTCAGGAGAGACGTCGCCACCGATGGCCGTGTTGCAGGGCGTGTCTCGCGGCGTGGTGGGCATGGTCACGCGCCCCATCGGAGGCATCGTGGAGCTAGTCGCGATGACGGGACAAGGCGTGCTCAGAAGTGCGGGATGGACACCGCAGTTTAAGGTGAGCTAATTTTTAAAAAAAGTCAATGTGAAAATGGGAGAGGGAAAAATTTGCATATTTTTTTTGTGGAGAAAAGTGTGCTGATTTTTGGCAAGTAGATTTTCAAATGGGTGTATTTTGTTCGGCATAATTCTACAAAGAAGTTTCTTTTGTGGTGGCGGCGACCACGTGGTGGCCAAATCGTGGAGAAGTTTTTGACACGTGTTATTTTTTTTAGGAAATATCTATAAGATTTTTCTGGGGAAGAAATCCACCTAAAAAATTTGGTTATTTGAAAAATGAAATTAACTCGGGAGCGTTCAAATGTCAAAGTTTCCTAAAATTCTAATTTTGTAAAATTGAACGGACAAAAGTGTCGAGTTAATTTATTTTTGAAATAATCCAAATCCGTGTTTTCCACAAAAAATCCACTATATTCTGCAAAGGGGAAAAGCACATGTTGTATAAAAGGCTTATCTAAAATTTGGGCACATGTCGCGCCGCCACGTGGGTATTATCGGTTTCTAGTAAATCTTATCTTGATGATTTGCATATCTTTATATAGCACAATTTCGAAGGGTGTGTACTTTACTATTCGTGGTATCAAAATCGTGGCGAAAACTTGAATTTGTGCATGAAAATGAGAAGAATTCCGTGCTTTTGGGTCTAAATTGAAAGGGTGGGGATATTGGGGGTGTCCTAAATACTGTGGAATGGAATCTGTATATAGACCACTCTCGTCATGATTAGACTGATCTCACATTTTCGCAATTTCCTTAATGCACACCTCTCTTTTTTCAGAGAGAGACGCGTCTCTGAATTTGTGTCGGGGGACGCACTATGCTTTTTGATGGGTGTGCACATAATCTCATAATTGATCTTCACACTCGTCTCTCTCTCTCTCCTCCAGGTCGGTGGGTTCTTTTTACTGAGAAAGAATCTCGCCCCACTTGTTGCTCGAGAGTGAGTGAGATTTTGCAAAAAAAAAGTGGGTTCGATTCGAGAAAGGCGTACGGAGTACGCTTTTCCATAATATTCGAGAGGTTGAGTGTATAGGTCTATTTTTTTACTCAAGTTCTGATTGTAGAGAGCAAAATGCGGCGAGACATTCAGATTGGTTGAATCTAGAAGATTTGTATTTAGTCCAGTATCATTCTTTCTTACAGATGATTGTAGAAATATGTCAATTTTTCAAAATCCCCGAATTTTTTATATAACCAAAAATAGCGAAACTACAGTAGGTGAATGTAGCAGAATAAAAATGACCAGACACCATTCGCAATTTTTACCCTGATTCTGATTGTGGACCTCAAATGCGGCAGGATGTTCAAATTTCTTTAGAATCTAAATCTCGACCGCGTCCCAATTCATTTGGGTTTCGCTACTTGGTTGCGTCTGTTCATGTCTGTCTGTCTGATCTACACATGTATGGATGCAATCTGTGGAAAAAGTAGAAACTAAATACTCTTATGTACGTGTGTGTTTGCCTTTTCGGGAGTGGGCAGAGTGGTGAAAGTGATGCGATGATGGTGGTCTCGATATCAATGTGCTTGAGGTCTCTTCCCCCCCCGTCTGATCATCCGTCCCCCCTTGATCCGTCCGTCTGGGAGGTTTTCTTTGATGGCTGGGAATGAATCAGGGTGGAAGAGAGAGGGTGCAGCGGAGCGGGATGGCGGTGGTGGGGGCTTAGTCGGGATTGGAGGACGAGCGGATTTATTATTTCCACCAGACCACGCTTTCTCCTGTTTACTCTTATATTTACCTCACCCAGCCAGCTAGCCGTCCCGACCAACATGGGGAAAGCGGAAAAGACCACGTTAACGTAGGCAGGATGACAAATCGCTGTAAAAATCCGTACATTTTTAATCATTTATCGCATCTGGGAACTTATTTTAAAATTCTGGACGACAAATTTGTAGGAAGTGAGTTGGTTGATTGAGTTTTTTGATCCGGTTTCGATGAGGTCCGGTTATTCTGAAGGCTTCTTAAACTTTAGATCTTCTCCGATAATAAGGGTCAAAATTGTACGTTTTAAAAAATGGCAATGGCTCGTTCTATGAGCTTTAATGTATGTACGACTCGATGAGTAATCATCATAATCAGGACATTTTTAGTAATTTCTCGCTTCTAGGAACCTATTTTAAAATTCTGTATGCACTTTAGTCAGTGGAGTATCTTGCGCCCTGCATTTCTTGCATGTCAAAATATTTACCTGGAAAAAACCACTTTCTTCCCATTATTTCTTACACGTGGTTAAGTACTCGCACGCGAAACACGGATTGCGTAACCATACCTGTTCAATAACTTAGCTTTCATTCAAAGTTCAGTCATCCCTATTTCTGACTGAAGATTTTCATTCACCTTCAATCATTTTCTTTCAAATTCATTTCATTTCACTTCATCTCTTACTTCGTCCCATGTATTAAGCATAGCGTGAAAAATGAAAGGGGTGAGAAATCCTTTCATTCACAGTCATTCATCTGAAATGACGAAATTTTTCAATCATTTTCACTCAAATCACAGGAAATTCATTTTCATTCAGTATCACTCACCATCATAATCACTCAAATGAATGAAAGTGAACAGGTGTGTGCGTAACACATTTTTTGGGGAAGGTTTCTTTTAAACAAATGGGAAAATTTACTTGGTTAAAGTTGCAAATGGCGTAATTTGTCGGGGACGTGGTGTTTGTCGGGTGGGGTTTTTCTCGGTGAGGGAGCACTTTGGGGAGATTAGTATAAATAGGAGGAGGACATGTTTACCCGGTTAGGCAGGCTGGTGGGTAAACATGTCCTCCACCTGCTCAGACGTTGCACAATCCACAAATAAATACTCCTCTAATTAAGAATGAATGTTAATTAAGTCCTTCTTGGAACGGATCGAAGGACACATGAAACACATGCCTACCTACATAATGTGTACATATGCACTTAATTAATTGCGAAATGGGGACAAAAATAGGAACGGCTTTGAAGCAGACAGTTGGCCTGATTTTCGGGGAGAAGCTTTTATGGAGAATTTTGGCACGATTTTCTGCACAAAAGCTACGTAGGTGTTTTATTATTAATTTTCAAAAGGTATGTTCCGCACTGTTTCTGACCAAAATTGTGATGAAATAACAAACTTCAAATACATTTAGGAGGCTGTGATTTTTTTCAGTTCTTAAGGTTAACGTCAACACTAGCAATAAATCGGCAAACTTTACCTCGACGGAAAAAATGCTAGATTTGCAAATTAAATATCGTAGTGTGATTTAATTTTTAATGCTGGATAGGCAATACGTGTCGCAGATTTATGGTTGAATGCTTAAAATGTACAATGAAAACTGCCCAACACGAAACACAAATTCAATTGGGTCAATAATTTTTAATTATGGCGAAACGAGGTCTCGGGCAAAAAGTCGCAAGGACGCTCAAAATCCGCTTCTTCCACAGAAAGGCTCCGGAAACTAGAGGAACCAATAATGAGAGATCCGCGATTGAAACTGTCCTATATAGCAGATGAGATGGGTGTTCCAAAACCAGCAATTTGTTCCATGTTAACTGAAGACTTAGGTATGAAAATGGTTTCCGTCCGTTGGGTACCAAAATTGCTTTCGGCATCTCATAAACAGGATCGAGTCAACTTTTGCAATGCAAATTTTAACCTATTAAATGAAAACTGGAACCTGCTCAATATTTTATTGGCTGCATATGGTACTTGGGTTTACTATTATGACCCGGTGACCAAATAATAATTCCCTCATTGGAAGCACGAGGGGTTGCCACCGCCCGTGAATTGAAAAGTGCAAAAATCTGACAAAAAAATTGATGATGACCATTTTCAAGGATACCAAAGGTCCCCTCCTTATAAAATTTATTGCTGGAAATACTGCAATAAATGGGGCCGTGTATGCAGGAACCCCGAAGGAGCTGCGTCCTCCGGTTGAAAAGAAACGTGGGGTCAAAATAAAGAGTTGGCCTTTTTTTAGACGACAACGCGCCACCTAATACCTGGCTTTTTGCGAGGGTTAGTGCAGACGAAAATCGCTTTACCTGCACAAACCACGCCCCGTGCAGTCCAGACTTGTCCCTTAGTGATTATTATTCGTTTCGAAACTTAAAGAAAAACATCAGGGGAAAACGGTTTTCGGATGATAATGAAATCAAGTCGTAAATTTTGGCATATTTTCGAGGTAAATTTTAATGAGTTATTGCTAGTGTTAATGTTAACCTACAGAACTGAAAAAAATCACAGCATCCTAAAAGTATTTGAAGTTTGTTATTTCATCAAAAGTTTGGTCAGAAACAGTGCGGAACATACCTTTTGAAAATTAATAATAAAACACCCACGTATATGCAAAAATGTAGAGCGATTTTCTGGAGAAATTTCGATTGGAGAAGTTCGGCCTTAGTTTTTTGCGAAATTTGGCCAATTTTTTTGCAGAAAAGCTCTATGCAGAGCGATTTTTGCTGAAATCTGTGTAGAATTATGTGCATAAAGTTCTGTAGAAATTTTCGGCAGGATTTTGCAAACAAAAATATATGAAAGAGTGTAAAATTTTGTTGTTTTTTGCAATTTTGCAGGCTAAAGGTGATCCGGTGGTGGAGGACGTTTGGAGCCGGGTGAATTCGCTGGTGAAGTACCAATTCGCCCTCGTCGACGCCCGCGCCACCACCACGACGGGGGACGACGACACGGAGCGGTTTCTTCTACTGGTGGATGCCTCGCAGGATAGCGGGGATGGGGGGACAGGGAACCGAGGGGGGTATAAAGCTGTCTCTCTCCTACTTTCCAATCTGGTCAGTTGGAAACACACAAAATTTTGACTTATTTTTTGAGGGGGACAAAAAGACGAGAATCTATGTACATCGAATGTCTGCGAAGGAATGAAAATGCGCATTTTGCGATGAAATTTACTTTTCCAATGTTTTTATGAAAAAATGTCGCGATTTCGCAAAAATGCAGTACTTTGAGAAGGATAAAAAGTTTAATTTGTTCCGTATTTTGGTATGCCTTCTAAATATGTAGATTCTCGTGTGTTTGTCAGCTCTGGGAGATCAAAATATTACCGTATTTTATGTGCATTTTTGGAGAATAATTTCGTAATTTTTCTTTGCAGAATTTGTACTTGATTGATGTGAACGAGGACATGTCGATATCTCACTTTCCCCTCTCGCTCCTCTCCTGCCAAGAAAACAACGAGGACGAGGACCGCACCCTCCTCCAGATCAAAACCGTCCCACTCAAACACACCGTAAGTCAACCCACCAACTAAAATGTATACGTTTTTGGAAAAAGAGGGACAAATTGTGCGATAAATTTTGTATTTTTTTCTTCTTGAGGAAAACACGTGTCTTGTAAAATCCTTGTTTTTTTTGGAGGAGGAATGAAAATCGGAGATTTATCAATTTTTTGTGGAAAATACAAAGATTATTATTTTTCTCTGAAGGAAAACACGTGTGTTCTTCCTTGGGAAGATGGAATGGGGGAAATTTGTCTACTTTCTATACGGATGTGTTTTATGCAAACATTTGTGTTAAAAAAACTAGTTAATTTTTAGCAAAAATGTATTTCCTTTTTTGAAAAATTTTAAACCAATTTTTCTTTATTTTTCCTCAGGACGAATCCAGCTTCGCGACGGAACGTCTCATCTCCTTCGTGACGTCGTCCTCCTCCGCTAAGAAGATCGTTCCTCTGGGGGAAGACGTCTTATCCACCCCGTCCCGACATGGCGCCCCATTCACACCGGTGGAATCCTCGACGACCACGCTCTTATCGCCGCCACAGCCGCCTCGCGACACTTTCGACCTGCTCGTCGTCCCCTCTTCCCCCGAACCGAGTGAAGAGCTCCCCTTCCTCGAAACACGGTCAGACGTGGCGTCCACCTCGACGCAAATGTACACCGCCTTCGGAGGAAGCAACTCGTCGACCAACCCGCTCATCAAGAATGCGAATCATGTCGTCATCCCGCCGCCGGGAATGGGAGCGGGCTCCATGCAAACGTTATTCATCTCCCCGCACGTGAAGGGGGGTGGAAGTGGGGGGGACAAGGATGAAAAAGTTATTGGATCCTTTCTCGTGTCGCCGCAAGATAAGCAAGAGTTTCGCAATGTGTTGGCATCCCTGAAAAGGAATTTGGACGAGGAGGAGCAGTTATTCAGGGTGGATGTGTAACGGAGGGAGCACGTGGATGGAAAAAAGCACGTGGAAAAAGCACGTGGAAATATTATGAAAAACAAATCGTCTAAAAAACACGTGGGGAAATATTATGAAAGAAAAATCAGCCAAATTCCAAGTCTGTTTATAAAATCGTCTAAAAACCACGTGGAAAATATTGTGAAAAAATAAGTCATGTAAAAAACCACGTGGGAAAATGTTATGAAAAACGAATCAGCCAAATTCCAAGTTTCTTTAATTCTGTGATAACTAATGTGAGATTTAAAAAATCTGCCGGTTTTTATTTCTCTCTCTGGTGGAAAAATTATGTAAAATCATGCAAATTTATATATACTGGTAAATATCTATGCAATTGTCATTTAACTCTGTGATAAATAAATATATAGTAGTATTATTACGAAATGGATTGTTAAATTGGGGTTTTATTTGTATGGTAAAATGCAAAATTAATTTTTATTTTTCCTGGCAAGGTTCAGAAACTTTGGGGAAGAATGCAAGTAAAAAGTCGTAGGTTTTCTGATTGAATATCTATTTTGAGTCAAAGTGTGCAAAAAATTATCCAAATTTGCATACACCGCTAATTAATTGTGACGTAACTCCGTAATAAATAAATAATGGAATCTGGTTTCCTTCCTTGAAGTCTTCCAGATAGGCAAGAAGAGAAGAAGAAACTTTGTAAAGGGGAACGTATTTTCATAAGTAAATAAATAAATAAATAAATCAAATAGTAGTTTTAGCCAGATATTTAGAGCGAAGAAAGAAAGTGTGTAAATGAAGGAAAGAAAAAAATCGTTCAAATTTAAAAATTATGGTGCTAAATAATTGTCGCTTAATTCACAAAAAAATCCCAAGTTTACTAATATGTCAAAATAATTGCAGTTAGATAGATAATTCCGTGATAAACAAACAATGCAAAAACGATGCAGAAACTGTATTCTTTTCTATGCAAATTTTTTTGTGGGTTACTTCCTCCCTTGAAATCTTGGAGGTGGAAGGTAGAATCTTATTTAGTAGAATGGGAAGGTAGAGGAAGAGAAGTGAGTGAGTAGAAAGACGTGGTTTGGTTTTGGAGAGGAGAAAGTGTGAGTAAGTGGTTTGCCTCGAGAGACTGCTTTCTCCAACGAGGACGGCGTCCTCCTGATGAGCCCCCTTCCTTCCTTGGTTGTACATATGCAGCAAGTTTTTTCATTAGGCTAAAAGCTTGGGTTTTGCTGCGGGAAGAGGAGATTTCTCGATGCAGATCATGATGAGCTCAATTACCACGTTAGTAAGTAACCAAACACCACGCCACAACCTCAGATGCTGCAGATCTAGGTATGTATTCCCAGGGTTCCGGGTTTTAAGGGCCAATTTGACCAGGAAAAAGGGGGATAAATGGGTTTTACCGGGGAAAATATGACGGTCTTATTTACATAGTTGATTTGTTAAATAATCAATATTTGAGGACTTGATATCCGTCATCTCCACAAATTTGTGAACATTTTGATAAAAAAGTGAAAATGTTTTTGGTATAAAAAAGTGCATTTTTCTATTCTCACTTTTTTTCGTTTTTCAATTTGTCACCAATTTTGAACAAGAAATTGTAGAAAAATGTGGCTTTTCCACAGATTTTTTCAAATTTTCCTACGTTGGATGAGAAATTGTAAAAAAATGTGGCTTTTTTCCCAGATTTTTCCATTATTTTGCACTTATTTCAGTTTGATATTTAAAAAAGCTTGCATTTCTCCCACTTTTTCCATTAGTCCATTTGGTCCTTTTTACGCAGCGAAACCCTGGCTTTGCACATATGGGATGGAAATAAGTAATTGGACCTCATGCAAATGAGAACTTACTTTTTAGACACGTTTTTATTATGACAACATGACGATTAGACAACAACGAGAAGAAGAAGAGAAGACGACGACGAGATCACGACACGGATGGGACGACGACTATTTTTTCCTACTTTTACCCCCCTCCTCCCCCCACGCCGATATTATGGTACAGACGCATCGGCTCATTTACATATACATAGATTTACATACTCGCTAATAAAGTTCTACACACGGACGACTAAATAATTTTTTTCTGTATACTTTTTTTTGATCGAGTCAAAATAGAGGATTTCTTTTTGTCTTCTGTCAAACAGCACCAATTTTTTGTTTCCTTATTGACAAGGGAACTTTCGCAGGGGATGCGATCCGATTTTGAGGAAATTTTAGGGGGAATCGAGCAGAAATTTGGGAAGAATAGATCTTCAAATTGGCGAGTCTGGCGGAGGTATTTGCATTCGAAGAGGAGAAAATGAGAATTTTGGTGGGTGTGTCTGACGATTTGAATTTGGCGCTGGATTTCACATTGCCCTGGATGTGCATAGGTTTTGATAGGTCTCACTCTGCCCCATTTTTTTGGTTCGATAGAAACACGAGCAGGATTTAGTTTCACTCAAAATCTATAATCTATGTCAATTTTAAATCTGTGGTTTAAAAAGTTGACAAATTTTACACTTTTCAAATTTACTTGTTAGGTTTTCTCCTCTTTGGATGCAAATATCCCTGCGAAACGTGCCAATTTGGGAGATCGGGTCTTCGCAAATTTCATACTAATTAAATTTGCAATCGATTTCCACTAATTTCCTCAAAATCGGAGCGCATCCGCTGAGAGAGTTCCCTTCCGAGTTTCGCGTTCCGATTCCGACCCACGTGTTTGTAACCTGTTTCATGCACGTAATAAAATAACGCTAGAAAATTAGACATTTTTAGCTTTCTTTTCCCTCCAACTCTTTTCCCTCGTAAATCCTGACCCAACTTTTTTTTATCTTAACGCTAAGAAGTGTTAATTAATTAATTAATTAATTAGATAATTTCTGTATTTTTTATTTGAACAGCAAGAATTTTTTAAGTAAGAATTTACGTAATCAGCGTATACCAAACAACAATGATTTGATTCCCGGCGTATTAAGCTGCTCTCCCAATGCGGTATGTTACGGGCAGAGGGCAGATATGTATTTATTTACGAAAAATGGCTGAAATATGGGAAGAAACGACAAAATATTTACGAAAAATGACCAAAATATATAAAAAAAATGGCCGACATGTTTACGAAAAATGATCAAAATACTTACTAAAATTCACCAAAATATTACGAAATTTATACGAAAAATGTATTTTTTTTAGAAATTCGTTTCTATTTTTGAATTTAATGTTCTGAATTTTTTGTGGTCGAATTTCTTTAAGCAAAAAATTTCGTATCACACATGATTGAAATATTTGCAAAAAGTATATATTTTTTTAATAATAGGGGAAATATTTGTAAATTTTTATGTTTCTGAAAATCTAGACAAATTTAACAATAAATATGTAGTGAAAATATTTGGAAATTTGTGTAATTTATAAAAACTAAGGAACACACCCTCAAAATTTCGCTGTCGGTTGTTACGAAATGAAAAAAATGGGAAATAACTACATATCCGCGCTCTGGCCGTAAAATCCGTCCCTGTTTTTAATCCTCTTATAACTTTGAGTCATTGTTTGAAAAGTAGGTTTTAATCTGGTTTTAGTTAATCTCTGCAAGCGTAAACTTCTCCACTCTTTTTGTCCGAGTCTAACTCTAAACAATGCTACAATTTCTCTCCTTTTTCTCCCTTTTTCTCTACCCACTACCAAGTCGGTAATGATATTTCTTATTTTCTTAAACATTTAGTTAGGTAACAACATTTAGTAATTCGTACAATATTACATCAAGATTTAGATATTTCTATATTAAAATCTGGTTTTCGTCCCAACTTTCCCCACCAAAAAAAAAACATGAAAATTCTATATTTTTTTCTAAGGGAAGTAAAAGTATCACATGTACTTAATTAATTAATTAATTATGCTTAATTTTACGCTTGATTTTTTGTTAATAATAATACGGATATTTTTTTTATTTATGTAAATACTGATTAAATTTTGGAAATTTTTCAAGTCTTTTACTTCCTTTCTGATTGTTTGATTCGTTTTGATATCGAATTTTATATTTTTTCTTAATAATTTCAGGTTTTTGATTGGTTTTTTGGTACGGTTAGAATTTTTCTAGAATATTTCTGTGACGCTCAGTCAATGGTAAATGTGGTCAAGGAATAAGGGTAGATTGAATTAGATATATTTACTTATCGGTAATACAGAGGGCTTATCGGAAATTTTTGTAGAATTATGTATGACTTGGCAGAGATGGGTGAAATACTGGGTGAAAATGGGGAATTTTTTTAGCTCTGTTTTTCCAGGGTTTAGATTTTCAGGGGTGTTTTACAGCCACAATCTATGTATCTGTACATCGAGAAATAACCTGTTCACGTTCATTTGCTCGTTCATAGAGGATAAGTAAATGAATGAAAAATGAATTGATAATTGTTTCAAAATTTTTGAATGGATAAATATCACATTTTTTAATTTTAAATTAATAAATAAATAAATAATGATTTTTTTCTAATTTTGAATAACTGAATAATGTTTTTAAATTTCTAAGGAAAGAATAATGAATGAATTTTGTATGAAGAAATATTCTAAGAAAGTCAAAATGCATTGTTTTCACGGTTAAAAAAATTTAAGTAGTTTGAAAAGTGATAAAAAGTTAGTTTTTTCCTAAACACGTGTTTAGGTACAGCTGTTTTTACAGCTGTTTATCTCTGTAGCTTCATATCTTTTTATGGTTGTAACCGTCTGGAAATAAAAATCCGGAAAGAACTGACTCTAAAAATATTCTATTTTGACAAAGTATTTTTCCCATCTCAGAAATTTTAGGGAGAGGAAAATAAATATAAATTTTCCGATTTTTTTCCATGGAGGACATTTTGATTGTATGCAGAGAGAGTTTCCGACTTTCTCTCTGGTTTGACACGTATTTATTTATTTTTATACACATATTGAGTAAAATATTATGCACTTACGTACGTAGAATAATATCGTCTCAAAATATCTTTACTCAAAATTTAAATCTCAATTTTTCCGGCATTCTCATCTTCCCCGGAAAAATACGTGGTGAACACGTGGGTTTAAATGCACGTGGTTAAATTAAATACATATGACATAGGTGAATAAAAGAGCAGTCCATCATAAAAGCACGTGATGACCACGTCGTTAAATTGAATTAACGGGTCAACGATACCCGTCATAAAAACGCAAAATTGCAATCTCATTTTTGCCTCATCTTTCAGAAACACGTGGTGAGCACGTGGGTTTAAATACACGAGGTTAAATTGAATAATTAGGTGAACATGACGTACAGCGGACCATCAGAAAATTAAGAAAACCCGGAAAAAATGTGTTTAAATTTTTGGGTAAAGATATCCCGTGACGATATTAAGAATTTGGGGTAAGACGAGACGTTTGCTAAACTAAGACATTGCTAAATAAATAAATATTTACGCTTTGCTCTCTTGTGGTTTAGTTGGAGGATTCGCAGGTGTTGTGTCGATGGAGGAAGGATTTGTTGTGGGCGAGTCCGAGAATGGAGGAGGCGACGTTGCTCTGGCCCGAGTCCGTGGATGACCTCACGCCTCGAAATACGGTCGTCTGCAGAGTCCGCTTCCACTTGTCCTGCGTCGACTTCAGCTTGATCAGCCACGTGTTCTAAGAGAGAAAAGTGAGACAAAAAAGAATTTACATTTCTGAATGAAACAATTATTTCTACTTCTGAAATTAAAATTTTAAGTTATTCACAAAAAAAAATGAAAAAATCTATGAACGTTTTTTGTAACTCGAAATTTTTTCACATGTAACTAAAGTCCAAATTTTTTTGTACTTATAAAAATATTGAAAAAAGATGTATGTACTTTTGCATTAAAAACGTTTTTAAAATTAGGATTCAAATTCCTGTCACTCAAAATGGAGACCTCTCAGCAGATACTACCAGATTTTGAGAAAATTAGTCTCAAATGATGGTAAATTTAATTGGTACCAAATTTTCGAAGGAAATGATTGACACGTTTGGTCGAGATATTTGCATCATAGGAGAAGAAAACGCGCCTTGAAGTTAACAGATTTTTATGTTTTTCAGATTTACTGGACGTTTTCTCCTCATCGGATGCAAATATCTCGGGTCAAATGTGTCCATTTAATTTCCAAATTTCGTATCAATTAAATTAGTGATAACTTTTCTCAAAATCTGAGAGCGTCCGCTGAGGGATCTCCCTTGAGGGGAGTGGTGTAATTAACCTTGATCTGGTCCGACGGGGCTTGGAAAGTGTGGACGGCAATGATTTGTTGGAATCTGTTCAAGCTGACGAGGACGAAGGAGGAATCCAGCTTCGTCGAGTTCGTCTCCCCGTCCGCGATGTCGTGGATGAAAAAACGGTCCAGCGAGATCGGCTGGCGGTACACGATGTAGCGATGGTTCGGCCCCGACCCCTCGCCCCCCACCACCGGACCACTCTTTCCACACGCGCTCTGCCAGTTCTCAGTCAGAGACGATTTCTACACAGAAAATCAGAAAAGTTAGTGTTTATTGGGGGAACATTTTTTGAACTACTTTGTCAGAACAAAAATTCTAATTTGACAGAATTTTAATAGTGCGGCATTGTCTAGTTCTCGTCAGTAAATGGTTACGGATTTTTTTGTAACAAAATTTCTATCGGAACGATTTTAATTATTCCCAAGAAGTTACCATTATTCTCGGGAATTTACTTTAAAACGAATTGGAACTTTTAAAATTCAAATTAAGGAAAAATAGTGTTTTCTAGACTATTGACACTGTTCCTGCCAATACAAATTTGTAATTAGTATTTCTAATTTTAGTTGCACTCAATTTCTAATTATATTAGAAAAATTCCAATTTAAGTAGATTAAGAAATACTATTCCCCCACTAAATTTAATAAATTTCAGTTGGCTGACCTTTTTGCTGAGCCCTTTTTTCCTCCTGGTGATGAGAAGCATGTCATCGAAGAGGATGACGTAACACTCGGAGGACTTCCCAGTGTCCCACAGTTGCAGCAGCCCCTCGTAAATTATCTGACGACGTGGCGACACAATTATCGAGTCGCACGGTTGTCGCCCCAACGCCACGCGCAGAAAGTCGGGGACCCAAGTCTAGAAAAATGAAGAAGAAATTAAATGAAATTAATTTTTTTTGCATGTGGTGAAAAATGTTGGAAAAAGTGAAAGCATGGAAATCCACGTGGTGAAAAATTTCCCACCTTTTGGAATTTATCTATAGTGTCTTTTCTGGTGAAAAAAGTGAAATTAGGAAAACCCACGTGGTGAAAATTTTCGAATTTTGTTTTTACTGAAGCAGAATTTCTCTGTGTTGAATTTTCTCTGCAGATTAAATTTTACAGAAGTAGATTTCAATTCTGGGGATGTTTTCAGTCCAAAAAATTGTCAGTTTTGGAGCATTTTGGCTTTGAAAAAAGTTTGCACATTTGATTCTGGATACTTTCTATGTACAAAGTTTCAAAACATGTAAATTAATTTTGAAGTAGAAGCATCACATCTAAAATGTATTATGAGGATACAAGAACATTAAAATTTCCATTATTTTGTCCACCCCATTAATTTCCATTAATTTGAATAAAAATTCTTCAAATTTTAATTCTGTGTATGCTTTCTCTTAAAAAAATTGGGGTAGTTTCCCACTTTTCCATAATGATGAAAATAATACAAGAAAACTACATAGTATAAAATTTCAACTATTTTGTCAAAATTTTACGAAAAATCCGCCACATTCTGGGGATGTTTTCTCATTTAAAAAATGGGAAATTGTGCACTTTTCGGTTTTATATCGAGGTGTTAAAAATAGCGTGTGTATTACGACGATACGGGAGGGAGGATTACATAATGTGCAATCAGCCAACAGGTGAGAGGAGGACAAACATGTTGAGAAGTTGGCGGAGCGGAGAATGGTGTGACACCTTGGCAAGTCCGACCCCAGAGCACAATTAGTACCGCTTGGACGGTGGCTTGCTTGACATGAGAGGAGGAGGACACGTAATCCGCCCTCATCATGATTGAGAGCCCTCAACTCCCACGAGAAGATGCGCTCTCTCTCTCTCGCAAAAAAAATTAGTGGTTTGCGAATTGTCTAGCTATCATCGTGGTGCTAAAAACAGCCCATTTTCATTGGAAAAATAGGGTTGCGTTAGGTTTCATTAAATATTTTGAGAGAAATTAGAGTGAAAAATGGGGATGTTTAGTTGAAAACCAGAAATATTTCTCAGGCAAAAAGGACGAAAAAGAGGAAACTGCCTTGCCAAAAATTTAATGGTTGCGAATCGTCTAGTCATCATGGTGGTAGTGGTGCTAAAAACCGGCCGTTTTCATAAACAGGGTTGCAAATTCTATGAGCGAAAGGCGAGTGGGAAAAAGGGGGATGTGTTAAAAAGAAATATGTATGTATGTACTGGGCAAAATCGGAATATCTGATAAATTTTGTCTGGTATAATTGGATGAGGATCTATAATGGGAAATCTATATGGGATGCCCATGACGGGAAAAATTGGCTTAAAAATACTAAAACGGAAGTTGAAAATGGACTAATTAGTGGGAAAAATGGGACTAAACAAATAGAAGTATGAACTTAAGGGGAAGAATCGGACTACCCAGTGATAAACATGGGACAAATTAGTGTGAAAAATGGGGATATCTACTTATAAAGTAATGAGAAATATATATATAATGGGCAAAAAAATCGGACTTTCTCGCAAAATTGAGGAAACGAAACCCTGTAATTTTTGATAATCCTTTTCCCTCTCGATTTCACCCGTGTCTGTCTGTCCGTCTGTCTGTCTGTCTGGCCGCCTGGAGCTAAATAAACACATCTCTATCTGGGCTTCCGCTAATCTGTTCCGTCAGTGCCTTGTTTGGCTCCCTGCTCACGAACACCAGCCGTTCTTCCTGATAAAAAAGGTGGCTGGCCCAATCATCCCATAAATTCGGTGGAATGGGGGCAGAATCCGGGCAGCAGGTTTTAAAAAGTCGGGTAAAATTGGATCACGAAATTCCACTCCCGTCAGAATCATCATCCTTTCTGTTGACATTTCCCTAAAACTCGGATTACGGGATGAACACATCCACGTCCACCGCATACTCGTCAAAGGTGAAGTTATCTACACTTCAGGTTGCCCGAGCCACGTAGATATTTTTATCTGGAAAGGTTGGATCACCCTCGTGGGACACATATTTTAGTGAAGTGTCAGTTTTCATTGGCACGTTTTTATTTTCTGGGAAATTTTGTGGGGCATGGGTTTTGAGAGGAATAAATAGGTTGGTTTGTGAAGTGAGGTTAGAGTTTGGTATGATTTTTAATGAAGGATTGGAGGTTTGGTGGGAAATAGGGTCTCGTTTCTGGCAGGTTTGCTAGATTTTTTGCACGAGAAAAGAAAGCAAAGGAAGAAATGTTAGGTGCAAGAAACTGGGAGAAAGTGCAAGGAATGGCCACGCGCTGTATGTCGTATTTAAGCGGCGTGGCGTCGTTTCTTGCGCCGTGCATTTCTTACAGGCCAAAATATTCCCTGCAAGAAACCACTTCTTCCCGTTATTTCTTGCAAGTGGGAACTTGTACCCAACTTTCTCCCCGATGTCATAGATTGCAAAAAAATGAAAAAACAAATTGCAAAATTGCAAATAAAATTGCAATATATTTGTCCTAAATTGCACACTATGGTGTGCATATTTAGCCTACTTTGTAAAAAATACGCATATATTGTGAGCATGTGGACGATGTTACGTATATACGAAACTATTTCTGTTAAGAAAATTAGATCCCAAAAAAAATTACGACTGGACAGATGCGTGGATGGCGAGATGGACCAATTTTCTGAGTAGTATTAAAGGAAAGAAATATGGAAATTTCATGACCCCGGGTCAAATCTATGCGTGAGAAGAATGCTGCCACCTTTGAATGATAAGCTTCATTAGTCTCAAAACTCGTGAAATTCATGCCATTTTACAAATTGGCATATATATGTATAAAGAGATTAAACAGGGGTAGAGTGAGATTAAAAATCTATAACCACATCAAATCGTCACCCAATGTAACCTTAATCAGGATCAATATTTACTACGACACGCCTGACTGGACAGACATCTTGACTGGGAAATAAGCCCATTTTCTGGGTGATAAGGAAAGAAATGTGGAAATGTCATGACCCCGGGTCAAACTTGTCCGTCAAAAAGGAAAGCTGTCACCTTTCCTCACTTTCACTTTTTTCTCTCCGATTTCAGGATGGGACTCACCTTGGGCTCCATTTCCAGAATCGAGGGCCACACAATGTTTCTCTGGATCTCCAGGAGACGCTCAAAGTTCTTCAGCCAACGCATCTTATCGTCTAGTTCACCTTTTGCAAAGAAAAAATGGGAAAAGTGAGAAATTTTGCTTTATTGACTTCTCCCGATTTCTGCTGAATAAATTTTATTCAGCGAAACGTGGAATTATGAATTTCAGAATTTAAAAAATATATCTATTTAGTTTATCGAAATTTTTGAGAAAGTATGATTTTTTCATCGTAATAGTTTTTTAGATTTGTGAAAATGTTGACGAACTTAAAAATACTTGTAAAATTGTCTTTTTAAGAAATGATTGTTCAAAGTTTGTATAAGTTATTAAACAATTATTAACATTTAAAAATCTCTAAATTTGTCAAAATTTTCATAAATTTACAAACAATTCTCCAAATTTTGTATAAATTTAAATACAATTTTTAAACTTTATATTAATTATTAATTAATCATATTAATAAATTCTAAAATAATGATCAAAATTAAAAAAAAATAATGCTCCATACATATGTTTATAAATTAAAAAATAATTCTTTAAAGTTGTAAAGTTTAGCATAAATTTAGAAATAATTCGATGCATTTAAAAATAATTTCATGACTTTTCTTAAATTATAAGAACTGCCTTTACAAAAAGTACAAATTTTGAAGTTAACTTACGAATGGAGTTTTCCTGTATTTCGAGTATTTGGACGATGAGTGCTTTTTCCTGGGGTTCGGCGGTGCGTCCTTGAATGTCCTTGAGAATGAGGGGGACCTTCATCAAGTGCTGCACCGGCGACACGAGGAGGTCCGTCAACTGCAACTTCTTACACCGCGGATCCTTCATGCAAAGCTGAAACCCCAAAAAAATCATGACTTTTTTATATTTCTGGAAAATCTTTAGGAAAACTCTTTTCTTTAAAGCTCATTTTCACCTTATTTTATTTATAGCCACAAGTTATTAAATTTGGGCTGCAAAAATAGTTTTTCTGAGCAACTTTTAAATTTGTGGATAAATAGTAAATATTCGTTTTCATATATTTTCAAGATTTTATTTGGTAAAATGTGTCCAAATAATTTTTATGATTAGTTAATTTGACAATTCATGTATTTCACTTTTTTCTAAAATGTGTAACAAATATTAGGACACTGTGAAATTAAAAAAAGGAGTGTGGAAAAAATTATGCTTGAATCAAAGAGACAAATTGGTAAAAAAATGCGATTTTTTTGCAAAAAATTTGGTAAAAAATTGGACAAAAAATACATGTCTTTTTGCATATTTTCGTCACAAATACTTTGTACTTTCTTTCCAAACTGCGCCGAAATATTGAATCTCAATTCAATTAAATCTTAAAAAATACGATTTAGCCAGAAAATAAATAAATGAAAAATAAATTTTGTACGTTTTTTTATCCTAAGTATTTTGTCCTTTGCTCATAAATGTGAATATAACGGGGTCAAATATTAACTAGATCGCCGATTTGTCTCCCCACAATTCCCACGTCCTAAGAAATTCAAGTTTTTGTTATCTTCTTGTTCCAAATTTCTCAAAAAAAAAAGTTCCCGAAAATAATTTTTACCTTTTCGAAATCGCAGAATTCCACGTGTCTCCGCAACGTTTCCAAATAGTTGAGAGCATTGATGTAGTTGAGTGCGTAGCGATGGTAGGCTTGCGACATTGCTCTCGCCTTGCTGCTCGGCTCAAAGAGTTTCGCCAACACCTGCATCGTCGGCAGTGATCCCGCCAAATCCGTGAGGGTGAGAAGCAGGTGGATAAATTCCTTGCAAAACGCATACGTCACGGCGCACAGCTCGTCCAAGTTGCCAAAAAGTAGTTCTGGTTCGGCATACATGGCAAATCCTTCGACCTGAATGCGCTTCAAGGGTTCCATGAATACCTACAAGGTTGAAAAAAGAACTCGGGAATCAGGGAAATTCCGGAAATTGGGAGAGAAAGCGGGAGAAAGTTTCAGAAATTTAATAAAGCTTTTATCTAAAAAAAATCCCATAATGTTTAAGAGTGGTGGAAGTTGATAATCGGGATATTAATACTTTCTCCCGCTAAAGTTGATACTGATTAGCTTGGTAAAATATCATAATCCCCCAATTTGAACCATTCACCGCTTAAATAAAATATGGGGTAGAATTTTAACCAAATTTTTCTTTAAGAAAATCTAATTTTCTCTATTTTTTCTCCTGCAGCTGTTACATTTAAATCTTCGCGGTTAATGATGGGGTTCAAATTACCCCTAGATTTACGCGGTAAATTTAAAAAGTTCAATCTAAAACATTCTCCATTTTTATGGGAAAACCTTGCAATTTTGTCTAATTTCTTTTCCCTCCCGCTAAAAAAATTCAAAGTTCCCGCCACCCACTCACATTTTTGAGGACCATGAGATGATCATAGAGAAAGGAGCACTCGCTCTGAAAGAGGTCCCAGAGGGCTTCTTTCTGCCTCAGCTTCTGCCTCTGCTCCGGATCCGTTTCGTCGCTCGAACTCTTGCGCGAGGTGGATGGTCCCGCCGCGGCAAGATTGGTCGCGGTCGCGGCAGGATCTGGGATGGCGGGAACCGGGGGTGGTGAAGACTCTCCCCCTCCGCACGCCCCACTCGGCCCCCCGCTCTCTGGCTCTTTTCCCTCCACTAATTTTTCACTCATGAGGAAACCCTGCGCGCGGAAGAGGGCGGGCGTAATGCGGCGCTCGAGACAGCGGTCACTCATGGTGCGCATGAGCCCCATTCGCTTCCTGACGAGAGGTTTCGACGGGGCCGGGTTGACGGTTTTTGTCGGTGAGGACATTACCGTCGCCATGGCGCCGGATGTTGTCATGGAGACTTTCAGCGCGGTTGGGGGTGATGTCGAGGAAGATGTGGAAGGTCCCGCCACGGCGGAGGATGGACTGTGAGAGAAAATTTAGTTGGGTTTTCGAAAAATTGATAATTTGCTAATTGAGTAGATCAACATAATTTGCGGAATTTATAACATTTGACAAATTATTTTGCTTGGAGAAGTATGGAATGTTTGAGAACAAATTTATCTAAAATTTATCCAAAAACCGTTGAGGTGAGTATGCCCAAATTTTTTGTCAATGGAAATTTTGGAGGGAAATTGAAATTCACATGCTCGAAATATTGACGTCTTTTTAATATTTATAAAATATCGATATTTTAGAACAACAGCTATTTAGAATTACGAAACAAGATTAAAATGATGAAAAAACAGGTCCGATCATCACAATTCTTGCAGCTGGAAAAAGTTCATCTGGCAAATATCAATTGTCTCGTCATGGTAACCTTCGTCATACTTTCACGATTGAAAAAGTTCCTATTTTTATCCCGACATGATCCCATCGTCATTTCCGTTTCTACCGGATGAATACTTTTTCATCTCATCGTCAATTTTATTTTTGTCTCTACGCGAAAATTCTGCCCGAAACGATATATCCACACTCTTAGAAAACTGGTATTAAATCATTATCGACCGGAGTACATATGTATGTGACTCTACCGGGACTGGTGTTAACGAGAATTACCGTTCAGTAATGTAGTGGTAATGAAAAATTTACCACTTACGACCAATCCGGTAGGAAATTATTACCAAATCAATACCAGCACGGAGTATCTGTGTGACTTTACAAGATTTTTAGCGCTATAAGCTGTATCCATACACTCTTAAAAAAATCAATAACCGTTGGTATTGATACGTGACTCTACCGCGTGGTATTGATCCGGTATTGAATTAATACTACGTGGTAAAAAATGTAATACCAATTAGTATTAAAATTATTACCATGAGGTATAATTTCAATACCGGTTCGATACCCATATGGTATAACCGTTTAATACCAAAACGGTAGAGTCACGTATCAATACCGTTAGGTTTTTTTTCAATACCAAGTTTCTAAGAGTGTAATCTGTGATTTATTCATGATTTCGTAGTGATTTGATGGTTTCTCGCATCCTAACTGATACTTCATAATTTTCAAAAAATTATTTTATTCCGATTTTCTGATTGGTCGATATTTTGATTGTTATGGTGATTAACATACTGAAATCATGAACCTGTCAAAGCATCACCAAATCACGAACTATGAATGTAGCTATACTTTATTTTTCACCTAAACTATCAATTTTAGTCGTGTGTCTGTAACTAAGTTGTGTCCTATTTCTCATGCAACTCACCCCGCTGCGCCATACTTGAAATCATTGACGGACGAGGATGTCGACGGTCCTGAGGAAGATCCCGAGGAGACCACGCTTCCAGACTTTTTGGTCTTTTGGTTGCACACGTGCGCGACAAAGTCGGACCAGACCATGCCCTTGAAACGGGAAAGTTTCGGGTCGCTAAAGTCGCAGGGTTGGATCAGGTTCATAATTTCTTCAAGAGTCCCACTAGGTCCGCCTTTCGATCGACTGCTCCGTTCAAACTAGGGATAAAAAAGAAGGGAATTTCAATTCAACTTTTCTTCTTTTTTAGGAAATGTTTACTTTCTCTTTTTTGTTTCCTTCCTTCCTTCTTTCAGAAATAAATTGGCAGTTTGGTGACTTTTTTTATTGAGGTAAAATAAAAAAAAACGTTTGATAGAATGAAGTAAACAGGGTGAGGAAAGAAGAGAAGGGGGATTTTTTTCAGGGGGGAAATTTGTGAAATCGGAAATTTTAAAAATTGCTCAAGGATGGTTTCAACTTTGTGTTTTTGGAAAGTTGAACTTTCGGGAAACCTGAAGTTGCCAATTTTTTCTTGGGAGTAGAGTCATAAATAGTTTGCGAAAATTGCTACATTTTAATTAATTATGAAATTAATTAGTTTTAATTAATTTTAATTTATTTTGGTTGTTGGAAATACGAAAAGATAAAGACGTTGGTTTCTTAATGGTGCCAAAATTAGCGGCATTGTTTCCTAAAAGTTGGTATTTTTCCCCCCATAAAAAATGTATGTAAATTTCTTTACAACACGAGTATTTTCTGGTAGATTGTCGACTTCTTAAGGAAATCTAAACCCTGGGCTGAAAATAGCATTCATTTTTCGGAATTTGGGGATTAGGCGACATCGTAAAAAGAAGAAGAGGCTACTTGAGGAAATCTCCGTCCCGATAAAATTGAAACCCTGCACATTTGGCATAAGTAGGAGAAAGCGGGGTTTTCCTTCCTTTCACAACTTTCTCTTTGGCAAGAAGAAGAAAAAACATCTTCAACAGGTTGTCTTTCTCTCGATTTTCTACTGGATTTTCTCTCAACTTTCTCCTGCTTTCACTCAACTTTCTCTTCCTCCTCTTAGCACGGATTATGTACGCTAAGAATTCGTCCGCTTTGCTCCGCTCCAGTCGGTCAAAAGTATAAAAGAAGCAGACGTAGTCGGAGTAATAAGGAACGGCACCTCGCATTGACCGCGCAAGATAATTTGGACGCTGGGGGTAAATTCGAAAAACCGGGACGGGACAAATTATCCGTGCTTAATTTTCAAGTTCAAGAAATTATAAGAGTGCGATCTGATAATTAAAAAGTGATAAAAATACAAAATTTTCATGAAAATTTAAGACAATCCAACTTTTACAATTTTTTTCGTGTTACAAGTTGAATTCTATGTTTGAATGGGACTAAAGTTGGGTGAAAAAAAAATTGAGATAAATAAATCTGAGAGGTTATCCGGCAGGGTATCTAAGTTTTGTACTTGAGCTTCACAAATTGATGCATTGTTCGAACCCATAACGAAATTTCTGTATTTAAATATTGAATTGTTTGGTTGTATTATTTTAGATTTTGGTTGGATAAAAAGAATCGATTGGTTGGAAATTTTGAAGTTGCGAAAATTATTTCTTTTGGTTGGGCACTATAAATTTGACCCTTTCTGTGGGGATATTGTCCCCCAGCTTCCGCGGTCATTGGCCCCTCTCTGTGTCATCCCTTGCTTCAACAGCTTTTCAATTTGTGCATGATTATGCGAGCGAGCGAGCAAGCGAGAAAGAGACGACCTCATTAAAAATAAATGAGATTGGCTTTCTCCACCAGAAGAAGAAGAGGGAAGATTTCGATCTTCTTGGGGAGAAAGCATAGCGGCGAGATGTCCTCATTATTATCATGGATATTTACTTGTTGAACAACTTTCTCTTGATGTGGATAAACCCTTTTTTATCTGAGGGAGAAAAAGTTGTCCCACACAATGGAGCCAGCCCTGTCAGCGTATGGTTGGTTGGTGGAGCTCGGATTTTGGGGAAATTAGTCTCAATCGATGACAAATTTAATCAGGGGGACGTTGAAGAAGGATATGATGGAGGATTAGGCAGGGATATTTGGATCTGAAGAGGAGAAAGCGGGTAGTATAGGGGATAAGTTTTAGACTTTGGAAAATTTCTCTTTTTCGGTTCCACTAAAGTTTATCTTAAGAAATAAGCGATATGGACCCTTCTACATAGGTACCCCACTAATAATCAGGCAGAGTATGCTCTCGGACTTTGTAGAAATTAGTCGTACTCGATGACAAATTTAATTAGGGTGATCTCCAAATGGGCATTTTGAGAGATTTGGATCTGATGGTGGGGAAGACGGGAAGTAAAGTTGGTGAATTTGATATCTTCTGAAATTAATGTTTACTTTTTCTTTTTTGGATGCAAATATCTGTGAAAAGGGAGAAATTGAGGATGGAGTAATTTGCAAAATTTGGTATTAATTTAGTTTGTGATCCGTTGAGATTAATTTGGTAAAAATTGGTGACCATACGCTGGGAGATTATGAGGAGAAAGGTGAGAAAGTGCGGTACATCCGAAAAGGGGTAAATTTGGAAAGTGAAAATTTAATAGCGTTTTCTCCTCTTGGGATGCAAATATCCCTGTCAATGGTGCCCATTGGAAGATCGTGTCTTTCGCAAATTTCAGACTAATTAAGTTTGTCATCGAGCGACACTAATTTGCCCAAAGTCGGAGAGCATACGCTGGGAAGTATCGATTGTGAGGTGTATGAATCGCATATTTTTGAAGAGAAAGTAATGTGGCGGGTAGTTGTCATGACAATCTTATTATCCAACTACGCATAAGGGGACGACTCTTGATCAGTGTTTCGGATAGGAGTAACCACTTGCAAGAAATATCGGGAAGAAAGTGGTTAAGCATTTTGATTTATAAGAAACGCAAGGAGCTTGAAACCACGCTATACTTCATACAGCTAAATGGCATGCATTTCTTGCACCCCGCATTTCTTGCGTGGCTTGCTTCGCAGTGCAAGAAATGGGACAAACCCGCATAAAATGAAACACTTGTTAGAAATAACTGCAAGCACGTGGGTTCTTACATACCTGTTCACTTTCATTCATTTGATTTATTATGATGGTGAGTGATGGTGAATGAAAATGAATTTTCTGTTATTTGAGTGAAAATGATTGAAGGATTCCGTCATTTCAGATGAATGACTGTGAATGAAAGATTTCTCACTCATTTCATTTTTCACCCTATGCTTAATACATGGGGCGAAGTAAGAAATGAAGTCAGATGAAGTGAAGTGAAATGAGTTTGAAAGAAAATGAGTGAGTGTGAATGAAAATCTGCAGTCAGAAATCCGGATGACTGAACTTTGAATGAAAAAAGTTTTTTTGAACAGGTATGTATGGTTTCTTACAGGGGAATATTGTGACCTGCCAGAAATTCACGCGCAAAAAACTAATTTTTCGCTGCTTTGCTTTAAACGGCACGTGGCTAGATAGCGCTTATTTTTTGCACTTTCTCCCAGTTTCTGGCACTTCGCATTACTTGCGTGGCTTGCTTCGCAGTGCAAGAAATGTGGGGAGCCCTGCTGGTGACGACCGCACCTTGTTAGTTCAATTCACCTCCTGTTGCTCACTTTTCATTTCATTTCATTCCTTCTCACTTTCACCCAAGACGACTTTCTTCAAGGAGAAAGTTGTAAATTTGGTTCCCACAAAGAAGGTGAAACCTGATTCAATTTGGGGCAATTTTAGGTGTGCGACGACGTTGCTCCGGTTGGAAATTATTTATTGGGCCGTTTTCTTTTCATATTTAGATGAAGGGGGAAAAGTGAAATTTGGAAGGTGAAGTTTGGAAATGGTAAATTTCATTGGAAAATAATATTTTGTGAATAATTTTTGAATTTTTTTATGAACGAATTTCAGGGAGAATTTTAACCAGTTTTTTGAAAATAATAATTACCTCCTAGTTTAAAAAAACTTGTAGCTGGAAGAAGTTTGAGCCAGTTGAAAAATATGATTTATTAAGAATTAAATAAAAATGAATTAATGTAGAAATTAGTATTTAAGTGAGATTTTAGAAATTCTGAAATTTTATAAAGTACTCAAAATTTCAAGGGATTTTTGATTTTAAGAAAATTAGCAAGGACATTTGAACAAGATATTTTTGCGATAATATTATCCAACTTTTGCCCTATATCTGTACACAAATTTTGATTTAAAAAAATTCGCCTTTGGGGTAAAAATTGATATTCTTTTTTTCAAAATTGGCAAAATTTTTGCAAAATCCTATTCACGAATTAATACATAAAAAGTGTGCAAAAATAGTACTAATCTGCCTTTATTTTATCACCCACAAAATCCAATTCTTCACTTTTCGAGTGAAAGTATAGGATTTTTGCTAACATTGTTCTGGTAATGTGGTAATTTCCATTTTGCTCTTGATGTCTGCTAGAAGGTAAGTGTGTGCATAAGGGGGTGAGGATCACGTCGAGGTGATTTACTTGTTGCGAACTTATTTACGACGTTGGAAGGCGGAATGTGTGCAGGGTGAGAATAACCATAACCATAAAATTACATTGGCAATTTACAACCCACATAAAATAAAGTAAAGCTTTCACTCCCACTAAAATCCGGCACTCTCGACTCGAAAGGCACGATCCCGGATCTCTCTTTCGTCCAATGACACCTTTATGGAGGAGAAAGATATCACTTAAAGGCAAGACGGGAAAAATGTCTCAATTTGCTGGGCGAAGAAGTAAGAGACGAAATTTGGATGGCAGATTCGTAGACAAATTGCTATTTTTGGTTATTTCTAAATTAATTTTGTGGAATACTTTCACCTTTGAAAATGGAATGATAATTTGACATTTTGTTTTTAATAAAATGGAATTCGGTTCGTAATTCGTAGAAAAATTGCTATTTTATGTATTTCTAAATTAGTTTTATAGAATACCTGCACACTAAAAATAAAAATTTGTCGAATCAACACCGCGCGCCGGTGTCAATATATGACTTAACCGCCTTGGTTACAATGTTGAATCCGAGTTATGATGATTTTGATACCGGTCGTTATAATGTTATGACCGACCGGAAAAATTTCAATACTACTCGGAATTACAATTGTAACCAAGGTGGTTAAGTCATATATTGACACCGTTTTGTTTTGAGTGTGCAGTTTTGAAAATTGAATGATAATTTCGCATTTTTTATAAATAAAATGGATCCCAGAGTAATCCTTGGTACATATAATTAATAAAGTTTGTTAGAGAAAATAACTAACTTTTTTGCAACAATTGGAAAATGGAAAGATTTTGATTTGTTTTTGGACCAGCGTGTATCACAAAAAATCCAAATTTGTAAACCCCTGGAACTAAAAAAGGTGAAATTTCACTGATAATTCAAAGGAAAAATACTCAAATTAATTTTATGGAATGCTTTAAATTCTGAAGATTTTAATTAATGACAATTTTATAATTGAGATTTTTGCGTCCTTATAATTAGTAAAGTTTATTAGAAAATGTTGCCAGTTTTTTGTATAGTTGCAAATAAAATGACTGTCTCAAAATAGAAAAAGATGTTTTGTAAATACTTTTATGCAATTTGTTTTTTGTTACGGAGTGCATTTTAGAAATTAAAAAGTCTAAATTTGTAAACCCTTCTGGCAAAAACAGGCGAAATTCTACTCATAATTTAGAGAAAAAAGACTAAATTAAATTTATGAAATCCTTGGAATTCTCAGGATTTTAAATAAAATGGGTGTCTAAAAATATAAATACATTGGTTTTTATGTTTTTTATGTAATTTGTTTTTGCAGTTTTTTTCAGGAATAAAAAAGTCAAAATTTCTGAAACCCCTTGAACTAAGAACAATCTCACAATTTCCTGTTCTCAAGAATTAATTTCTTGCAGAAGAATCCTTGACTTGCACACATTTTATTATTCTTCGGTTTCGTAAAGAATGGGTGGAAAATTTAGGAAAGTGTGTAAAGTTTCGATTTTTCGGAAATGCTCATTTTTTAAAATTCTCTCTACTCTGTGAGGAGTCTGCCAGCGAAGGCTTATTTTTCCTAATCCAGGTCAGGGTTACCTCTCTGAGCCCCACTTTGCTTTATTACCAACCCGACAAACATTACCCGGTTCGGTTTTTGTGTCGACGGGTGAAAGTTTGCTATCCGGACTAGGAAAAGCGTCGATTGGACTAAAAATCCTAAATTTAGCTTGATTTTTTTCAAATATTTGTACGCTCTCAATAATTTTTTGACAAAATTGTTACCGCCGGAGATACTATACAACTCTACCCCGTGGTAACACTATAGTAACAAATTGCCTTCTGAGGGTAAGAAATTGGCTCCGGAATCGGTAATATTTTTATTACCTGAGCGTTGATATTGGGGGCTGCGCAGGATTTAGCCTTTGTCTATATGCTACCCTTCGGTGATAAATTATTACCTGAGCGGTAGAATTGCATAGTACCTCTGCCGGTAACAATATCGTCAAAAAATTATTGATCAGATATAATCTTACATTTTCTATTTTTTCAAATCTTAAGTTTTAATTCGATTTGTTTTTAAAATCCTAAATTTTACTAAATCTGTTTTTGGAACTTTAAATTTTCTACGATCTATTCAAATCTTATATTTCACTCATTTTTTTAAGTCTAAAATTTTTCAGTATTGGTTTTCAACTCATAAATTTTATTTATCAAATCTTAAATTTTCCATAATTTATTTAAAAGCATACATTTTACCTGTTTTCTTTTTTCAAACCCAAAATTTTACTTATTTCTTCAAGTCTAAAATTTTTCCTAATTTATTCTTTCCTTCTGAAAATCTTAAATTTTCCAATTTTTTTTTTCAAATGGTAAATTATTATTTTAAAATCTTATTTTTTTATAATCCCCCAAAATTTCCAGTACTCTCCCGAATCTCGTCGTGTTTCTCGGGTTCGGTTTCACTCTCACTCTGAGTAATAAGGCTTGTATGTACTTAGCCCCCGTCCGGTTTAAAAAAAGAGGGGCCTCCTCTCCCCTGCTTTCTGTTGGTGCATGGTGCGGACATTGAGAAATGCACATCATCTTGCCACCTTCATTTATATCCGTCACAAAACACGGGATCAATCTGCCTGTCTCGCTCACCCGCTTTCTCCATGTGCGTCACTGCATTTTCAGTGGGGAGAAAGTGGAGAAAGTGGAGGAAGGAAATGCGGAGAAAGTGGAGAAGTTTTGCTTACGAGTTTGAGAAGGGACCAGGTAACCTTCCCTTTCCGGCTTTGGTTCGAATCCGAGTCAAATATCGTCGGGATGGGGGACGGAGACTCGATCGGCGTCCCTGCAAAAAAATAAAATAGTTTATAAATTTGTAGTCGATTTTTAAAATAGTTTGTAAAGATTTTTTAAGATGAAATTACTCTGTGATAGATTTTTTGTAACATAGTTTTGACGTGAGTATGCCTAAATAAATAAAATCAGGTTTGTTTGTGCAGAATAATCTGAAAAATTGTGATCTTCAGATATTTATTAAATAAATACAGAATGTAAACATTTTGAGAATTTAAAAGAAGAAAGTTGACATTAAAATGATAGGATTTTGGTAAAATAAGTTTGGAAACTTGTTTAATAAATTATTACGGTACAATATTTTTAACGCCAAAAATGAAAACAAAACAAATATTTTATTGTGAAATATAGTAAAAATGGGAAAGTATCTTGAAGTATTTTATGATGTCTAAATTAAATAAATATGCAGAAAAAGGGACATTTTGCTTATCTAGAGAGAGAGAGAGAGAACGTTGGGATTAAAATCTGTACGTTTTCATTTCCAAATTTGATAAAACTCTGTACGCCATAAATTTCTATGCAAAATAATAAAAATTTTGACGCCAAAGCAAAAAATGCACATTTTATCCTGAGTAGAATAGCTTCAAAATGATAAAAATATAGGGAAAAGGTGCCCTCAAAAATTTATTAATTTAGAAATAAGGACAGAAATGTGATCATTTTGTGAAAGATAGAAAGTTAGGTTTAGATTTTTCTTGCTAAATTTTGGAAGAAATACATATGTGCAAAAATTTTTGACTTGAGTGCGCCCAAAACAAGCAAAAAAGGGGCATTTATTTGTGAAGAATGATGAAAATATGGGGACAAAAAAGTATCCTCAAGTATTTATTGATTTCTAAATAAATACAGAGAGAAGCGTGGACATTTTGCTTATCGGGAGGGAGGGAGAAAGTTGACATGAAAATCTTTGGATGGATTGAGCAGGCCGGTTGGTCGGAGTGAAATTCAATTTCACAGCGGAATCCGTCCTTTTGATCAACCACCCAGCAGACCAACTTTCTCTCTCCACTGCTAAATATACACTTGCACTTTCACAAATGGGAGGAAAAACCGTGTTCAACCCGGATATTTTTTCGAGAAGTTCAGTATCAACCTTTTAGAAACAATATTGACAATGGAACCTTTTTTCAAGCTATACTGACCGGGATTGTGTAACGAGTTATGTCAAAAAATCGACCCAAAAATTAGGAATCACGTGGCGATTATTATTCCGTTAAATAGGTCATTTAAAGAAAGATTTTGGTAGAAAAGTTCAATTTTTTACTAAATTTTCTCTCCCCTTTTTCCTCAGCTAGGTGGAAACTAAGGCGTTCGTGACTACTTTGCTGGCAATATTTTTCTTCAAAGGGGCCATTCAACGGATTGATAAGCGCCATGTGATTCCTCATTTTTGGCTCGATTTTTTGATATGGCTCGTTATATAATCCCGGTGTAGGTAGAAAATAGGTTCCTCTGTTAGTGTTGCACTTACTCGAAAAATTCAGCAACCTGTAGGCGCCACAATTAGGCGAAAACGTTCGGTCTTTGAGTGGAATAGTTAAGCGTTTTCGCTAACTTGTAGGGCGCAGAACTTGCTGAATTTTGAGAATCTGTACAAGTATTGCACTAAATGATGTTTTTAAGAATTACTCTTTCAAATTAGAATGGTTGAAAAAAATCTGGGTTGAACATGGTTTACGCTCCTCTCATTGCGAGTTCACAACTTTTGGGACGCCCGGAGACGAAAATATTTTTGTTTGGGATCAATTTCACCTCTTTTTTTAACAAGTTGCAGAATCGGATTTGGACTGATTTAGATTTAATGATTTCTCGAGTTATTAAAAGTACGAGAACTTTGTTGGTTGAGCAAAAAATAAGTACGAAAACTTGGATAGGTAAAATTTAGATTAATTGGAAACACGACAAAAATAACGATTTCTTTCTATTGTCGTCTATTCGTTAAAAAAGTGCGGATAAATTAAATCTGACAGGTTATAGACTTTTATTTTTCTTTTTATGGAAGAATTAGTTGCCAAAAATTTGCAAAGGTCAAATTTGTTACCATAATTGGTAACAAAAAATTTAATTGGTTCATATTTATTTTTATTTATTTATTTGGATTATTTATTTGATTTATTTTTATTTATTTATTTGAATTTGAAAATTATCTCCGAGTTTTTCAAGAAATTGAATTTTCTCATAGAAATTTTCCCAGAATTGTATTATGTATTGAAATTAAAAATCGACTTAAATAAATTATTAGACTGCTCCGCAAAAATAAATTGTAGGTAAAAATTCAATTCGCAATTTTGATTTTGGCATTTGCATGTGATACTTTGTCTTCCGCAAAAACTGTCCCCGTTCCGCATTACATAACATGAGCACACTTGTCACGTCATAAAATAATGTTGTAAAGGTTATTATGCAACCGGGGAGAAATCTCGGAAATGTACCTGCACCCTAAATAACCCGGGAGACGAAAGAGTCACCCGCGGAGGTGCTAGAAATATTCTCATATTTTTGGGTCATGATCAGAGAGCGGATAGGTATTTATTTCCAACTTTTTGATTTGAGGACGATCAAATTTTGTGGGTGCGTCGCCTAACTGGCATAGAGTACAAAAATTTCAAAATATTTTTACATATTTTTACAAATTTCTATAGGTTTTGAGATATATGCAAATATTTGTCTATTATGGAAACTCTTTTTGCGATATTTAACAAAATGCATATGTATTTTTTAAATATTTTAACGAACGTTTTTTAGCTCAAAGGAATTGGATAATGGAAAATTAAGACAATTAGTGTACTAAAAAATGCTAATTTTGCTAAAACTCTTATTTTTCCGAACATATTTATTTCGTACATATATATATATTTAGCTTATTATCGTAAGTATTGAATCCATTTTTCGCAAATGAATACATATCCGCCTTCTGATCCTTATTAAAAAACGAGGATTAATAAGAGTCCCTCCGCGGGTGGGGTTTATTTTTGCGTGCCAATTATTAAGAGTGTACTTATGCATTGAAAAGTGGAATGAGGGAGGGAGAGAGTCAAGTGCGCGGAATGGATTGGATTTGGCGCCGCGGCGTAATCGAATTTTCTTCTCCGTCCAGCCGATCGAATTGTTCATTTCATTTCATTTCATAACGTAATTAAATTCCAGGAGCATATTTCTGACGGCCATCGAGAAGCGAGACTGCATTAGCGAACGGAGAGGAGAAAGAGAGGCGGAGGGAGAACATGACATAACATAAATTTCGGAATTTCTCAATATCTGTCATCTCACCGCACAGGTCGGCATAAATCAAAGCTAAACCATTTCCCAGGAATGTATACGTATGTACCTTGGATTTACATATGTACCACGTGGTTTATTTTGGGTATGGGTTTTTTTGCAGTGATTTTTTATTTGCGGTGATTTCGTTTTGGGATGGAATCAAATTATTATTTGGTATGAATGACCTAGTGTAATCGATCATGTTGCATATTTGGTAGAGTTAATTCAGTGTGAGTTGCTGTACATATGTGCAAAAAACGGGGAGGATTTGTACAGTAAAATTTGCATATGCATTTCAAGGAATTTGCAAGGAATTTGTCGGTTTCTCATTAATGATTTTTTACATTGTCAACTGTTTCTTTTATATATTTGCACGTGCAAACAAAAAATGCCAGAATTAGAACTAGTAAAATTTGCAAGGGAAGTGTAGCTTTTTCTTTAATTACATGATTGTTTTGCACTAATTATTGTGTATCAAAATATACTTATTCAGTATGAGCGACGTAATGTAATTAATCGGGTTGCATATTTTGTAGGGTTAATTCAATGGAGAATTGTTACGTGCAAAAAAATGCAAAAAAATTGCACAAGTAAAATCTACAAGTAGCTTTCCCCTCAAGTGGAGGCGGGACCTTTGAGTGGTTCGTTCGTTACCAGCCCGGTGACGATTAAATTATGTAGATAATTTCGTGAACTTTCTCTTTAGTCAGGTGCCCTTTCTGATTCGTGCGAAACCTTTTGCAACATCTATTTTTGCCATTGTCGCAAATCCGATTCGCAAATCGTATGTTTTATCATTTTACGCTGTTAAAAGTAAAGAAACGATTGTAGCAGGTCGTCACCAAGCCGGTGATAATTTTGGTAACGAATTATATCGGTAATTTCATGAACTTTCTCTCTATTCAGATGCGCTCTGTGAGTCGTGCAAAATCTATTTTTGCCATTGTCGCAAATCTGATTCGCAAATCGGATTCTTTAACGTGATCCCAATTTCTGGGAATAAAAAGGAATGACCTTTTCTTTCTGGGAAAGTTTGCCCATTTGTGTAAATTGGGGAAGATTATTTGGAAATCAAATTGTCTGAGTTTCCGAAACATTTTTTTTTTGATGTTCCAAGTTTGATACGCAATGTGGCAGAAAGTCGTAAATTCGCAAAACTCTTGGTCCCCACGGAACATTCAGAAGTTTGGGAAGCAATTGAATTCGAAGTATAAATACGATGTATTTTTGGAAAGTGCGAATTTTTTGGAGATGGCAAATTATGTTGGAATGCAATTTTTAAACGAAATTGGGAAATTTGTAATTCATTAAGATACATGAATTTTTGGGAACTGGGGGAATTTGCGAGTTTGCAAATTATATTGCAAGGTCTAACTGAAATTGCGAAATATCTAATTCGGGGTGTTCATTACGATGTATTTTTGGATCTTGTGAATTGTTTTGGACGTTTGCAAATTAATTTGCAAGATTTTAAATTAGGTGGGGAAACTTCTAGTTCGGGGTATTCACCACGATATATTTGTTGAAAGTTCGATTAATTTGGGAGAATTTGCGAATAATTTTGCAAACCAATTTTTAGGTGAAATTGCGAAATTGCTTACCCAGGAGGGATTTGCGTTGGCTGAGGACTTTTCCGTAGACGAGGAGGTCGCCGGGACAGATTTGCATGGGTGGAATCACCACGATCGAACTCCGCCGGTTTCGCGGACTCGTGCTCAAATCGTCGCTGCTGCAGCGCCTACAAAAAAATTATTTATTTTGATTTTTAAATTTTCACAAAATTGCTAAATAAATTTAAAAATTCTATAAAAAGATATAAATTAGATATGCATGCTTATCAATAAATTCTAAACCTTTTATAAAATCTATAAAATAGAAAAATCCATGCAAACTAGCATATTTTAGCAATAAAAGAATATTTTTCTACTAAAGTAAAGTCTCTCATTACTCCAAAAATTAAAAAAAATCCAGAAAAATTTGTAAAATGAAAAGAAAGGTTCAAAAACACTTAAAATTAACAAATTCATTCCAAACTATTATTACATTTTAATAACAATTTTCTCAAAATACTACCCATCAAAATGTTAGTGTCTTATTAGTTCAAAAATTTCAAAAAATCTTAATTCAAAATGAACACTTAAAACTCAAAAAGTCAGTTAATTTTCCCGCCAAAAATATTATTCGAAAGATAATTCTCCCCTTACCCCCAACTCTTGCCATCCTTGCCATCCCCATCTCCATCATAGTCGTGGTCCGGGATAAGTTTGGGCGGGACGAGGGCGGGTCTTCGGGTGAGTGCGGAGGCGGGCGGGCCCACGAGGGGGAGCTCCTCCACGCACGAGGACGACACGATCGACCCCCCGCGCGAGGAGGGGACCGTATTCCCCCCGCAACTCGTCCCCGCTGCGCCAATGCCGCCGCCGCCGAGGGAGGACGCGGCCGACACGCCGGACAACCTGTGGGGACAGGGGAGCCCGCTGGCCCCCGCCAACATGTGGTGATGGTGGCTGCCCGGGCTTAGGAGCAGGTTCTGAGACATGGAGGGGGACAACTCCAAGCTGCCGAAGGGTGGTTGGGCCCCCTGAAAGTAAAAAAAACGAACAAAAATCCGTCAGTTTGCACGTTATGAATTAGTAGAATGTGGACTAAATTTCGTGCTTCTTAAGGTCCACTTGTAGGCGGGTTTTGAATTTAAATTTTTGTGTCTCAACTTTCCCTTCTTCCTTATATTCAAGTAGCGATTTTGACACCTGTTCATCTCGATTTTGATTTATATTTTTCATTCGATTTTGACACCTGTGTTTCTTTAAAATTGAAGATTAAAAAAATCAAAATTTTACCCTCCTAACTTTATGGCTAACATACAAATTAACGGTTTTTGTGTAAAATCTTCATAAAATCACGTTCAGTTCATGACTTTTGACTGATTTTTCGAAAGGTATTCTTAATAATTACGCAAAATAGGGGATTATTTATAGTGCGTCAGCAAGGTACATCAGTTATTATTAGTATAATATTTTATTTGTCTGTGCCATTTTCCACGACACAATATTGCCAATTCTGGCCCCATTTTATTATTTTATACATATATCGTTACAAATAGAAGAGGAGTCAGACTAAGTAGATAGACCTTGATGGGACTTAATCGGCCCAGAATTTTGACATGTAGCTCATTTTGGATCCTATTGAGCAAAAGAAGAGGAGGAGGAGGATAACAATGGGACTTGTGTCGAAAACCTTTTAGGGGCTTCGTCATCCCTCTTTCCGGACCAACAAAATATGTATCGACCAACTTTCTCTCGTACTTTCTCCTTCGTAGAAGAAGCCATCCATCCCACCAGGAGAAATAGGTTTCCGTCCTGCCACTTATTAAAAAACGGGGGACGGATATGTATCCATTTAAGGTTAAAAATGGGTGGAATGTTTGCGAAAACGACAAATATTTACGAAATTATGCACAAAAAATGAAAATTTTCGCGAATTTTTTTCTTTTGAATGTTTATAATGATTCTGTGAATTTTTTGTGGTTTTGACGAAAAAAAGTTCGGGTTTCATATTGTTGAAATATTTAGAAAATATGTACATATTTTTAAATAAATATGAAAAGAATAACAAAAAATAGCAGTGGCAATAGCATTGAAAAGAGTAATGTATTAGAAAATTTAGAAATATGGAAACATATTTTGAAAGTTTTGCAATCTATTTTTTGCCATTGGTCGTCATGGAATGAAAAGGTTTTAAATAATGAATACATATCCGATGTGTGATGATAAGCCATATGATAACTATAGAATCGGAAAATATGATGACCAGGGTTCCCCAAAATTTTATTCTTTAAGGAAATTTATGAACACATTTCTTTCCGAATTATGTATTTCAGTCGGAAATAAATTTTCCAAAAATGGATCAAAGGTGGCCCATATTTCTTGCACTTTCTCCCACTTTCCTGCACCTCGCATTTCTCCCGTTTTTTGTTTCGTAGTGCCAGAAATATAGCAAAATCTCGCAAGAAAGGAAACACTGCACTCAAAACAAAACGGTGTCAATATATGACTTAACCGCCTTGGTTACAATTATGATTCCGAGTAGTAACGAATTTTTTCCGTCCGGTCATAACATTATAACGACCGGTATCAAAATCATCATAGCTCGGATTCAACATTGTAACCAAGGCGGTTAAGTCATATATTGACACCGGCGGTGTTGACTCGACAAATTTTTATTTTGAGTGTGGTTTTCTTGCACTGTAAATAAAATTGAGTAAAATTGCCACCAAAGCAACTATTGGTAAAATTTACCCTGACAAAGGTAAAATTTACTCAAAGTTGAGCAAAAATCTTTCAACCTTGAGTAAATTTTGCCTTTCTCTGGGTAAATTTTACTCAATAGTTGCTTTGGTGGCAATTTTACTCAAAATTGAGTAAATTTTAATCAAATTTTTTTAGAGTGTGTGTGATTTCATTTTTCCGATTGTTTTATGAAGAGGGTGAAACCCTGGTGGAAATATTAGTAAGAAAAAAATCCCCTGTCCAGAACGAGCTTTTCGAACGTATTACGCACTTGGCCAGTCATCTCCTCAGGCTTCATTAATAATAAGGCAGGAATCTATCAGAAGGACTAATGCCCGGTGGCGGTGGTGAGGAGTCTGCGAATCGATTCTTCCTGATCCGGATTGGGTGGCTGACACGGTTCAAAATAAAGGTGACCTTTTGGGGAGGACGCATTAAACAAATTGGACCAGGGATGTATGTATGACCGCGGGACAGCTTGGGACACGCGCTCAAGAAAAGTCTCTAGAGTATAAATAGCGCTATGTATGTGGTTTTTTAAACCGGGGAAAAAGTCGGGTAGATTTTGAGATGTCAATTTTGCACTATTTTGTGGCCAGAGATTTAAATTTTGTGGTGCAGTTTAAATTCATATTTTTGGAACGGCTTTTTAGATACTCAAATGCAGAAATAAGCCTGAAGGTGAGTTGCGAATTTGAGGGATTTTTGCACACTGGAAATATGCAGGTATCTACAAGTACTTACATAAAGGGCACATTCTGCCATGAAATTTGCGAATTTCTCTAAAGACACATATTTTTCTGTCGTTGTGGTTAAACGATACAGGAAGGAAATCTTCCCTCGGAACATTTTGAAGCCAAATATCTGGATAATTTAGTGCCCAATGGATTTAAAAGGTTTGTACATATGTATGTATGTAGGTGCTCAATAGTCCGGATAAGACTGTGTTGGACCGGTTTTTCGCTTATTTCTCCTTGACTTTCGGGTGGAACAGATCATCCTACCCATAAAATACATACGGGTATTCGAAAAATTACATTGTTATTTGCTTGGACGAGACGGTTTTCGAAATTGTGAAATTGCGAAAAGTGTTTCGCGTTAAACTTATGTGGAGAAAATGGTTCCAAATGTTTTCGCCTGTAAGAAATATAAGGTGTAAGAAACGTCGTCCCGCCGAAAAAAATACTTCATACGGCGTATGGCTAAATGGCGCCCGGTTCCCGCACTTTTCTTCACCTCGCACTTCTTGCAGTTTATTGTTTTCCATGGCAAGATATGTAGCAAACCCACAAGATACGAGACGCTGAATGAAAAAAAACGAATGAAATGGGGAACAATTCCATCAAAAAGATGGAGAAAATCAGCCCCCACAAAGAATCCATACGGGCAGGCCCCGATTTAGGGGCGGGCAACCCGGGCGGCGGCCCGGGGGCCAAACTCCGGAGGGGCGCCGCCAGGCGCCCCGGTTTACACTAGATATAATTGAATTGTAAATCTTGAAAATCTTTTGTTAGGAGTTTTTATTTTTGTCAAGTTTGGACAACTCATGGGGACAATTCTAATGTCTTGATCCCCACTGCAATTTTTAAACACGCAATTTCTAAATTTTCACCCCAACTCTAAATAAAATAATTAAACCAACTCAAGGTTGAGTAAAATAGACGGCGACACGATTGTTTGGTAAAATTTATTCCATGGTTGTAAAAAATTATCCAACCGTTAGCGAAGTGATTAAACAAATGTCATCCAATTGTTGTGTTCACCTCTATTTTGCTCATGTAAATTCTCTCAAGCCTAAATTTTAAATAATATGCCTGGAAATACATTTAGAGTGTACGCTGGGGAGCAAAATAAATTGTTATAAAAATTGATATAAAAACTATTGTATCTCATATTGGTTGCACAGCATCTTGAAAGATACCTGATGGTAGCCCAGAAAAATTGTGGTTCTATGTATGTATATCATTTCGATTTTTGAGAATTGTCAAAGAGGACTCACTATGCAGAACTTTTAGAAGTAAAACTAAAATCACCATGCGATCAATTTGCTATGGTTCACCACACAAAATTAACATTACCGTGCTTTTGCATTTTTCGCAATGCGCTACTTTGAACCATTGTAAACAATTTTCCAGCCGAACCGGAATTGCCGAATTTTTGCTTGAATCAAAAAATTCAAAAATTGTTCCACCAGAATGATTTACGTACTTATAAAACAACCAAAGGTCTGCAGTTGAGTTCAGAATACGTTGCCAAGTTCAGAATACGTTGCCAGTATTTTAAATTCATGAAAATTATAAACTCGTTCAAATTTTCAAATAATATGTAAATTTTTTATAAATGAAGTAAGGCATTCTGAACAGAAAGTTTTTGAAATTTTTTAATTCGCGTTAAAATTATAAAATTTCCAGAATTTTGAAAACCCCAGGCTTTGGCTGGAAACCAACTTAAAATTCTCGCTTAGATTAGCGCATTACGAAAAATACAAAAATACGGGGACACATTCATTTTTTGTGGTTAACAAAATAAAATTGGTCTATGGAAATCTGGGTATTACACGTATGTGTACATAAATGATCCACATTGTAAGTTTTTTTAACCCATCGCGGTATCAAAATTTGTCCCCAATTTTAACAATAATCACGAATAAATATGTAAAGGAGCTTAATACCTAGAAACGTAAAATTTAATTTCACCTATTTAAACGCTATTTAAATCCTCATAATCTACTTTATAAGAATTCTAAAGTTTTAAATTTTGAAAATTTATATTAACAATTTTTAAGCTCACGTTTTTGTCGAATTTTCGAAATTTTGATTTAATATGGAAAGACTTTAGAGTGATTTTGGTGACACGTTAGCTTTTGGGTGGGTATCTAAGGCGAACTTTAGTGATTTCATCCTTCCATAACTGCAATTATTAACTTTCCGGGATTAAATTCATTCAAAAATTCCCAACTTGGCCTAAAAATGTCGTAGGGAAGTATTCAAGGTATGAAACTGTTAAGTATGAGTTTGGGTTTTAACTCAAAATAAATCCGCGGAGGCCTAAATGTACGAGTGGTATTTGATCAATAAGCTTTTAAGTTAAACCTGTGGACTATGTCGTTTTGTAGACTTCGCAAAAACAGGAACGGCATCCAACCACAATTTTTCTGGGTTCTTTCGTTCGTTTCTGGCATTCTTTCACAACTCAACAGATTTATAAGTTGGTATTGTGAGCAATTTGAGATAGAGCAGGTGTTTATCTTACAATTTATTCTGGAACCCAATGTATTGGAACTTAATAGTTA